AGAGCCAAGAGATTGCTGAAGAGAAGGAGCGCAAGAAGGACATGCAGCGCAAGCGAAGGCGTGAAAAGACTATCCAAAACGAGGAAGCTAAACGCGCCGAGGCCCTTGCAAAGGCAGGCCAAGCCGAGAACGAGGAAGAAAAGGAGCGTCATTTGCTGGCTGCACAGAAAGCCGAGCGGAAAGCGAAGACCACTACTCAGCTTCTGCAAGGCAATGCCCCTAGCAAGGACATTCGCGAAGTAACTCCACACGGACCCAATATGGAAGGAGGTACTATGAGCTCCTTCCAGGCCTCCGACGACCTCGCTGGCGGAAAGCGCAAGGGCAACCGCGGCACCGGGCGTCTTAAGAAGAGCAAGGAGCAAAAGCAGGCTGAGAAGGACGCTGCCGCCGCCGGCCAGGCTGCTATCGACCGCGGAGACGATCTCCCCACGATCGCGCCACGCGAGGAGGCACGCCTTGACTCTCTACGCGGCCGTAGCTACACAGAGGACTTGGGCCCCGTCGTCCTGACTTCCTACGACTCTTCCGTCTACCGAAACCTGTACCAGCAGATTGTTAAGGATCTCGCTCGCAAGGATGTTCCCAAGGTTGTCCGCATCAAGGAGAACTCGCTTTCGACGAAGCAGTCCAACCTCCGCAAGACTGCCCAACTGGCTGCTAAGGAGGCCCGTCGATGGCAGATGCGTACCAACAAGAACCAGAAAGACACGCAAGCCAGGGCCAAGCGTGGTATGCGTGAGATGCTTGCATTCTGGAAGAGGAACGAACGCGATGAGCGCGAGTCACGAAAGAACGCTGAGCGTCAGGAGTTGGAGAATGCGAAGAAGGCTGAAGCTGATCGGGAAGCAAACCGACAGAAGAGGAAGCTGAACTTCCTTATCTCACAGACTGAGCTCTACTCTCATTTCATCGGCAAGAAGGCTAGGACAGATGAGATTGAGCGTTCCACCGACGACGCCGACGCCGCCGCAGCGGACCCTCAGGCAGCAGCTAAGCCCAGTATCGACGTTGGGGAGATGTCGGCGGAAGGAGGCGCCAAGGTCACCAACTTTGAGGATCTTGACTTCGACAACGAAGACGAAAGTGCGCTCAACGCGGCCGCCATGGCGAATGCCCAGCATGCTATTCAGCAAGCGCAAGACCGTGCCCGTGCCTTCAACAAGTCTGGTGATGACGAAGAGGATGGCGAGATGAACTTCCAAAACCCCTCTGGTCTGCAGAACAAGGAAGACTGGATTCCTCAGCCCAGCCTTCTCAACTGTACGCTCAAGGAGTACCAACTGAAGGGTCTCAATTGGCTAGTCAACTTGTACGAGCAGGGTATCAACGGTATTCTTGCTGATGAGATGGGTCTCGGAAAGACGGTCCAGTCGATATCAGTCATGGCTTACCTCGCCGAGAGGTATAACATCTGGGGACCTTTCCTCGTCATCGCGCCCGCGTCAACATTGCACAACTGGCAACAGGAAATCACCAGGTTCGTCCCGGATCTAAACGTCATTCCATACTGGGGTACGGCCAAGGACCGAAAGATCCTCCGTAAGCTCTGGGATAGGAAGCACGTCACATACACCCGCGATTCGCCCTTCCACGTTGTAGTCTCTTCGTACCAACTGGTCGTTCAGGACGCTCAATACTTTCAGAAGATGCGCTGGCAGTACATGATTCTTGACGAAGCCCAAGCCATCAAGTCGTCTCAGAGTTCTCGATGGAAGAGTCTGCTTGGTTTCCATTCTCGTAACCGGCTGCTCCTGACGGGTACACCTATCCAAAATAACATGCAGGAACTTTGGGCTCTGCTCCATTTCATCATGCCTAGCTTGTTCGACTCTCACGACGAGTTCAGCGAGTGGTTTTCCAAGGACATTGAGAGTCACGCACAGAGTAACACGAAGCTTAACGAAGACCAACTGCGACGACTACATATGATTTTGAAGCCGTTCATGTTGCGTCGTGTGAAGAAGCATGTCCAGAAGGAGCTTGGAGACAAGATCGAACTGGACGTCTATTGCGACTTGACATACCGACAACGGGCTTACTACGCCAACCTCCGAGCGAAGATCAATATTATGGATTTGGTCGAAAAGGCTGTTGGTGACGAGCAGGACAGCGCGACCCTTATGAACTTGGTCATGCAGTTCAGGAAGGTCTGCAACCACCCTGACCTATTCGAGCGAGCCGATACTTGGTCACCATTTTCTTTCGCCTCCTTCGCTGAGACCGCCTCATTCTTACGCGAAGGTCAGAATGTCAGGGTCGGATACTCTACACGCAACTTGATCGAATATGCTCTACCAAGACTCGTGGGTCGTGAGGGTGGTCGATTGGAGCTTGCTGGTCCAGACAACCAAAAGGCTGGCTTCAAGGGACGCTATCTCGACAATCTGATGAATGTGTGGAGCCCAGACAACATTGCGCAGTCGGCCAGAGAGGCTGGAGCATTTTCATGGCTCCGCTTTTCTGATCTGTCGGCCACCGAGGCCTCTAGAATTGCCAAGAGCGGCCTCTTCCAGCGCGCTCTTGCTGTAGAGCAAAAGCCTAACAAGGTCGGCCGTTTCAACGTGTTCTACGACAACGACAACGGCGAGTGGGAACCTAAGCACTCCATGCTCAACATTGTCGATCGCCAGGACCGTGCACCTTTGGCCGAAATCACTGCCGATGGACACATGCACAACCTCTTCAATGTTGCCCGAACAGCTTTCGAAAAGACAGGCTTGAACGTCATCGAGCCCTGTGCAAAGCCAAAAGCATCTGCGCCTCCGGTCGAGTTGTACTGCGCTAGTCAGGGTGTCATTGCAGAGACACAAAACCTCTTCTTCAACGCGCCTATCCGTTCCGCGCTCTACGGTGTCTCGGATGCTACTGAGCAAGCTCTCTTAGAAGCCAAGAAGGAGTCCACTGCTTTGACTGTCAGCAACAGGCTTCCGCCGCCAACCAACGAGCGCACACGATTCACTCACATTGAGGCACCTTCGATGTCGCGCTTCGTTACTGATTCGGGCAAGCTAGCTCAGTTGGATGCACTGCTGAAGGAACTGAAAGCAAACGATCATCGCGTGTTGCTGTACTTCCAAATGACCAGGATGATGGATCTGATGGAAGAATACCTCACTTACAGGAACTACAAGTACTGCCGTCTTGATGGTTCGACCAAGCTCGAAGATCGTCGTGACACAGTCGCCGACTTCCAGAGCGACCGGTCCATCTTCGTCTTCCTCCTGTCAACTCGTGCAGGTGGTCTCGGTATCAACCTTACATCCGCTGATACGGTCATCTTCTACGACTCGGATTGGAATCCCACCATCGATTCGCAAGCTATGGACCGTGCCCATCGTCTCGGACAAACACGGCAGGTCACTGTTTACAGGCTCATCACGCGCGGTACTATCGAAGAACGTATCCGCAAGCGTGCCCTTCAGAAGGAAGAAGTGCAGCGCGTCGTCATTTCCGGAGGCGGCGGCGCTGGAGTCGACTTCAACACCCGCTCCCGGGAGAACAGAACCAAGGACATGGCTATGTGGCTTGTCGATGATGACCAGGCCGCGGAGATTGAGAAGAAGGAGGCGGAGCTGGCTGAGCAAGAGAAGAATGCTCCACCTGGCAAGAAGCGTGGCAAGAAGAAGCAACGGGCGGAGGCTAACCTCGACGACATGTACCACGAGGGTGAGTGGATCGCTTCATGCTGAATAATGTTTGTACTGACTATTCCCAGGCGAAGGACACTTTGACGAGAGCGCAAAGGCAAGTGGTGCAGCCACACCTATCCCACCTACTGAAGCCCCCGCCGGTGGCAAGCGCAAGAAGGGTGGACTGAGCAAGAAGGCAAAGACAGCCAAGCAGCGTCTTGCTGTGGCGGATGGAGAGGTATAATTTTCTGTAACACCACGACGACATAACACATTACATGTCTATAATTCGATGCGGATGCGGCAGTCAATGGAGCTGCCGATGGGATGCTGATCATGTTGATTTTCTTTGTACGGTGTGGGTTCTTGCGAGTGTACATTATCCGTCTTTCTCTATGCGCTAGGGTCGATCACTTGGAGGCTGTTAATCACGCCTGTCTGCATAGAACTAGGAGTTACAAAATGCAAGAGAACACGTTACTTCCACGTCGCACAAGATTGGTTAGTCATGCCACGATCGTACCTTCCTTATCCGACTTGAGTCTATGAGAAGACCAAACCGACATGAGATTCGGCGCTCGGTGCAACTAAATCTTGAAGTCCGCGACGAAATCTCCGCTAGCAGGCGTGCAAGCATACCCCCAAAACCCTCACAATGCCAACAAGTTGCAAAGTTGCGACTATGCATCAGGACGCGCAAACATGTAGATTGCCGGTACGGTGCAGTCGCAGGTGGCACCACGCAGCGGATCCGGAAGGGACACCAAATGCTGCGTCCGCCGTGTTAGGGCACCAAGATTCGTAATCGGAGCAGCACAGGTGCTACGAGGGAGATATTCTGCCCGAGATGGGCGGAGCGGAGCCGGATGTGTCGGCACTCCAGAAGCAACGCCCAAACGACCAATGTGTCTTGGGAAGTGGGTAAGGGAGAGTGCCAAGGCGATCACCGCTGTATATCACCTTGCGAGTTCGAGAAGACTGAAGCTTTCCACGCTGCTGCAGAGCCCGTATAGACTGTGGGCGGAACCAAAAGCAGTAGCACTACCGCATCGACGCCTAAAATTAACCTCGTAGATTTGGCTGGACACGGTGGCGCTAAGGTGGGATTGATTGGCCGTGGAGAGGAGGCTTGTGGCCTACGGGCACGTGCCTGAACAACGAACCCTGCATCGTCTTCGCCCCCTTCAGCATTCGCCTTGGCGTCTGAGGATCCCTTTCGGATAGCATCTTACTTGGGCCTTTTGTCGTGTACCCCCTTGGCCCTCCCCGCCTCGCCGCACCTCTGTTCTCCGGCAGCGCTCACCGAACCGCCTCCTCATCTTTTTGCCTCTCTGCCGCTGTCTCTGGTCGCTGCAACTGCATCGTTCGCGCCTGAATCTACCTCGGACGATCTGCTGCACCGCCGCAACCGTCCCCGGCCCACCCGCTACCGTGCGACAACGAAGTCAGCCCGCGCCTACCTCGTCCTACGCCTTCCCTCGCATTGCCAACTCGCGCCTTCCCACTGGCACTGGCATGAAGGCATAGCCCACACGAGCCCTCCACCGTCGCTCGCTACATTCTCAACTCAACATCACATACCATGGGTACGTCAAACCCCGGACACCGCCTGGACCCTTGACACATGGGCGTCGGCATACCGCCTGTCAGAAATGGAAGACACCAGGGACTAACAGAGCACGCAGTTGAGAAGCGCCCTTCAATCGAGGGTCTCGTCGACAATGTTGACCCACGAGAGTCCCACGAGCTCGAAGAGCTGCCCACTTTCGAGAAGCCCTTGGCCGAGCCTACGCCAGTACCGCTCAAGGAGAAGTTGATAACGTGTTTTTGGATCGCTCTGAATACGCTGTCAACACTGGGCTTGATCTTCCTGAGCAAGCGGTATGCAACATGCAGTAGAGCTAGTGGGGGACCCGCTGACAGTCGGATAGAGTGTTCAGCGACAAGCAGCTTAAAGGATGCCAGCTCATGGTCGTCATGTGGCATTTTACAGCCACCGGGCTCGTCCTCTTCATCTCAACCCTCCGACCCTTCCATGCCTTCAAGGCCGTACGGCTGAATGTTTGGAACATGCTGCCTGTCTGCGGCTTCTTCGCCGGATACGTTGTGCTTGGCAACCTTAGCTTGACCTTCAACTCGATCGGTTTCTACCAGCTCTCCAAGGTCATGACCACGCCGACCGTTGTCCTCATCAACTTCGTCCTCTTCCGAAAGCAGGTTACACGATACATGCTGGCTGCCATCCTCGCAACATGCATTGGCGTCTCATTCACCATTAACGAGGCGGCCAAGACCCAGCTATTCGGTGTCATCGTCGCGACCCTAGCATTCTGCAGCACCGCTCTGTACCAGATCTGGATCGGCAAGAAGATCGAAGACTTCGCCGTCTCGCCACCCCAACTCTTGCTTAACCAAGCGCCAATCTCCGTCTGCCTCCTCATCCCCTTCGTGCCCTTCTTCGACACCATCCCGAACCTATCAACCGTGCCCACCGACATCCTCTGGAGCGTATGCGCCTCCGGTATCATGGCTTCAATGTACAACTTGAGTCAGTTTTTGATCATCGGTCGCACCAGCGCCCTCACATTCAACATTGTCAGCCATCTCAAGACTATCATGATCCTGAGTATAGGATGGTACAGCGAGGGCAAGATATTGAGCGGAAGAGAATGGTTCGGTGTACTCCTCGCGCTTGGCGGCGGATGGGTGTACTCGCATCTTGCGCTCAAGGCGAAGAAGCAGGGCGGAAAGTGAGACGCGAAACGACATCATTGGAGTCACACGCGCGTGCTTGGGGCATACTTGATTACGTCGTACAACGAGCGTTTGGGCGGATATGAGAGGTTTTTCCCTTCTTTGACTACTTCCACGCTTTCGCATTTCTGGATCTGGTTTCACACAGCAAACGTGTTAGAACGGGGAGTTGCAGCCCTTCTTTGACCAAGACCTTTTACGCCTTTTCTCCCCCGCGAAAAAGAGAATTTTTACGACGACTAGATTGGCTAACGGTTCGGAAACAAAGGGCGCTTTCTTCTAGGGGTGGTTCAGCGCCAGCGGCGGAGTTTGGAGACCCCATCTTTTGTGTGTATGCTTCTAGCATCTTTTTCCCTTGCTTCTCTTTTTCCTTCTATATACTTGGGTCTCCTGCCTCTGTGAATGTTATCGACACGGCGCTATATACTCCAATGACATAATTTTGAAAGTTCAAGAGACGTTCCAAACGCATGTGAGATGTCAGGCTATAAGGCATCATGTTCAGGCCGAGTAAGTTGAAGACCCAAGGCAAACCAGGAAGCCTTACCCTGATTTCGGCGCAATACACGCATCGCAGGCGAATTACTATCTCTATCTCTATCGCAGACAGCATCACAGTGTACATCACTACGCAGGTCCTCTCTCAAACCCCACGGTACCTATCTCGCAAGTTTACCAAACTCGCTCATGAGCCAGCGATCGATCGGCAATAACACACAGCCACAGCTCGCTATCTAACAAAGCGCGACAGATGTCCCTAATGTGATGGCTAACTCCATAATAATGTTCTTCGCATCTTCCACTGGAGATTGGTCTAAACCCGATGCAGTACACCGAACCACAGGTTTCGGGCCGAGTAGGCTCTGAATCGAAGGTTGGAGGGGACACGTGATCGGCAGAAGGGGGCACAGCCTCGCTTCTAGCGTCCTTCTTTCCAACTATTGTGGACTCAGCCCTGCGATGTTTATGTGGGAGGTGAAGTGCAATTTGTGGCATTGCGAGATCTGTGCGCAGTTGTGCGCTCGATTACTTCCTATTTCATACGATGGTTTTGATGATCAAAGGCGGCTTGGGGATGCCTTATATCCGAGTCGACGAACCAGATCTGGTAGTGGTAGGACGCTGGACGCCTGTGTGCTGACGGTTTGGGGCTGTTCCGGTCACGTTTGTGGGCTTAGTTTCATGCGCTTGATGCCTAGGTAGATGTAAGTGGATTGCGACTGGATGTCTCGCTTGATTTGAACTGAATTTGGGTAGGTGTTATGACGATAGTGGGTGCTGTGTTTGGGTGGCCTGATGGACTTTCGCATACCGGTAAGGCAGATTTCATGGTAGACAATGTGGTGAGGTGAGCATGACGGTTACCGTGGGTGGTATATAGGGTCTTCGAATACCGTGGGAGGATGAGGGGATATTCATCATCACGAACCAATTTCTATACGATTGTACATCACTCATACACCGCACGCATCTTCGCACTCCACGTATCTCGGACCCACATACTCTGGATACCAACATTACCCAAGGCCCAATTGACAAAGTCATTCGAGCACACATTCACATCTCGCAACCCACAAACCTTCACATCGACAACACAAACCAAAACCCGTCAAAATGGGCTGCGGACTTTCCAAACCACCCACAACCCAATATCCGCCTCCGATGCGTCAAACAAAGATGACAAAGCGTAACAAGCGGCATTACGGCGGTGGTTACGACACTGGAGGCGCATACGCATACACAGCAGGATATGGAGGCGGCGGAGGTGGCTTCTTTAGTGGAGGAGATGGTGGAGGTTGTAGCGGTGGAGATGGCGGCGGAGGTGGTGGAGGAGGAGGAGGAGACGGAGGGGGTGGTGGTGGTGGTTGTTAGGGGTGTGTAGGGGAGTTGAAAGGGTATGCGAAGGGAGGGTGTATGTTAGTGTGGAGATTGGAGATTGGCGTTCTGGTATATCATTTGAGGGTTTTCGAAGCGTATGATATGGGGTTTCCATGGCTTGAAAGGCGATATTTTTGAATCATGAGCCTTTTAACTACTATCCCTTTTTGACAGGTACCCGCATTCTCCGTGAATTTTGGAGCGTACGCGTATGGGTGTAAGATTGACATGTCCTGTTCTTGAAACGGAAGAGCGTGAATCGGCTGATCTTTGCGGTAAGTATGTTGCGGTTTCGGCCCTTAGGTGTTCGAACCTGCCTAATTCTGTGCGGCTGAAGCAAGATTTAGAACCTTGGAAGGATTGCCAAGTCAGCTGAGACACTCATATACGAACGTGGCGTGTTTTAAAGCATGCGGTACTCTCATCGTCTTCAGTCTCGTAATACAGGTCGGTACGGATACATCGAACAGGTACTATCGCAAGCGACTCGAATTGTCTGCAACTTGGGAAGGTAAGAATGACGTCAGACGGGCCTAAGCCCCTACGAGCCATGGACAAAACTTTGTCCGAAGCGGCAAAAACATCTGCATCATCGTCGCCGCGTGCGGGTATGATCTCGGATCATCTCCGAGCTTCTCTTGTTGAGCAGTACCCCGCCGAATTCGACACAAACGACACAGAAAAGCCCCCCACAAACGGAGGAGACCAGAAGACCCCACCATGCATCATATGCCACCATTTCGCCAACGGCTTGGAAACCAGTACACCAACGGCAGACTTTCTTGTTTCTGCCGGCACATGTCAAGGATGTTCAATCATCTTGCAGGCTCTTGATGCCGTCACCGATATTCGACGGCCAGAATTCACGACTATCGATATTAGGCGCAAGGAGGCGGTCGACTATTGGCACCTTTTCGACCCCAAGAATGTGTTGAATGTGAGGTGCAAGCAGGAGGGGGAACCATATGGCGGTATGGTGCTATTTGGTCGGAAGTATGTGGATGCGAGACCGAATGATTACCAGATCTACACTCCAGTTGGTAAGTTCTTTTCAGCTGGTCAGGCTCCTTTCTATCAGCCCAAGTCTCCTCTAAAGTAACGAGGAATGAGGGAGTGTTTGGAAATCATGCTAAACTACAAACAGATGCTGGAGAAGACTTTGCTATTCCGTGGCTCGGTGTACGCAATAGTGAAAAAGATAAGTACCGAGAGCTATTAAGCAATCTCGAAGATCGTTTGAGTCAAGCGCGCAGCTGGTTTGAGCAATGCAAGGCTGATCATTCGTTATGTGCACCAGAAAAGGGTGAATGGCCACGTCGTGTACTCGATCTCGCGACTAATTCTATCCGCCTTGTGGATAGCGCATCGATTGCATCAGCCTCACCACAACATCAGGAAGGTTACGCTTGTCTCAGTTACGCATGGGGCACGACCGGCTCTCTCAAGACGTTGAAAAGTAATCTCGAGACCCATATGCAAGGCATCGATATTTCGATACTCCCTCGCACCCTCGCCGATGCCATTCACGTGTGCAAGGCTTTTGGCTTGCGATACCTATGGGTAAAGCAAAGAATCCATGAACTGTATATATCCCAGAAGCTGACTTGATACAACAGATCGATGCGCTATGCATAATACAAGATGATATACAAGACTGGATGGACCAAATTCCACGCATGGCGTCCATCTACCCAGGAGCTGAGCTGGTCATCTCGGCACAAGGTGCATCCAGCGTCCAAGAAGGATTCCTGTCCCTCAGCCCTGCCGCGAATGCACCACTCAAACGCATTGAGGTACCCTTTCGCATGCCAAACGGCACGTCTCGCACAGTTCAACTCTCCATTCGCGAGCGAGAGGAACAATACTGGAATAATCCAGCACATCATTCGTCACGCCCCACTATAGACGATGGTGTCGACATCGACGAAGTTCTCACCCCCCTCACCACCCGCGCATGGGTGTTCCAAGAGAGCTTTCTAGCGCGCAGAATACTATATGCTACACCATCTGAACTAGCGTGGCAGTGTAGCCAGCACGAGAGATGCGAGTGTCGGAAGGAGGCAAAGGAAAACACCGTTCGATCTACCGCAGAAGACGACGATTTCACTGGCGTGCGTACTCTTGGTCAACTACTCCGTGTAGAAGACTTCCGCGCGACCGATCAACCCCGTTTCAACCATTCAAAACTATGGGCTGAGATAGTAGGGCGGTATTCGGAAAAGAGACTGACCAAATGGACTGATCGCTTAGCCGCGATACAAGGCGTAGTGGGAGGATTACAGCAAGCCATGCCTGACAAGTTCAAGGAGGAAGATTACGTATTCGGGCTCTGGAGACCACAGCTAGAAAAATGGCTGTTGTGGAATCGTCCCCATCGGAAGCAACCCGGCGACTCAGAGGTAGTTGCTACACTGAGGAAGATGGCGCCATCTTGGTCCTGGATGACGACTATTGGGAAAGTCACGTACTATGACTTTATCTTTGAGCCGAATGCTGTAACTTACACACACGTCATGCGCTCCGAGAAGAAGGAGCCTGATGGCTCTGCGGCAGATATATTCGGAGCAGGCAACTGTGAGTTGACGCTCGTCGGCTTTTGCCTCCCGGTTCGGTCACCGTTTTCGCTTCATGAGAATGAACAGGGGGAAACGCATTCCTATAACCCTTTCCTTATCCCTGAACGCTATGCAGCCGTTGATAACATCGGCCCCTCAGTCATCGATATGCTAGCGGACGACCCGACGGACACGACCGTGTTTTCCCGCGTCACACATTTTGCGCCTTTAGTAAGCGGCCCGCCGATGGATAGCGATGACCCAAAACTGCGTTTCCAGGGCTTGTTTCTGGAGAGGATAGCTGGTCCGGAAGATGAGGGAGAGCCGTTTACTTGGGAGCTTGAGGGTGTCACTTACAACGTCACGTTTGAGGGTACGTTCAAAAGAGTGGGGTTTGGCTATGATGACTGCTCACAGGTGCATCTTCACTGGAATGATACAGAGGACTATGCTAGCGAGGTTCGTGCGTTTAAGCTTGTCTGAAGTTGATATGAACTGAATGATCAATTGGTGCCTGCATGATACATTCAATTTTTTTCCTATTTCCAGGGCTTCGCATCACTTTTTCTCTTCTCGACGTGATTTAAACCTAGCTAGACCAGCAGCTCAGGTGTTCTCACTCTTCAAACAGATCATCCAGCCCGTCATCTTCTTTCTCCTCGGTGTGCTCCACGACCAGGGTATATTCATCCTCTTCGTCCGTCATCGCGGCATGGTCGTCCATAACATGGCTACCATGATCGTTCTTAGACACTTGCAAATGCCGTGAACACTCCACACCAGTATCTGGTCGTCCAATTGTCTCCCGCCTCTGCTCCACAGTCGGCACAGCTTCTTTATAGAAATTGCTCTGCTTCGCCTTTTTGATCGGCCTTGAAGTGCCTAGAACTGCAGACGATGTATCTGCTTCGATATTATCTAACCCTGACGTAGCCTTGCGCTTCCCAGTAGACTTGAACGCTGCAGTATTCTCAGCTTGGATGGTCTTTTGCTGTTGAGCGGCATCTTGTGCGCGCGCTATTGCTTCAATATCAGCCTTGAATACTGCATCTTTTTCTTCCTGAGTGAGTTTTGGTTCGACATCGTTCTCGGCGTACTGTTCGCGTTCTTCCTGCTCTGCTTGTGTGATGCCTTTGAGTGAAGCTCGTTCGGCCTTGCTCATGTGTTGTAACTTTGACTTTCGACCCAATTTGCGCTCAGTGACGACTTCTCCCTCACTGTGTTCATCTTCGGAGTCTGAGAAGAGCGGGAGTGGAGGTTGGGTGGTTTTCTTCGTCTTCTTTGTCGCTCGAGGAGGGGGTATAGTGGCGCCATCTTCATCAGCTTCGGTGGCAACGGCAAACTTTTTCGACTTTCGCGAGGGCTTGGGCGCAGACGCTTTCTCATCTGTCTCAGCCCCGCGTTGACGTCGAACATGCTCAACAACACCAGGAACCCGAATGTCCCGCTCATCTGCTGTAGACGGTTTGAAACGGTTCAGTGGCTCAGAAGGGATCCTGACGATGTCGCTCAATCCCTTTCGCTTCCTGCTCCGAGCTACCTTCTCTTCGGCAATTTGCTTTGGAGTCTTGCTTTTCCTTGAATGAGAGGATGGGTCGCTACCACCTCTCGAGTTATCTTCATTGACAGGCTTCGCCGCGCCCTCGCCTTGAATCGACTTCTGAGCTCTTAGAAGCGTCTCCTCAGCCAACTCTTTGCGCAGCTCAGCTGGATCAAGACTCTTGCGGAGAGTTTCTTTTTTATCAACAGGTTTATCATCCTTCGTACGTTGAATCTGATTGTACATATTGCACAGCTCTCGTGTCAGGCGCTGCTTGGCCGGTATCCGTCGAGGCGCCTTTCCATCAGCGATGTCTCGGTCGCTGATCTGCTCATTCTCCAGTCGGATGAATTTCTTGATCATCTTCGTCGCCATGGCATCAGCCATATTGGGCACATGTACTCCACCGCAGCGATGGTGCTCTGACCAAGGCGAAACGTCATCATATTTCTGGATGTTGAGAATCCAGGTGCCTTTGCGATTGTCGAGGTCGTCTAGAGTCCAGTCTAGAAATAATTCCTGGTGATCGCACAGTGGTACTGACGAGTAATTTCCCCGCTTGGGTTGGTCGTAAAGAGGATCGCTGCATTGGTTCCTGTCTTTGACTCCTAGTGGTTGGCGCTCGATGAAAGTGTATTCCGGTCGATACTGGTAGTCGTCTCGTGAATCCATCTGAGTACGACTCAGATTTATCGAATTGGGCGCATTGGCTGGCATTCCTGACTTTATATCCTGGTTACCACTAGCCTGAGCCATGATATCTCCAAACGAGATCTTTGGTGCGGTTTTGCCAACAATTGGCTTCTCCTCCTCGGATTCAGATTCGTAGGCTTGTTCTAGGAGATTCTTGAAGCCTGTGGTGAAGAAGGGTTGGTGAGCAGCTTTGCTCTTTTTGAATGCTGCGTTGATGGCGTTGGCAGCGGAAGAGCGGACTCCCGCGGAACCTTCTTCAACAATGATCTCAGGCATACTCACGGATTGAATGTGATTTTAGAAGACGCGGATGTTGCGGTGTGGCACAATTCGAGTTGAGATCGTGAATGAATTCGATGAGGTACAAGTCGGGCTCGTTGCCGTGGGTAGACCGATTTGGAGCGACTGGAGCCGTGGAGCGCGGAACAATGGGAGAGTGAAGGGGTGTACAAGTGAACGCATTCCCATAAGCAAGAACCTAGTACCACTGAGACAATACCATTGTATAGCTATTGAGCCACGTAACGTTATCTGGTCTCACTTTCACTTCTGGAGATCGCGCGTCACTGTGAGATCAGCAAAGACTGTGGAACAACGTCGTTAACAGGATTTGAGCACTTGCCGCAAAGATTGAACAGGAACAGAGATGGAATTGAAGATATGCGAAAACTGGCTATGTTCCACAGAGTCGAGAGCAACATAATCAATCACGATCGCGCAGCCGGATACGTCAGAAGGAAAAATCTATGTTACCATGCCGATGCCTGAGGACGATGATCAGGCTCGCAAGCAGCTTAGGAACTAAGCTGTAATGCCCTGCTTAGCCTTCAAGTACTCTGTCAGATACTGCTTCCGGTACTGGTTTTCATCCGTCTCCTTTCCCCTGTTTAGCGGCGTCCACTTCGGGTCCTCCTTGAATAGTCGCATAGCCTTAATGTACTGAAAACTCATATTAGCACTCTATACTCCCGTAACTATTTTACTTTCCGAATTCACTCACGTTCTGCTCATCAGTAGTGAACCGATGGTAAATTCCCGGCGGCAAAATGATCAAATCACCCTTCTCCAGCCAAATCCTCACCCAGTCGTCGCCCTCGCTCCTCACATCAAAGTAGCCCGCGCCATCGAGGATGTACCGGATCTCCTCGTCTTCATGTAGATGTTCGGAGAAGAACGACTTGACTTTTTCTTCGTAGATGTCGCCCATCTTCTCTGGGCTGACGATGATCTCATCCCGGTTCTTGTAGTTGCGCGATGTAGCAATGGGTTCCACGCCGGAGACTTCTGGTACGCTGTGGTAGATGACACCGAGCTTTTCTAGGTAGTCTGGGTCGACTGAGCGACCGGAGTCATGGGGTTGGCGTTGGTCGCCCTGCGGAGGTTAGGTCATGTGCTGGATGTGGAGACAACGATTAAGACCTACCGGGAGGTTGTCGAACCAGTATGCCTTCATTTTGCAGTGTAAATTATCTTTGGGTTGTAGGTTTCACGAAAAGGGTATCACAGCAACGTGTTGTGGAGGTTGACTTTGCCGTTGGGTATGAAGGAAATAATTTGAGATGCCCAAAAGCACGTGGCGAATGGCGTCATCGGGATTACCCAGCGGGGGTAAGCTAGTCAACAACCACCTGAGCGCGCGACATTCACACCACAACCGTCCAAAGCATGGAAACTGTAGAGCTAGCGGCTGGCGATGAAACCATCCTCGTAGTGCTGTTTGTATATGTAGACTCGTCTTTCAGAATAGCTGCAGCTCTTGTTGGAAAGAGAAGAGAGACATACTACAGCACGTCTTTTCGCAATAGATTAACAACACATTGCACCAGAAAGCGAACAGATGCTCCTTGCGCTATTCGTCTGATTGACTGAGCGAAAGACGTCTCACAGTATTTTTGATTCTTGTGCTAGCTGGAAATGCGCAGTTCGTCTGAACGCAATCCTTCTCTTCCAAGTAGTTCGTTTGTATGTTGAGCATTCCAAGCAATTGATGACTCGCCTGCTGCGCTACCAGATCATTGCAGCTTTGCAAGCATGCATACAATCTTCTTGTTTCCAACGCGCGTCCGCGTCGTCTCAGCTCAATGCATCTTACAGGCATCCGACGTCGCTGACACTTCAGCCGAGCTGACATGTGGAGGTTATCAGTCCCAGTCCAGGTCCTCATCTTCTTGCTGCTTAGCCCTGGCGTTCTGCAGTCTCCGCCTCTCATCCTCCTCGTTGACCTTGTTTCTCGCAAGAACATTTGCACGAATGAGACGCGCCTCCAGATCGCGAGTGGTAAAGCTCTGCTCAGTATGACCGAGTCCCTCAAATCCAATAATGCGATCAGCCCCAATACCATCGATGAAGGCAATAACGCAAGGCAGAACTTGAACTCCTAGGCGTGTGACTAGAAAAGGGCAGTTCTCCACATTGATTTTGAGGAAGCGGGCCTCGTAGTGAGACAAAGCGAGTGACTGCATCGTTGTTAGACAATATCTTTTGTAGGGTTGTTCGTTCTTACCTCGAGATGTGTGTCCATGATACGACACCGGTTGAAGTCGGGCTTGAAAAAGTGAACAACACACAGTTGCGTGCTTGTGGTGATATCCATCAACGCCTTCTCGTCCTTGATTTCCGTGTATCTGCCGTGCTCGTTCTCTTTTAGCCGCCGTGCCTTGTCATACTCGTGATGTAATTGCTGGAGTCGTTGCTCGCGAAAAGCATCCAACTCTTCGTCGTCTTCCAGAGACGCAATGAGCGCATCTTCGTCTGAGTCGTCGTCGCGCGCAGCACGATCAACGAGGGAGGCGACTTTGGGATCTAAGGCGGGCATTTTTCTGGTTTTGTCTGGGGTCGCTTGCCGAAGGATCAGGGGAAAGAGTACAGGACTCGATAAGGAAAGTCACGTGGCGATAGGCTGCCGGAGTGAGCAACGCGCTCTTACTCAAGCTTCCCGGTAGCGTTGCGTGAATCACCCTGACCGTCTAAAGCTTACGCTACGCGGTGTAGTAAGGGCTAGCAGTGAAAAATAGAACACAGCTCGTAAAGGCGGCAGGGTGGTGCTGACAAGAGGTTGTTCGTATTCAAAGGCGGCCTAGCGGCTTGTGAAATTACCACTACCAACAGCAGCAACTCCAGGCCAGGGGAGAGGCAGCGTTAGGACCCACCCACTTCGCGTCCCTGCGCATCTCTCTTGCGACGCCCGTCTCCTTCCTTCTGGTCCCACACTCCTGTCTTTTCTTCTTCACTCGACCGCCCCTCCTTCCTCGTCGCACACACGCCGCCTCATACTTGTCCTCTCCCCGGACATTCCCGTCGCTGCCGCATACCACAACCCTCCACACGCGAGCGTATAGACCCCCTCTCCACCACCATGTCCGACGACAAGAAAAGCGACGACTACAGGGTCGATATGCCCTCCGGCAAGGAATTCCGCGCAGCGTCGCCGCTTACTCGATCAGCGGGCTCAAACCGCGCGGGAGCTGTCGCCATCACAGAGAACCCAATTGCTGCGGTTCTGGCATACTGTGGATCTTCTATTATGATGACCGTTACGAACAAATACGTCCTTTCTGGCGTCGACTTTAACCTTAACTTTTTCCTACTCTGCGTACAGGTATGACCACATCCTCGTGCAGCAGACCGCCTTTCTAACCTATCGCAGTCAGTCGTCTGTGTTGCCGCAATCTCGATATGTAAAGCCCTTGGTATCATCAACTACCGGGACTTCAACAGCGATGAGGCGAAGAAGTGTAGGTTCAATCTACCATTGACAATACGGGAAAATGCTAACATCGTCAGGGTTCCCCATCTCCGTCCTCCTCATCGGCATGATCTACACCTCTACCTGGGCGCTCAAGTACCTTTCGATTCCCGTCTACACCATCTTCAAGAACTTGACCATTATCCTGATCGCATACGGAGAGGTGCTCTGGTTCGGTGGTGCTGTTACACCAATGGCGCTCTTCTCCTTCGGATTGATGGTGCTGAGTTCCGTCATTGCGGCTTGGGCAGACATCCAGCACGCTTTGTCGAGCATGGGTCACGCTGCAGAGAAGACCACTGAGGCCATGTCAACTTTGCACGCTGGATACCTCTGGATGATGTTCAACTGCTTCTGCTCGGCAACCTACGTTCTGTGCATGCGCAAGCGCATCAAGCTCACCAACTTCAAGGACTTTGACAGTAAGTTCATCAAGCCGAAATAAAATACGACCAAGTACTAATTGCAACTAGCCATGTACTACAACAACCTCCTCACCATCCCGATCCTGCTCGTCGCTTCCATCCTTGTCGAAGACTGGTCCTCCGCCAACGTCGCAAAGAACTTCCCCGCCGAACAGCGCAATACCGTCATCATGGTCATGATCATCTCCGGTCTTTCCACCGTTTTCATCTCGTACACCTCCGCCTGGGCCGTCCGTGTCACCTCTTCGACAACCTACTCCATGGTCGGTGCTCTGAACAAGCTGCCCATCGCGCTCAGCGGTCTCGTATTCTTCGATGCGCCCGTCACCTTTGGCAGCTGCTCCGCCATCTTCGTCGGTTTCGTCAGTGGTCTCGTCTACGCCCTTGCCAAGGTCCGCCAAAACAGCAAGCCCAAGACCGTCCTTCCTACAACCAACATCCCGCTCAGCGCTAGCAGCCGCAGCATGCAGGACAGCCTGAAGTCATAGGACAATAGTCGTAGACCAAATTTTCAACGACCACAACGGGCATGAAGGCAAATGACTCTCGTTCCTGTGTTTCTCTTGGCATTGTCGCATTGTATTGTATACGAACGAATGTCCCTTTTTTCACTTCGCCTTTGGGTCCCTAGGGAGGTTCTCTTTCTCAAGGTCAATTTCTTTGTACCTCTCATGCCTTGGAGCATCTTACCCATACTATTCAGAGTCTTAGAACGAGTTTGGCGTTTCGGATCGAAGCAGCGCGGAATCCTGCGGTCCGGCTGGGGTGGTGGAGTATGTGGAGCGAATGGATGTACTAGCATTTTGTTCAACTACCTTTCATATTTCAAGTTCTCCCTCGTTACGTGTTGAAATTTGTATATCCAAGCCGACATTAAACTCGAGCAAACTTTTGTTTCTATACATCTCGTATTCCGCTCCTCACGACTCCCTCCCTACCACCACTACGTCTCCCTCCACCCCCAATCTCAATCTTAACTTCTACTTCCCCCCTCTCAGTCAACACAAACCGCCCCAGCTCCACAATCTGACTAACAAGAACACATCCCGGTTCCTGCCACACCCCCCTCATCTTGACATATGCCCTAATCCCGCCACTCCAACCTGACTCCGGCACAATTTGCTTGACAACATCGCGGAACCGCATATCGCCTGCTACATTCACACGCAGGGTTTCAGTCCCATGACTACTGCGCATCTGCACGCGCAGGCGCGTAAGGTTGAGCGGTAAGATGAGTATCTCATCCCTCCCTAGTTTCTCTGCTGTTTGGCGGGGAACCTTCGTGTTGATACGCGTGAAGACTGCATCTATGTCTATCGGGGAGTTGTCCGAGGGGAGAGATTGGTCTCGGTTTCTGCGGCGGCTTCCTCCGATTGGCATGCGTGGGTGGAGGGTGCCGGAGGGGTCCATGTAATGTGGGTATGGTTCATCTGGGGTGTCTTGTCCGGAGGAGCTGGGGGAGATGTCGGAGTAGTGTGAGGGGCGCCTTGGGAGACGGCGGTGATGTTGAGGTAGTGGAGAGTGGTAGCGTGGAGGCGGCTGTGGACGCGGTGTGCGACCGTGTTGGCGAGGTGGGTCGTAGGTGTGCTGAGAGTGGTAGTAAGGATTTTGGCTTGGGGCTGGGTAGTTGGAGTGCGAGTATGCGGAGGACACTGGGGCACGGCGAAAGAGATCGCGGTTGAAGGGGGATCCGAACATGTTGACGATGGGTAGTAGTAGAGTAGTAGTGGTGATAAAATGTGATAGTTTGAAAATAAAGAGAGTTGAATTTTGGATGCAATCAAGATTATGCTGACATTGATACTCTGTAGTTATCTTACAAGCATAGAGCTTCCTTCACATCATGTGTGGTTTGAGAGACGGGAGTATACATTTCGTGTGACCAAACTCGGAATCGAGATAGGCGTGATTGTCGCGCAAGCCGAATCCGCAAACACTACAGCGTTTACCCGGTCATCGATTCAACACACATGCACACGTGCTATACGTGTTTGAGCATTGCGCTGCGCTTCTGTTGGACCAGAGGACGTAGCTATGCGATATGCGCGAACGCGTCTTGGGTGCAAATCGTGTACCGTTTGACCGGAGAGTGCGATAGTCTTTTCTTGTCGCTCACTGACATCAATTGAGTGTTGCTACATACCGCAAAGGACAAATGAAATCCATAACCTCAACACCGATCCTCTCGCGCCTGACTAAAGAGAGTTAACACCGTATCCTAACATCCTGTACTTCAGCAGAAAGATGAGCTGTCCTCGTCAAGAGGACAGCAGAATGTGTAGTAAAACCAAACAAAGAGCGTGCTTATCCATACATGTGACAGATATTTGGCCGCTTGTTAGGCCATAGTTGGCTTGCCAAATGGTCCGTCTGTCTTGTCACGGTGAGAGCGCGTGCGCGTACTGCCCAGAGAACCAGCCACCTATACCTCGCCAGCCTTTGCGGCACCGCCCTTCTTCTTTTGCTCAACCTTGAGTAGTAGTGCGCGGTTGATGTGCGGCAAAACACCTCCGAAGGCAATGGTAGCGCGGATGAGTGTGTCGAGTTCCTCGTCACCTCTAATGGCGAGCTGGAGATGGCGTGGCGTGATGCGCTTGACCTTCAGGTCCTTGGCAGCGTTGCCTGCGAGTTCGAGAACTTCGGCGGTCAAGTATTCGAGAACGGCAGTCAGGTAGATGCTGGCTTTGGCACCGATGCGCGTCTTTTGTCGCGTGAGGTTTCTGAGATGGCGCTTTATGCGACCGCAAGGGAACTGTAGTGAAGACGGCACGTTAGCGCGTGGTTTCTTTGTGCTGCACGCGAAGCAATGCGCGGGGTGCAATGGTGATGACGCGTATCGGGCAGCTACTCACTTGAAGGCCGGCTTTGGCGGAGTGCGACTTGGGAGTCTTGACTTGCGCATCGCCCTTTCCTCCTGTCTTGCCACCTGTCTTTCCTGCGCATCCTGTTAGCTCTCGAGGCTCTTCGGAGCGCGACGCAAAGTCAGCGCGTACCTTTACCACCGCCAGCCATCTCGGGTGATTTATTCGGGCTTAATGTCGGTGTCGATGGAATTAATAAAGATGCGCGACCGTGATGCCGGGATTTCGAAGCGGATTCTAGGTGGTGGTGTTTGGCGAGAGGTGGGGTGAATGTGGTCAGGTCTTGCTGGGAAGAGGTTCTACTGTTGTGACAAGGTTACGTTCTTGTACCGATCGGGAAGGCTCCACTTGGCATGTACAAGGTAAGGCACCAGTCCAGTCCCCCCCAACCGTACGACGGCGTGTCTGAGGATCGTCGGTGATACTGTGAGAAATTCGTTAATCTGGTCTAATGGGTTCGTCGCATTTTCGACGCCTCATGGAATGCTGGACGGTAAGGTGGTAGGGGCGGGTGCACCAGACGTAGCTTTATCATTGCCACCCAACGAAGGTGCCGAGGAATAATTGTCGAGCATGATGTCTGAGTGACTGGTGTTTGAACCTAAGAGTTAGACATGATGGAAATTGAACATATTACCGTTCTTGGCCGCCTAGTCAACAGCCGTGCGCTGAGGCAAAGCGGCGGCTTCTCGACCATAAGATCTGTAAGTGACAATACATATGGTCATTCCAGACTTGAAGAAATAACCAGGAGATGTTGCATCTGTGATAATCGTCAGTAAAGTGTCGGAGAACCAGAAGTGTGATCAGGAAGCACGGCGCCATGCGGGGCTGCAGTGATTTGTTACAGCTCTGAGATAACCATCGAACGACCTAACCAGAGTATACACGATTGGCTTGAAAATTTGGAAAGAGTGATCTGTCAGGCGACTCGAGCTCGGTCGACTGGCAGCAAGTGGTAGTGCCGACAGGATGAGGAGGCAGTGACGTAGCAAGAGTGAAGACAGAGGAGACGACGGTTAAGGAGACAAGACGGAGGAGTTACTTACAGTGAAGATATCACGAAATAGGTTCTCAGTGGCTGCTCGTCAGTACTGGTGGTGAGTTTGATAGGAATGTGAGCTCATCGCTTGTACGTATGGCCTCCAAGGTTGGAACCGATATGGAATTCAGACCACCTCTGCGTGGGGGCGGTAAGTCCAGGCTCAATCCTAACATACTATAGTCGATACGAATAAGCTTGAGATAGTTTCAAGTGTGCACCACCAAAGTTGTTGGCGTAGCAAAGTGATGAACCGGCGCTCACTGCTCCCGCATTCAGTCGTGATGGTCCGTGCATCAAGGTCCCGCCCTAGCGCTACGTCTGCATGGCTCCCTCCCCTGTGCGACAACATGTGTAGATGCTGCCGCAGTCGTGACGAGACCAGCTATTGCGCGTGCGCATAATTCTCACTGACCGTCTTTCTACAGCCTCAATCACTATCCGCGTCTCTGCCTCTGTCCGGTGCCCCAGGGTCCGAGCTCTGGAGCCAGATTCCGACACGTCGACCGCGCTGTTGCCGACCCCCGACGCCGAATGCCAACCCGCACTGGACGCTCTCTAAGCACCAAAGATCGCCGCGACGACCCTCTAGCATACCTCTGTCATGGCCTGGCAGTCGCCCTCGGCCATGAACGGCGGCGGTGCCAACGGAGGGGGTGACGGCAATGCGCCCGCCGGCACAGAGTACACATTGCAGGGTATGCGCTTCCCCTGGACATGCCATAGAGCTGGCGGGGAGACTGGCAGGCTGACCCTCTCACAGGTGTTATGCGATTTCTACAGCTAGAATGGCACAACCACGAGCGTGCACGGAATGCCTGGGACATTGAGCGCGCAGAGATGAAGGCCAAGATTGCAAAACAGGAGGGCGAGGTGCGGAGTGCGAAGAAGCTCAACGACCAACTGAACAAGCACATTCGCATGCTGGAACAGGCCCTCACCAACGAGAGAAAGAAGAAGAGCGAGGCAGCAGGAGGCGAAGCCGAGGCCACAACAGACGACAAGAAGGACCCTAAGGGCAAGAAGAGTGGCATGAACTCGACGAAGCGTGCGTATAATTTACTGCCAGATTACATTTCGGACGCCTACTAACCTGGCGAAGCTCAAAACAAGAAACACAACTCCTTCCTCGATGTTGACTCGGAGTTCCTCGACCGTGCAGAGGCCGACCGCGAGAATCTACGAGAGAAGTCGAAGCTCTACCTCACGAAATGCGTGGAAGAGATCACATACCTCCTTACACCACCCCCGCAAGCCCCGCAACAACAGCAGAACATGCAGCCCCTCGCAAACGGTAACGGCTACATGAACCATGGGGAGGCCTCAATGGAAGATATCTACCTCCAACAACATCGCCAGAGGCTGCAGTCGCAACTTCCAACCATGCCAGGCACATCCATGCCTACCCACCAGCCTCCCAGTGTACCAGTCCCCTCCGAACTCCAAAGCTTGGCCAACCAGCATCAAATCCACCACGCACCGCAGATGGCACGAGAACCCTCACAGCAACAACCACTTCCGTCCAACGCTGCCATGGCTCAAGAGCTTCTCGCTGGACATCAACGCCAGGTCCAGAACCAGCAGCATTTTTCCTCAGTGCCCGAAGAGCAGGTTGAAAAGGTAACTCATGCTTTCGACAACGAAGGCCGTCAAATACCGATTCGTGGGGAAGAAGCTTCGGATGCAAGCCAGGCTGCCAACCAGGATAAGGATACAGATGATTGGATCTTCGACCCGGCATCGGAGACAGCTCAGGATGGCCCACCGAGGCGGCCAGACACCGAGGAGTTTCCATCAGCGGATAGCATCCCAGCAAAATCGCCACCACGACCAGTCAAGAGGGCCAGCAAAGACCACGTTAGGCGATTGAGCAGCGACCAGAAAGCACAGCAAGCCGTAGCTCAGTCAGCAGCAAAGAATGACCCGCAAAGTTTCAAAGTCCGATTTGCACTGCGCGGTCACCTCGATGTCGTGCGGTCAGTCATTTTCACTGGGGGCGGCAGTCCTAGTGAACCTGAGATCTGCACCGCAGGAGACGATGGCATGATCAAGAGATGGATGATTCCTGCAAGCTACGCAAACCAGCACAGCATGAACAATGACCTCGACATTCAGCCGTTCTGGTCGCATCGAGGACATGAGGGCACTGTGACATCGTTAGCAGCCTGCCCCGCTTCTGCTCATTTCGCTACAGGCGGAAGAGTCTCTGGCGATGGCTGGATATTCTCTGGTGGTCAAGACGCTACGATCCGCGTATGGGAACGAGGCCGGGTCGATCCCAAGGCCACCCTGGAAGGGCACACAGATGCTGTCTGGACTGTATGCGTTCTTCCAACCAACTGTGCTAATCTCTTCGGCGCGGATAGTAGCAAGTATGGAGGACCGGACCGCGTCATACTTGCTTCTGGGTCTGCTGACGGCACTATCAAAATCTGGGCCGTAAGTGCACCGCCTCAGCTCGTCTCACCGCAGACGGGATCTCGACGTGGTGTTGGTGGTAGCCGAAGACATTCGGTCACATCTGGCTCGCATCACCCATCCTCACCGCAGCCCAGCATTGCTACTACGACACCATTCCATCACATGTTGATACATACTATCGAGCGCGACACGCATGCTTCACCTACTTGTATCAGCCCGCTGTCACCCACTGGAGAGAATTTCGTTGTCTCATTCTCTGACGCATCTATATTGGTGTACGACACGAGGACCGGCGAGGAACTGATTGGTATGGCTAGTAATGAGTCATATGACGGCACTCCAGCGACTGGTATTACATCAGTCGTGACCAGTTCCCAATACCTTGAAGGCTCTTCACAAGAGGCGGGTCGCGGTGGTCCTGATGAGGAAGGTATACACGGCCCGACCGGATCTGCCAATGGCGGTCTCGAGGGTGTTGTAATCAGTGGGCACGAAGACCATCTCATCCGGTTCTTCGATGCCAACTCAGGTACGTTTTTGCAATATCAAGAAATGCGTCCTTGCTAACCAAGAACAGGACAATGTACATACAGCATGCTTGCGCACCCTGCAGCTATTTCTTCGTTGTCGCTCAGCAAAGACGGCCGGGAAGCCGTCTCCGCTGGCCACGACGCTTCCATTCGTTTTTGGTCCCTTGATAAGCGCATCTGCACACAGGAGATCACCGCGCATCGTATCATGCGTGGCGAAGGTGTGTGCAGCGTTGTTTGGAGCCAGGACGGTCGCCTTGTCGTCTCAGCAGGTGGTGACGGCATAGTGAAGGTATTTGCAAGGTAGCATCCTGCAGAGCCACCAACTACGACTTCTCCTCGCATTTCTGAGCCTCCGTTTCGCATGAACTATTGGCATTTTTAGCTGGACATACCCCTGGATTTTGATCGAACTGGGAAAGGGAAAGCATGATTGATGGGTATTCTGATGGTGGGATGGTAATTTTTCGTTACTTCTCAACGCGCCTTTGGTAGACAGGCATTCGCTGGCGCCGTGTGTTATGTTGACTTCGCTGCCTTGTATTATACGATTGGGATGATCGAGCTCAGCGGGAGACACGCAAGAGCCAGCAAGTCAGTAATCCGACTTTCTCCAATAGTTGACAGCGTGATAATGTGCGCCTGCCTGAACACATGACCTGAGCTCAATAGGTAGACACTGCAATGTAGTCGTGACGTACGAGTTCCCTGGCCGCGGGGGATCTGTGCACAAAGAGCCCCCAAATTACGGGCAAGGCGCGACATGGATGCCTTAAACTGAGCTCTGAGCTGAAGCGACCTTCTTCTGAACCCCGCCATCTGCAATCGCTTGCAATGCTGTATCTCCTTTTTCGCGCGCGTTGATTGTATACCTGGTGTCATTGGACACGCGTGGAGATGTCTGGTATAATCGGCGCTGTAAGTTCCTCCCATTTCTAGGCGCGTCAACAAGCTCTGGGAAACTTCCCAGGTTAATGGTACCAAGCTAATGCACCCACTACCACGATAGCTCGTCGCTCTGCCCCAGAGCATCCAGTCCGCCAAAGAACTCTACGACTTGCGCCTCAAGTACAAAGATGCCTCGGTTCTCATCACTGCGATATACTCCGAGTCCATGATCATTGCGGCGTCTTTGTCCCAAGTCCAAAACCTTTTACAAAATGATGCGCTACGGGAGAAGCCCCAGCTGCTCGAGACCTTCGATCGCGCGCTTACGGGCTGTCGAGTCGTGTACGGGTGTCTAGAAGAGGAGGTACGAGACTTGAGAGTGAAGGCGGAGAACGACAACCTAAGGTTCAAAGACAAAGCGAAGTTTGTGTTCAAAGAAGACACTTTTAGAGAGCTGCTCACCCAGATCCGCGGCCAGCAATCAGCGCTCAGCTTACTGATACAAGGACTGCAAATGGAGTCTATTGCGGATATCAAGAAGCTGGTCGAGGACAACAGTGTGACACTCGATCAGGTCGTAAAGCGATCGAGGACGCTGCGGCAGTCGCACCCAAGGCTAAAGTTACCGGAGTCGCTGTTCGATCGGAAAGGCCTTAACGAGAACGAAGCCGATGTGGACTCTATCGCGAAAGCTACGGAGTTTACGTTCGATGATGAGGTCGTCAACTCGAAAGCGTATCGTAGGGCTATGGCTATGGCCATGTCCACTTCACGTCAAGGATCCAACGCGTCCAAGGAGTCAACTACTGCGGTACCGGAAGGCAGTTCAACCGCTCTCGAAACAATATCTCCGAGTGACGACCAGAGTGAAAGAGAAGAGCCGACGACTCATCCTCTATCATCATTGGGAAAAGACAATACTCCGACCGATGTACCAAAGTCGGAAGCAGAAGGCGAACCATCACCCCAATCCACAACGACAGATGAACATGCAGATTTGTTTGATACCCTCGAACGCGACATACTGTCTTTCATGCCACAAACCTCTTCCACGGCACTTTGCTTGACTCCCAACCATACGGGGTCTACGAACCCCTCTGCGCTACCGAATGATCCTTATGGCGCGTTAACACCAGCGCCACTGCGATCATTCAGTGGCGACAGTGGCACGGGAGTTATAGAAGCCGCACCTCCATTGCCCCCTCGTCGTCCGAGTGAGCAATCAGTCGTAACACCTCAGATGCGCTTAGTGCCTTCTAACGATAGCATGTTTTCTTCCAATGCACCATCAATTCTATCAAAAGCGTCGGAGGCATCGTCTTACACCGTATATGATACTCCGCTGTTGAGCCCCGATTCGACCGGCCAACTATCGCGGAAGCCGCTGCCCTTTATGCACAAGTCATCTTACAACGCGCCAGGTAACACTTCGCGTGGTCCAGACGAAGTCGTAGCAGCGAGGGCACCCTTACCCTTGCAAAACGTTGAAATGCACAATATTTGGATGTCTTTGGTCGAAGCTGAGAGGAAGTTCATCGACCGCATAATGAGACTGAAACGGATGTTTTACGATAACATAGTAAGACAATGGCCTGTCCTTGAGAAACACATGGATGCCATCCTTATCGGCGAGCAACTCGCAACACTCCATCAGCAGTATCTGCTCCTGGCGATGGATCATGGTCTCGCTGGCAGTACTAACGCCCTCTGCAATCCATACATTATCGAAGTCTGGGTAGACAAGAGTCAGCAACTGTATCGAGAATACTGTCGCAAGATGCCGCATGCCGCCTCCTCACTACGATCGACACAGAACATGGACCCAAAGTTTACCCCTTTTGTCAATACACTTGGTCTGAGTATCGCTTATTTTGGCAAGAGCTGGCAAGACTATTTGGAGCTTCCTCAGGTACAGATGCAGACTTATATCGACAGCCTACAGAGGCTTGTCAGCATTGCGGACTCCCTCAATGATCCAACGGCAAATCGGGAGGCTTTGCATTTACGACGCGCTCTACAGGCCGTCACTTGGCTGAAAACATCGATCTCAACTTTACTAGATGAAGCGCAGGCTCGTGAAGATGTACAGAATCTTCAGAGGCGTATCCGAACAGATGCACTAACGTTTGCGCAACTACGTCTGCATGAGCCAGCCCGTCGCATCTTTCACCAAGGTGGTATGGCGATGAAGTTCAAGAGCCAGGGATCTTGGATTCCAGTACACGCCATGTTACTCGATAACTACTTCATATGGGGTAAAGCTAAAAAGAGCAAAGGAGATGAAGTTCTGATAACGGACCCACCTATCGCGGTCGCCGATATGGAGCTGTCTCTTCCGACAGACGTATACCAGTTCCAGAAGGCTACCATGCTGGACCAGATAGCAAGGGGCTCAGTCGTGTAAGTCTGGTCTCTACCTATAGCGTGTTGCTCAGCTGACGGACCAATAGATATATCATCATAATCAACAACAAAGCCCAACCAGGCAAGCCCAGTTTGCTAGGCCTGTACGGCTTCCCAGAGAGGAGAGACTGGCTCGATCACTTCACTGCGGCTGGGACCAAGTTTCAGAGGTGAATTACGTCGTTGCTCTGGGCTTTCAGACACTTGGTCATTGCTCAGGGCTGTCCGCGGTCACACGTGGGTGTATACGCCTCATGACCTATCCGCCGTCGGCGAGAGACACTGTCGTTGGTGTATGCACAGAGCGGTATAGGATCATAAGTCCGACCTACGCCTGTCTGTTGATCAGCAGGCTCCCCCAAGTGTTCAGTTGTCGTGCCGACCCCGCTCATCAGGGCAATATCTCGCGGACTCTCGATGTGAGTCACTATCGCTGGTGTATGCACGAAGTGGTATATTCGAACAAGACCGACGCAGGGTTTATCTGGTGATCAGGAGACTAGCCAGGAGGATACTTCACTCAGTTTGGAGATCTATCAGGAATTCACACAAGAAAGCGGATCAGCCAGGAGCGCGATTCAGTCAAGATGAAGATTCGCCAAACACGCAGGCAGGAGGTCAGTCCAGTCAGTGTGTAGTTCTGCCAGACACACACCTACGAGAGTGGTTCGAAAAGGATGAAGATATACCAGCCACTCAACCAGGACAGCGGTTCAGTCCAAATGAGAATCCGTGGGACACAGAGCTGGTAGGGTGGGATGGTCGAAGTGCCTACTCTAGTTTTCATGAGTGGAAACGATAGGGTGATGGATTGACGCACCTTATACAAGGGAAAAACTGAACACCCTAGAGCCTACGTTAACTTTGGGCCCCCTACTTTGCATGTTTTCATGTTGATGTAGGCTCCAGGGTGTTCAGTTTTTCCGTTGTATGAGGTGGACGGCAGGAGGACATGGGTACATAAGTTCACGGCAAGAGGGTAGCGATAACATGTAGGATATGGATGTCATACTAGCATCGTAAGTCCGAGCGGCGACTCTGCATAACCTGGTTGGGCTCACAATATTACGAAGAAATGACGGTAGATATCCAGGATGTAATTCAATACGATAAAACTCAAGCCTTCCTGCCCTGCTGTTGTGATTGTATCGCGTACTTATGATATGCCAGACCAGGCGGTGTTCGACAGCGCAGGCATATAGACCTTGACTAGTCTGACCAGCGATGGTCCTTGTGGACTTTTGAGTTGTTTGGTATCGCCCGTATCATTGCGACTGAGGATGGTGTCGACGTGTGGTAGCGATCGCGCGGCGGGTGGGTAGGGCGAGTAAGGCGAGTAGCAGCGTTGCGAACGATAGTCTACACGCATCAGTCAGTAGCACGCCTTGACATCATCCAACTTGTCGCACACCAATCCCATCCCCACGACATCACGCCAATGCACCCAATGACTTTGAACATGTATCATTGATCTTGTCAGGAATCTTGATTGAAAAGTGCCATTGTTATGGACTTTCAGGACATCAAAAGAACACCGTCGCACCAGCCCGAACAAGTTGCCGTTGTGTATGGGAAAGACTGTGCATGTGTGTCTCCCCAAAGATAACTGAATTGTTCTCGAATCTGCTTCCGTGCCCGGTATAATATTGCGCCTTAGTCATCCATCGCTACCATTGCCTTATTTTTCGACCGCTCGTTCCCGTTTCTCGCCAAAAAATGGTTGTCGGAAAAGCTTATATCGAAGAAGGGTACAGCATGACGCGGACGGAGGCACCGAAGGACTTGGGAGGCAGGTTGTTCTTGAACTTGGCGCGGACGACGCCGGAGTTGCCGTGGGGGCGGGTGACCTTGCCCTGTTGTTTGGGTTAGCTTTTTGTCTTCGGTGTATTTGGACGGTGGGATGGTATTTCGTACCCAGATGACACGGATCTTGGAGCCTTGGATCGCCCTTTGTGCGCGGTAGACGTAGGCTACCCTCTTGCCAGCGTCTGTCGGAGGTATGTTAGCGATCAAAATTCGACCGTCGGGGGCACACGGAGCGCGGAGACGTACACCACTGAGCTGCCTTGACATCGTCGACGCCCTCAAGCTTGAGCAGAGAGGTTCCGGGGTTGGTGTTCCTCTGCGGTCATCGTCAGAAGGGGAGCGTCAATACGCGAATTCGGTGCGCACAAACCTTGCCGCGCTGGTAGCTGATGTGCTTGCCCTTGACGTAAAGGCGGTGGGACTTGTTGTCGGCAGACATGGCGAATTTTTTGGGCGGCCTCGGGGGGGTGAAGGGGACGTCTGGGTCGGGATTGATGCTGTCGTTAGTACAGAGAAGTCGTCGTTGCCAAAGAGAAAGACGAATTGCTTCATGTCCAGTGGGGCGTTCTCGCTTACTAGCGCCACACCAGCCACAGCTTGTGTGGCGTAACGTTGCCGTTGCCTCGCCGCAGGCAGTCGCGAAGAACACCAACACTACAACCTTGGAATATGGATTTTAGGATTGATGAGTCTACTGGAAGTATCAATAGGTGTCATGATGCAAATTGAGGGTTTGGTAGCAAAGACACTGCGGTGCACGCGGGTCTGAGTATGGATGTGTCTGTACTTCCTCACTGGTATCACCATTCCTTGACAGTAGAAGCAGTCAGACAACTGGCAGTACCTTTGGAAGAGATGCGCTCGAATTCACGTCTTCAACATGGTCACAGTATGTAGCGTCAGTGGTGAAGGCACAATTCCTCCCCAGACGTTCCGCGGCAACGCTTATGCTCGTCCCAGCCCCCTCTTACTCGTTCGGGCTTTCTCTTGCAGTAGATGTGTAAGCATGGCGGTTCATTATCAGTCTAGCAATCCGCCTGGGCATGTTCCATCGTCTGACTGACCAGCCTTCGCGTGTCGCACGTCGCCCTGAGGACCAGGCGTCATCGGTCCGGCCAGGTGTGGTTCACTCATCATGTCACGGCCTGGGAGAACCCAAATAGCCAACGGCAAAATTCTCACGTCGCCATCATGTCTCCAGTGCTCACACGTCACGTACAATCCATTGTTGGGAAGCCAGCACGCCAACATGGCTGCAAGTCTTCAATTGCGACGGGCCCCACCAGGCTGCTAGCTTACCAGTGCTGGCCGCTCGGTATACTCAAAGAGGGGCCGGAGGATTTGACAGACCCAAGTACCAGCCCGCGACACTGAGACGGCCAATGCTTGTGTACACTCTAATAGAATTTACACATCGTCCGGACTCGGGCAACCTCGCAGCGGGGTAGCCGTACACGAACTGTGCGTGCCTCGCGCGCTGTGACGGTTGTGAGACGCGACCACAGTCTTGGGACACAATTATAGCATGAGAAACAAAGTTTAAGAGCCTCAAAGTCTATCCCTTCCCAGCCGAGTGTGGACGAAGCCGTTCCACGCGCGATGCATGGCGATGGTGGGGTTGTCCGCGAATCCCTAGGTACGGCTTTAGCAAGGTCTCCTCCGGCGGGCTTCAAGGGTTTTGACTGGTGCCGGAGAAGCTTTGCAAGACGTGCGGCCGCTTAGTGATGCTTGAGGAATGACCTAGTTGTTTATCGATGCCTTTTTAAAGACGTCAGACCGCGCCGTGTGTTTCTGTGAAGCATTCCTGTCTGAGACCCTATCACCGGCGTTCGAGCGGCAAATTAAAGCTAACCAACGTCACCACCACGCGAAACCGCTAGAGCAGCTCCGATAACCCCACTACATAGGACTTTTCCTCACACATCCACGTCCTATCCGTAGCTTCCGCCCTTACGTCGAGATCTCTTGTGCTACCTTATTGCCCTCACCCACTGCAGCCCTTAATTGAGCTGTAACCTTGCGCCCGCTCCTCCCCCAAAGCGTTTACATCACACATCAACACAATGGCGGACACAGTTATCCAGCCCAAGCATGAGGAGGTCAATGCCGGGTAGGTAGCCTCCACCGTCCCTGATTGATTTCGTACAGCCTCAGAAGAGCCGTTCGGATATGTCATCAATTTATCCGGCCGTTGTTTTCTGCTCAAGCGCCTCGCGCTCCTCGGCGGAGGGGTTGGTCGATGCGCGAACCCGATCAAGGCCTTTAGCATTTTGAGCACCACAGCTAACCAGATCTCGCGGTAGAAACATGGAACTCAAGGACAACACCATCATTGTTGTTTTGGGCGCCTCCGGTGACCTCGCGAAGAAAAAGACCGTACGTAAAGAAGCAAGCATGCGAGCAAACATAAGACTAACGTCATACCAGTTCCCAGCGCTCTTCGGCCTCGTAGGTTGCACGATACAGATCGGCATGCGTATTCTCTGACCACCAGCACAGCACCGAAACAACTTCCTCCCAAAGAACATTCACATCGTCGGATATGCACGCACGAAGATGGACCGCGAGGAGTACCTCAAGCGCGTCAAGTCGTACATCAAGACCCCCACAAAAGAATTGGAGAAGCAGTTGGACGAATTCTGCGAGTTCTGTTCGTACGTCTCTGGCCAGTACGACCAGGACGAATCCTTCATCGGACTTGAGAAGCACATGCAGGAGATCGAGAAGGGCCGCAAGGAGAACAACAGGATATTCTACATGGCCCTCCCTCCCAGCGTCTTCATCACAGTCTCCCAGCACCTGAAGCGCAACTGCTACCCCAAGAACGGCATTTCTCGCGTCATTGTAAGTCGCTCTTGTGTCACTTTCCGGACACATGCAGCTAACCGCTGTCGCACAGGTCGAGAAACCATTCGGCAAGGACCTCCCAAGTTCAAGAGAGCTGCAGAAGGCGCTGGCTCCCGACTGGACTGAAGACGAACTTTACCGAATTGACCACTACCTGGGTAAGGAGATGGTCAAGAACATCCTCATTCTCCGATTCGGTAACGAGTTCTTCGGCGCAACCTGGAACAGGAACCACATCGACAACGTTCAGATCACGTTCAAGGAGCCTTTCGGAACCGAAGGTCGTGGAGGTTACTTTGACGAGTTTGGCATCATCCGTGATGTTATGCAGAACCGTAAGCGAAGACTGATAGTTGGAATGAGGATTGACTAACGGTTGCAGATTTGCTCCAAGTTCTCACCCTCCTCGCTATGGAGCGCCCCATCTCCTTCTCCGCCGAAGACATCCGCGACGAAAAGGTCCGCGTCCTCCGTGGTATGGCCTCGATCGAGCCCAAGAACGTTATAATCGGACAGTACGGAAAGTCACTGGACGGTCAAAAGCCAGGCTACAAGGAGGACGACACAGTCCCCAAGGACTCGCGATGCCCCACTTTCGCGTCCATGGTCGCCTACATCAAGAACGAGCGATGGGACGGCGTGCCCTTCATCCTGAAGGCAGGAAAGGCCCTGAACGAGCAGAAGACGGAGGTCCGCATCCAGTTCAAGGACGTTACCTCTGGCATCTTCAAGGACATCCCGCGAAACGAGCTTGTCATCCGTGTGCAGCCTAACGAGAGTGTTTACATTAAGATGAACTCCAAGCTACCCGGTCTCAGCATGCAGACTGTCGTCACAGAACTCGACCTTACCTACAGACGGCGATTCTCTGACCTGAAGATCCCCGAGGCATACGAATCGCTCATTCTTGACGCGCTGAAGGGCGACCACTCCAACTTCGTTCGTGACGATGAGCTCGACGCTAGCTGGAGGATCTTCACACCTCTTCTCCACTACCTTGACGACAACAAGGAGATCATTCCTATGGAGTACCCATATGGTTCGTAGTAGGCCGTGGATGCAAGCGAATACTGGCTAACTATTATCAGGCTCTCGCGGCCCTGCCGTATTGGACGACTTCACTTCTTCTTATGGATACAAGTTCAGCGACGCAGCAGGTAGGACCGCACCTCTACAGGACATTGAACACAAAGGCTGACACAATTCTAGGATACCAGTGGCCCATGAACGAGCAGAAGTTGTAGATGGTGACTACACTTAGAAAGCGCCTCTGGTGAGGTCTGCTCGGGGTGACAACAGAATACATTTTTGGGAGGTTTGAGCAGCTTAGGTGCACTCAAGCCAATAGATAATGAATACAACGGCATTTCCATGTTGTACAGTACTCAGTCATGCATGCGTGATGTTAATCTTCCGCTACAGAGCGCTTTGCTCCGGGGCAGCATATTAGACTTCCGAAAGCGGAGGCTGGTAAGCTAGGTGTCCTTGGTGGGGTCCAAGGGCCAGAGCGGGATGGCATCATCGGCGTTATGAGAAATTTTTGAGAGGCGTCGCGTCAGACGACATCGATTGAGTCAATTGTAGGTGTCACTGTAGGCAAAATTAGACTCAACCAGTCATCAAGTACTCGCAAAAAGTGGGGAGCATCTCATGTGCGTGTATTGTTGCTGTCTATTGCAGCCGCCAGTCATACTTTGCCGCAACATCCTAAAACCTGCCCTGCGATTACCCTGTGATTCGTTGAGCCTTTCAAAATTTGGTAGCTGTAGTCAAGAGTCACTGCGTATTAATAGTCTAGATTTCTCCAACATCATCCGGATCATACAGCCACATTGAGTTGTCGCATCCCTCCTCCGAGCCACCTCCGCAACAACCTCCGCGCACCCACCATGACTCCCGCACAGGACATTGCCGGCAGCGGCATCAGCCAACTCGCACGCCAAGTGTCCAACAGCCTCAATCTCAGCACCAGCCCAAACCTCTCTTTCCACAGCCCGCCCTCCACATTCCGCCAACCACCCACTGGCAGCTTCAGCAATCAAGCCAACAACAGCGCGCACGCGCAACAACTCGCCAAACAACTGAAACCGTTCGACACCAAGGACATTAAGGTCCTACTCCTCGAGAATGTCAACGAAGCCGGTGTCGATATCCTCCGGGGCCAGGGCTACCAGGTCGAGGCGATCAAAGCCAGTCTTGCAGAAGACCAGCTGATTGAGAAGATTCGCGATGTGCACGTCATTGGCATTCGCTCAAAGACAAAGCTCACCAAGAAGGTGCTGGAGGAGGCAAAGAACCTAATCGTCATCGGCTGCTTCTGTATCGGAACAAACCAGGTCGACCTCCAGACTGCCGCCAGCCAGGGTATCGCCGTCTTCAACTCGCCCTTCAGCAACTCGCGCTCCGTCGCCGAGCTCGTCATCTCAGAGATCATCGCGCTCGCTCGCCAGCTCGCCGACCGCTCTATGGAACTACACAATGGCACATGGAACAAGGTCAGCAAGGGCTGCTGGGAGATCCGCGGCAAGACGCTGGGTATAGTCGGATACGGACACATTGGCAGCCAACTGAGTGTGCTGGCCGAGTCCATGGGCATGAGCGTCATCTACTACGATGTCTTGACCACCATGGGTCTGGGAACAGCGCGACAAGTCGCATCTTTGGACGACCTCCTCGCACAAGCCGACTTCGTCTCCCTCCACGTTCCGGCTACCTCAGAAACCAAGAACCTGATCGGCGCAGAGCAATTCGCAAAAATGAAGGACGGCAGCTATCTCATCAACAACGCGCGTGGCACCGTCGTCGACATCCCCGCCATGATCGAAGCCAGCCGCTCCGGAAAACTCGCCGGCGCCGCCATCGACGTCTTCCCCAACGAACCCGCCGGCAACGGCGACTACTTCAGCTCCGACCTAAACGCGTGGACAAAGGACCTCGTCGGCCTAAAGAACATCATCCTAACCCCGCACATCGGCGGCAGCACAGAAGAAGCGCAGTCCGCCATCGGTGTCGAAGTCAGCACAGCACTTGTCCGCTACGTTAACGAGGGCACCACTCTCGGTGCTGTCAACCTGCCTGAAGTCAATTTGCGCAGCTTGACGCTCGACCAGCCCGACTGCATGCGTGTTATTTACATTCATAAGAACGTTCCTGGTGTGCTGAGACAGGTCAACGGTATCTTGCTTCACCACAACATTGAAAAGCAGATGAGTGATTCAAGAGGCGATGTTGCGTATCTCATGGCGGATATCAGTGAGGTTAAGGAGGGTGAGATCAAGGACTTGTTCACGAGTTTGGAGGAACTTTCTTGTAAGTCTTTCCCTATCCTTACATTTCTGCTTGTGGGTGGAATAGACAGCTAACTAGACGCAGCGTGTATCCGTACCAGGGTCTTATACTAGGCGGACAGTCCCTTTCACGATCGCGTAGAAGAGCGGAAGGAAACACGGTCGCCTCATCTCGTTGAGCAACATAAAAACGATGCGAGGGATGATATGTTGGGTTCGTTACCGCATATAAGGGACCTTAAAAATATGGGTAGAAGGCTTTCGCACGGCGTCTGATTTGGTGTTGTGCATACATTGGTCAGAAAAGTAGAGTTCAACACTGGGTTATTATTACTACCGATATGAATGAGAAATGAGAAGTTATGAGAATAGAAGCACGCTATGGAAACATCTGCTAGGAATGTCCTGCCAGCCTCCTGAGTTATAGCGCACACGCAGTCCTTCGCTCGTTGTATGAAGCCATACCTAAAGCCGACCCGACCCTTTCCTCACCTATTGCGATGTTTGTGGGGGGACTTCTCGATACTCTCGTCGTTCCTAACGCCCATACTTGTCTCATTGATCTCTTTAGGTGGGCTTCCTACGACACTCCCTGCTAGGTGTTCTTCTCTACTCGGGTCGGACTAATCTATCTCAACTTCTTCGATGACAAGGTTGACGAGGTTGCGACTCAGTCGATGCCGGTACTTGTTGTGCCGTCTGAATAGCACGTTCGCTTGGGTTGTGGTTGTAAAGTCGACTTACGAAGCCTGTAGGAATTGATTGATGGGGAAGTTGGTGCGAAGGGTGGCGTTGATGAACTTTTCTGCTGTAGGCAAGATCGTTTTGGCTCCTCTTTATTGACTCATGGTATGTTGCCACGAGAAGGGTTTTTCCTTGATCGGAGAAGAGTGGAAGTGTGCTGCGTAGATAGGACGTGCTGCCATCGTGGTCGCGAACTCGGCGAATAGTACCGCTTTCATCCTACAGCGAGAATAGCATGCGACGTGATTCCAGTCGAGTGATCGTGGTGCCTGGTGGAATAAAACTTGGTAGCTTGAAGCCTGCGGGCTCTTGCTGACGGGGCCCAGAGACTACAATACGTTCTAGGCGAAGGTCGCTGTGATGGTGCGTGGATTGTATCATCCAAACCGGGTTCAGCCTAGGGTGATAGTCACCGGCTCTCTTTCACGTATCCAGCCTAACTCTTGTTCTCCATCACTCCACAATTCTCCCCAGTAGAAGTCTGGATTGTCGCGGGCTATCAGATTCTGTATGCCTCTGGTGGTAGAAGTCTACTTGCTGAGCCCTTCTCCTTTCTTGATAGACGTGTCATGGGACTCGGGTTTAGCCATTGCGATCCCTACGCGTTCGTAATGAGTGGTGTGATCCTGTAGCAGCGATATCGATAAACATCTAAGATCAGTGTCGTAAGTGACCGCACATATCACTTGAGCGCTGTTGTAGTCGTCTGGAAAGCTTGTATCCCACTGCACGTGCATGTAAAGCTTGATCTCTACGCCAATCCCTTCAAACCTGAAGTTAGGAAGTACCAGATATGCTCTCTGCGCCTCAGAGAAATAATCGCCCATTCGTTCTTGGGTTGAAGGTACTATTTTGACCGCAGGAAACCTGTAGATCTTGACGGTAATTCGGATGTACCGGGGATCCTCAAGGGAATTGATGTTCTCGAAACCATCAAGGTGATCAGAGGTTGTATGGGCACTTATCTGATATTAGTGAAGAATGTTTGCAAATTCGACACGGCCATCCCAGCCAAGTGTTGACCGGCTGGTGTATTCCGGTCGTCTAATGGCGGTCGAAAGGTGCTTCCAGTTTATACAATTTGTATGCTTCCAGGCCAGCGACAATCAGTGTGGTTTGTCCCACATAGTCTCAGTGGATTGTTTCTTGGATCGATGATAGTTCAAAGCGCCCCGTATCGCGTTCAAGGCATCATAGTCGTAGCTGAGTTTGCAAGCGGAGTATTGCTCGAGCGATCGCATGACCTCGCTAGGCCCGCTATGTCCGTCGCTTCTGGGCCCTAAGACTTGCGAATTCAACGTGCCTCCGACCCGATAGACTTCCGATTCAGAAGGGTAGCGTTGGAAACCTTCATGTCCTTGCATCAGGTTGCAAATGAACAACACTGCACTATCCGTGAAGTATAGTCGCCTGGGAGGAAGGTACCCTTCTTGGAATGTCCATCCCCGTGTAAACCATCGGGATCTGGCGATGGACTGGAAAACGTTTGTTAGAACATACGCCACGCACATATTGCCAACGACAGCGTCTCGATACCTCACTCTCCGTTTGCTACATACACCCGGCAAGCCGAATGAGAAGTCGTCGCCTGCGGCGGCAATCAATGTGAGCTCTGCTGAGGTGTATATAAGATCCATTTGCTGAATCTGAAGATGCCTGTCTGCTGCGTTGTCTTGCTGTATGCACTGGTCTATTGGTTAACAACATCGGTGTATTACTTCGGTACTCACAAAGGCGCTGCGCTGATACGTTAGCGCGATTTGCATCTATAATTAGTGCAGAATAACTTACTCAATCCAAAGATACTGATACCCAAGAAGCAGTATAGCTTTAATGCTATCCTCGATAGTACGAGGCAGCTTAGCAGGTAAAAGTTTGGATTTCATGTCTCTGTTGAAGACCAATCCACCCCATACGTAGCACAAGGCCACATATCGGCATCTTACTGGCGCCGAAATGATGGCTCTTTCCGCGCAGTCAATGACTCTTAGGTTGCGAGGTTCTTCATATGTGCTGAGCCTGCACCGAATGTGCGACTTGCTGCACTCATCAAGCCAGCCCTTGATCTGATCAAAATCAATGCGTCCATCCTCCGTTTCTACACTCTCCCAATCATCAGCGATGGAAGGCTCGGGATGTCATACTTTTATCATTCCGGTTATACGATAATCTCCCTCCCTGCTGCCATCAGAGTCATGGAACACTGCCATGCCTGAGTGACCTAACCAGCGTTCCTAACGCAACCAAGGCCTGATCATGCTCGGCCTCACCTCTTGATATTTATGCAGTGCCATTCCAAGTATCTCGCATACCTCACAAAGCAAGTTTAATAGCTCTTCCACGGTTTCTTCAATTGTGAAGACTTTCTGACCATCTTTTTGGCACGGAACTCTTGGCCATATGGATGAGCATCGATAGCATAACTTGCTCTTCTTCAGGTAGAATTGCTCCGGTACATCGACGAATTTCGTCATGTCGCTCGCAGTCGACGGGTAGGTGGGATAAATGGTCAAGTGACAAAAGAAGCTCACCTTTTCATGGTTGTACACATCAGACAAAACGTAGCCTGAGGGAATACAGCATGTCCCCACGCTGGCAAGGTCGCAGCTAGTCTGCAGTGAGTAATTCCGAAGTGCTGGTTCGACTGAGAGAAATTGTCTTTGATTCTAGGTAGCCGCGACTGTCAGCCCAAGCGGCGTGGGCGATAAGCGCTATCGCACGTGATCGTTGATGTGACGTGTTCGTCTTGGTATACAATATGACATATCGGGGCAAGTACGTTACGAACACTTCAAGTGTGTGTAAGTTGTGGTTAACAGGGTATCGATGGACATGTTTGGCAACGTTTGTCCAGTCGCTTGATAGGATTCTACCAGCGTGACGATCACACAATGACACTTTGGCTGGTAGCGAGTAGCGAGCTCGTGGAGAACGACGACAGCCAGGTGTGGAGATATCCATTAGTAGTCACTCACGCTATGGTGGATACTGAGCCATGGCCATGGCCATGCGGCTCCTTTACAATTAGTCAATTCGATGATTACTGAAGCCCTGATGTCCTGGTTTTTTGAAGTACAATGAAGTCGTGACGCCCACGTATCATGCTGAGGCGGCATGTTTCAGTTGGCCGGGTTCAGTAAGAACGGATGCGCGAGAACAGAGATCCGAGAGGCGAAACGTCCAGGGAGTTTACCTGCATAAACTCTGGGGAAGGACTGTCGCTTTAGATGACAGGTGGGGAATGGGACAGTGCGAGTAAGAATGCCGGCCTGCATCTGGGTGTGGTACGCAGCACGTTGGAAGGCCAGGCAGCGTCACAGGCTGCTCCAGGTGCGCCGAGTGAGGCTGCCGATCAGACGCCAGCCGATGAGGCTATCTAGGATGCAGAAGTGAGGAGGTGCATATGGTGAGACGCCTGTCTGCGCGGTTCCAGCAGGCAGAGCGGTGGTGGTTGGCTCGGCCCCCTGGAGATGGCCCGTGCGGGTTGGCGGGATGTTGGCGGTGAGAGGCGATTAGCGTGACCAGAGAAAGTCGACAACACGGCGGGCAGCAGTTCGCATATCTTCGCCCACACGATTGCCCTTCTCTCCTTCAGGGATGCATCGAGCCCTGTGACTGCAGCGACATCCCACGCTGACGACGTTCACGACCGCAAACACGCAGCCAGCGACCGCACCGACTTAGCGAGCTGAGCATATCCCACCACCAGGGAGCCGCCTCTGGACCCTGATTCCGCACCGCCATTTGGAGGGGGACAACCGATACACAACCACCCACCATGGCTCACATCTACGACATCGGCACCCGGGCATGGCAGCCCGATACCACCGAGGGCTGGGTCGCCTCCGAGGTGACCGACAAGCAGATCGCGGGAGACAAAGTGAAGCTGGTGTTCACGCTGGAGAATGGCGAGGTACGCACACCCACGGACATGATATTGATGCCGGACACGGGAACTGACGATGCTTCACTGCGCAGACCAAATCTGTCGAGACGACGATACTGGCCATCCAGACCGGCAATGACCCCAATCTCCCTCCGCTGATGAACCCGGCCATGCTCGAGGCCAGCGATGACCTTACGAACCTGTCACATTTGAACGAGCCGGCTGGTACAGTCGACCGACCCCACACAGAAGACATGGCATACTGACGGTCGTGCAGTGCTCCAGGCCATCAAGCTGCGTTACCTGCAGAAGGAGATCTACACATATTCGGGTATCGTCCTGATCGCGACAAATCCCTTTGCGCGAGTCGACTCCCTATACGTACCCGGCATGGTACAGGTCTATGCTGGCAAGCAGAGATCCTATGGCGCTCCGCACTTGTTTGCCATTGCTGAAGAAGCCTTCGCGTGAGTTCCCCGCGCCTCAGACCCAACACTGCTCCTGCGCATATTTCCAAACCACCCGTCATGGCAGTGACTAATCTTCTCCAGCGACATGTTGCGAGACCAGAAGAACCAGACCATTGTCGTCTCTGGAGAGTCCGGAGCTGGAAAGACGGTCAGCGCCAAATACATCATGCGATACTTTGCCACACGAGAGTCCCCGGACAACCCAGGCAAGCGGAGAGGCAAGTCCGACTCGATGAGTGAGACCGAAGAGCAGATTCTGGCTACCAATCCTATCATGGAAGCATTCGGTAACGCCAAAACCACACGTAACGACAACTCCTCGCGTTTCGGTAAATACATCGAGATCATGTTCAACAAGCAGACGGACATTATTGGTGCAAAGATCAGGACATACTTGCTGGAACGGTCGAGACTGGTGTTTCAGCCGCTTAAGGAGCGGAATTACCACGTCTTCTACCAGCTGGTAGCCGGTGCGTCGGATGAGGAACGCGAAGAGCTCTCCTTGAAGTCGGTCGAGGATTTCAGCTACCTCAACCAGGGCAGTGCGCCTGTAATTGAGGGTATGGACGACGTGGCTGAGTTCAAGGCTACAAGACAATCCTTGACCAAGATTGGTGTGCCGCCAGAAACCCAAGCCGGTATTTGGCGCCTGCTCGCGGCGCTGTTGCACATGGGAGACATCAAGATCACAGCAACTCGGACAGACTCAAATCTCGACCCAGCTGAGCCTTCTCTCGTCAAGGCTTGTTCGCTGCTAGGAATTGACGCCAACACTTTCGCCAAATGGATTGTCAAGAAGCAGCTCATTACCAGAGGAGAGAAGATTGTCTCCAACTTGACGCAGCAGCAGGCTATCGTGGTCCGAGACTCCGTTGCCAAGTTTATCTATTCGAGCTTGTTCGACTGGCTGGTCGAGCGCACAAACGAGAGTCTGGCCACCGAGGAGGTTATTGCGCAAGCCCACACCTTCATTGGTGTCCTTGATATCTACGGTTTCGAGCATTTCGCAAAGAACTCTTTCGAGCAGTTCTGTATCAACTACGCTAATGAGAAATTGCAACAAGAGTTCAACGCACACGTCTTCAAGCTCGAGCAGGAAGAGTACATGCGCGAACAAATCGACTGGACTTTTATCGACTTCGCGGACAATCAGCCTTGTATCGATCTTATTGAAGGCAAGCTAGGCATCTTGTCTCTACTAGACGAAGAGTCGCGCTTGCCCATGGGTTCGGATGAGCAATTTGTTACGAAGCTACACCACAACTACTCTGGAGACAAGCACAAATTCTACAAGAAGCCCCGGTTCGGCAAGTCATCCTTCACCGTCTGCCACTACGCCATCGATGTCACGTACGAATCTGATGGCTTCATCGAGAAGAACAGAGATACTGTGCCCGATGAGCACATGGAGGTCCTCAAGGCTGCAAGCAACAAGTTCTTGACCCAAGTCTTGGATGTCGCTGCGTCGATCCGAGAGAAGGAGAATGCTACCAGCGCTTCTTCCAAGCCAGGCACAGCCATGTCGGCCGGCCGAAGGATGGCTACCAACCGCAAGCCAACGCTCGGTGGTATCTTCAAGTCGTCTCTTATCGAACTCATGCAGACCATCAACTCAACCGACGTCCACTACATCCGATGCATTAAGCCCAACGAGGCCAAGGCTGCTTGGCAATTCGATGGACCCATGGTTCTCAGTCAATTGCGCGCCTGCGGTGTTCTAGAAACTGTCAGGATCAGTTGCGCTGGTTACCCCACACGATGGACTTATGAGGAATTCGCCCTACGTTACTACATGTTGGTCAGATCCGCTGACTGGACGCCCGAGATCCGGAACATGGCCACCGCAATTTTGAAGAAAGCGCTAGGTGCCGGCAAGAACGATGGCACCGACAAGTACCAGATGGGTTTGACGAAGATCTTCTTCCGCGCTGGTATGCTTGCGTTCCTCGAAAACCTGCGTACAGCCAGGCTCAACGATGCCGCCGTCATGATTCAGAAGAACCTCCGAGCCAAATACTACCGCCGCATCTATCTCGAGATGCGTGAGGCTGTCATTCACGTGCAATCATTGGCTAGGGGCTACATGACCAGGGAACGAGCTGAGGAGGCGAGGCAGGTCAGAGCTGCAACCACCATCCAGAGAGTTTGGCGTGGCAGCAAGGACCGCAAGCGCTTCCTTGTTGTCCGGAACTCGCTTATCAAGTTTGAGGCTGCCGCAAAGGGATTCCTGCTCCGTAAGAACATCTTGGACAAGAGGCTTGGAGATGCTGCTCGCATGATCCAACGCAACTGGCGCAAGCAAAGATATATCCGCGCCTACAAGAAGGAGATCAACGACATCATCACTGTTCAGAAGCTCTGGAGGGGAAGGAAGGCCCGCAGGGAATACAAGGTCCTTCGCGCCGAATCTCGCGATCTCAAGAACATCTCTTACAAGCTCGAGAACAAGGTCGTGGAGCTTACCCAGAATCTGGGTACGATGAGGGAACAGAACAAGTCGCTCAAGTCTCAAGTGGAGAACTACGAGAGCCAGATCAAATCGTACAAGGAACGCAGCCGTACACTCGAAAATCGCCAGAAGGAGCTACAAGCCGAAGCCAACCAGGCTGGTATCACCGCTGCCAAGCTCAGCCAGATGGAAGACGAATACAAGAAACTGCAGACAAGCTACGAAGAGAGCACCGCAAAGATGCGCCATCTGCAAGAAGAGGAGAAGGAACTCCGTGCGTCGCTTAAGAGGACCACAGACGACCTGGAGCAATCCAAGAGGAGGAGCAATGTCACTGAGACCGAGAAGATGTCGCTCCGCCAGCAGCTCGCCGAGCTGCAAGAGCAGGTTGAGTTGATGAAGCGATCTGGCCCAATGCCCGGTGATCTGACAAACGGTCACTCCACCGCCATAGCCCCCAGCAGCTTGATCAAGCTTGTTTCGTCGAAGAAGCCAAAGAGACGCAGTGCCGGACCAGACACCCGCGACATCAACCGCTTCAGCGAACAATACAACCCACGACCAGTCTCCATGGCTCCTGGTTCCACCATTCACAGGCAAAATCTCTCTGGCTCAACGTTTGCTCAGCTTGATAACGTCGAGCTTGAGCTTGAGAACATCCTTGCTGAAGAGGACATGTTGAACGATGAGGTCACTCTTGGCCTGATCAAGAACTTGAAGATCCCATCGCCCACCACAACACCCCCACCTACTGATAAGGAGGTTCTCTTCCCAGCTTACCTCATCAACCTTGTCACCTCAGAGATGTGGAACAACGGTTTCGTCAAGGAGTCAGAGCGCTTCCTTGCAAACGTCATGCAGTCGATCCAACAAGAGGTTATGCAGCACGATGCGGAAGATGCGATCAACCCAGGTGCCTTCTGGTTGTCCAACGTCCACGAGATGCTATCGTTCGTCTTCCTCGCTGAAGACTGGTACGAGCAACAGAAGACCGACAACTACGAGTACGACAGACTGCTGGAGATTGTCAAGCATGATCTTGAGAGTCTCGAGTTCAACATCTATCACACCTGGATGAAGGTACTCAAGAAGAAGCTGCACAAGATGATCATCCCTGCTATCATCGAATCGCAATCACTGCCCGGCTTCGTCACCAACGAGAGCAACCGTTTCCTCGGAAAGCTGCTCCAGGGCAGCAACACCCCTGCCTACAGCATGGACAACTTACTCACACTGCTCAACAGCGTCTATAAGGCCATGAAGGCTTATTACCTGGAAGACTCCATCATCACACAGTGTGTTACTGAGTTGCTAAGGTTAGTGGGTGTCACTGCCTTCAACGATTTGCTTATGCGCCGCAACTTCCTTTCATGGAAGCGAGGTCTGCAGATCAACTACAACATCACTCGTATTGAAGAGTGGTGCAAGTCGCATGACATGCCAGAGGGCACACTGCAACTTGAGCATCTGATGCAAGCAACCAAGTTGCTCCAGCTGAAGAAGGCTACTTTGAATGACATTGAGATTATTCAGGACATCTGCTGGATGCTGAGCCCGAACCAGATCCAGAAGCTGCTGAACCAGTACCTGGTAGCCGACTATGAGCAGCCCATCAACGGCGAGATCATGAAGGCCGTCGCGTCGCGCGTGACCGAGAAGAGCGACGTCCTTCTGCTCACCGCAGTCGACATGGAGGACAGTGGCCCGTACGAAATTGCGGAGCCACGAGTTATAACAGCACTCGAGACATACACGCCTTCCTGTAAGTATTTCCTTTCAACTATCTACCGCACCATCGGAACACGTCTAATACGATCGACAGGGCTGCAAACCCCCCGCCTCAAGCGCCTTGCAGAGATCGTCTCGCAACAAGCTATTGCGCAGCAAGAGAAGCTCGAGTTCGACGACGACATGCCCAACGGCCAGAGCAACGGCGACGCTATGCAGGCTCTCACCGGCGGCATGGGCATGAACGGCAACGGCATGAACGGCCATGGTACGATTGAAGAAGGAATTGAAGCATGAACTTTAGCATCTTTGTCAGCACAGCGAGCGAAAATTTGGTATTAGACATGAAACGACACGCACGAGAAAGACGAATGGGGAGAGTAAGCGCCGCAGATGATGATGGGAACCCAATGTTTGTAAGGCTGTTGGGAGCAGTTGTCGTTCTTTCTGTCTTCTATTCTAGTTGCTGGAACTTCTGGGAGGGATGGAAAGAGGGGTTGCTCCAGATTACTACTTACTTCGAGGGGTGGATCAGTGTGGCGTATGACGCATGATGATGTTGGGTATTTAATGCTGGGGCTTTTTTGCGTGAATGATATATCTTTTTTAACTTTATTTGATGCGTGTCTTATGTATGGCTGTGTGGTTGTGTGTGTGGTGTTGATATGCCGAGATGATTGAGAGGACCGATTCCAATACTTTCAGGCACAATGAATGAATTGCTGACGGATACTTCTACCGTTCGTAGCCAAAACCACCATGTTGTCGTTCGTGTAGTGTCTTACGATACGAGAGAACCGCAAGATACGGAGAAATGTGAGTACGTTTGAAGGATACGTAGACAGCTCTGGACACGTTCGATAGGCAAAATCTCGGTGAAGACCTCCGCGCTGTTGTATTGCATCTTTTCTGGGACGTAAGAGGTATTCGAGGATCATCGAGCAGTGCAACATTTGTTCAAACCTACTCCTCATCGCGAATTCAGGTTTTCCTAGGTAGTTTGCTAGAAAGCTACCGTATCCACCAAACGATTCGTCTACGTACGTAGTGACTATTGCCAATGACATACAGATGGCTACATGACCTTTGGAAGCAAGCACGCTTCCAAGTACTTATAGGTATGGGACCGAACACATATCTTCTCTCATTACTACGATTCGAGGTATCAGTCCTTCAGGTACATTCGAGACTTCTGCCTCCCCTGACAGCTTGAGCCATGTCTTTTCCAACTGAATCTCCAGCTCGATATCCTCGGGACTACGCCGATCCAAACTGGGTAGAATTTGCACAAACGATCGATTACAACGCCCGCGGACGGTTGATGGAGGATCAGCATAAGAAAACTATTGAAGCCATTGCCGCCATCGCAGACCAGATTAGATGGACGACGTCGCAGATGAAGCCAGAGTACTGGCCTGACAAGGAGACATTGGTAGCAAAGCAGTTTCTGGTGTCTAATTTGGTGCAGCTCCAAATGGTTTGCTACGAACCTCTGAAGGCAATTCGAGAACACATTATCAATGTTGATCCTAATCTCTTGGACAAGGTATGTTATTAATCACCTCTCAATGATTGTTACTCAGCAGTCTGATGCGGATAAAAGCTAACTTTATTGGAGAAGTTCAGAACGAAGAATTGGCTAATGCCGCGACAAGTTCGAGAAGCTGAATCCCCGGTTGACAGGCCATTTGTTCCACCTAGCCCCCCACCGCCCAAGCCTGACTGGCGCCGCGACAAAACGTTGTCAAAGGAAGAGAAAGAAAAGAAGAGGAAAGAGGAGGCTGAGCAAGAGGCTGAAGAAAAGACCACCAACAGAATAGCACAAGAGCTGAAGAGGAAAGAAGATGTGGTGAAAGAGCAGGCGGCAAACGACAAGTTCTTGAAGGGCGAGAAGCCCCGTATAGATCGACACAAGAATATCATGGCCAATCAGGGCGAACACGTCGATTACTTCCAAGATGATGGAGACGAGGAAGGGTTCACCTGGAGAGACGCCATAAGATCAGCACTCAGGACGTACGACGCCGCTTACATGGAAGTCGATCGTCATCACAGACTGCTCAAACAGACGAAGAAAAGATCGGGTTGGTCTTTGGATCGGCTTGATGTTTTACTCAAGAAGAGAGGCATCCCAACCCGTTCGAATCAGGAGTTGTTGATCGAACTCGCTCTCCCTGTTGCATTCGGAGGCCCTCCAACTCCACTCAGCCAGGCAACAATGGCCAACTGGAAGACCGCAGCGGACATTCAGAACACTCTCAACATCCATTTGGGGCGTTTCATCAAGCAAGAAATTGACGGCAGGGCACCTACCAACACACGTCACTGGACTACCGACTTTACGCGCAAGTACAACCATGCCAGTGGTGCTGAGCCTGCGATGTTCTTTGTTTGCACCCACGAGTACACCCAGCCAAATTCCACGCAGCCAATCAAAAAGTGGATTGTTGGAGGCAGCACGCCGCTTACAGGACCAAAGAAGTATATGTTTGCTTGGGCCGACGAGCTTTACAAAGCTGTCAGGGAGCAAGGTCTTGGTAGCGATTTTGTTGCGAAGGTGAAGGCGGCTAATGACGCGCAACAGGCACTTGAACTACGACTGCTTGGCAACACGACAGACCCTTCTCCAGAAGAGTACCTGTCTGCTCGAAAAGCTGTCATCAGGGAATTGACAAACGACTCAACCCATCAGAGGTACGTGGCTCGGATTCGCTGCGAGGGCCTAGCAATCAGCAGGTTGATGCAGCCAACCCCATGCTGCTACCGATGCCAATGCAACTACCAGTACAGAGTACTGAGCACACACATGACGCCATCTGCAGACTACCCACCCACTATCGAGCATCTGATCACATACGACTGGGAAAGGCAATGCTCATGGGCTCATCAGTGCGCCGAGGGACTTGCAGCCTGTCAGTGCTTCACCTTTGATCAAGGCCAGGACGAAGCCAACCGGCCCGAGTCTAGCAGAGTGGCCGCGCTACGACTCTCCACGCCCGGAAAGACGCTTAAGAAAAAGAGGAGCAACATGGATTTCGAGTTTAAGAGATGAGTGCGGTTGGTACGACGTTCGCGACACTACATCGCCCCAGCATCGACATGCAACTTCTCCACCAAAACTGGCAATGCCTACCCTCCGGCGAAGGGCGGCGCTGCTTCCCTCCTGTGGCGATCTCATTTCGGTGGGGCTCTCTTTCTCGCCTCTTTGTCTTTCTTCCTGCGATGTTTCCTACTCGTGTATCCTCCTTGCCGCTTCTTTGTCTTACTTTTCGCGTTATCTACTACTTGTGTATCATCCTGCCTCCACCGTCCTTCCCCAATGCGCTCTTCCTGCCACTCCCCCCTCCCCTGCCCCTTGTCTCCTTTTCCTTCCCATGCCTCCACCCCGTCTAATGTCCATCTCATGTCGCGTTCGCACACCTCTTAAAAATCCTCTTCTTTCCTTGTACGCTTACCTCTCATAGCCACAACCAAAAACCAAAAAAAGACTACCGTTCTTTAAATTGCTTCCTTACTATGATGTGATAGGATGATGTTCTCTCTTAGGTGCCAATGATCTGACCACGTGTATATATGCAATCTTGAGTGAATCGTTTCCCACGTCAAAAGACCTGCATTCTTCGACTTGGATCTGTTACCTCTGGCGACTAAACATTGTCGCTCTACCGCAAGACAAGTAGGTCGTATGTCTGTATGGGGTCACGAGGTTATGTAGAAACAACGATCGTAAGTATTTGCATGTTTTCTCTTGACATGTACCATGATCGTAAATACGGGGTTAATCATGCCTTCTGCATAGATCCAATCCATCCGAAGGTGTCATAATTGTTCATAATCTATGACGTTTCTAGGGCTACATTGTTGATCACTCAATGTGAGTCCGTGCCGCTGTGAGGTTTGGTAGAATCAACGCAGTTCAGTAACGAGTATGGCAAGTACTCCTACATCCGCGCGAGACATCTCTACAGCATTTGGTGTGATGTTGAAGACTGCAACATTTGTCGTTTTAATAGCATATCCGTAGAAAAGTGCAAAAACGCTAATGAATCCAACAACAGCGATCAACGTGACAGGAGAATCTGGTCCGCATAGGCATACCGCAAGTGGCGGGCTGACGCAAGCTGAGCATTTTATGATTGCTGTGGAGCTGAATTGCCCGTTGAAAGTTTTCATGATCTACTGTCTGCGCGCTTGGGGGGATATCAAACAAACGCAATTTGATTCGACGTTGGTACAAACCGTGGTAAGCTGAACGCAACCTTGGAACCCATTGCCGCTTCCCGTACTTAATAAGATTCGAAAGCCAAACTTGAGTGTTTGATGCGCAAAAGCTCAGTTTTCATGAGCCGGCTGGTGTGGATTTCGCGATCACGCGCGAGCTAAGTGAATTGTCTCCAGGGCTTGCTTGACCCAACCTTGGAGGTGAGAGCACGCGGGCGTGGCGCATGTAATGCGGCACAAACGCGGTGACTCATCCAGATACTTATTGAGTGCGCACGCGGATCCTGAAACCACTCGTCCACACTTCTTTGTCGAGTTCACCTTGAAGTTCGACTTGATACGAACTATCGATACAACCGCGACCTTGCTTCCTCAACGATCTGTATCAGTCGTCATGGAAACACCTGATCGACCTGGAAAGCTAGCGGCCAAGAAAATATCCGAGAAACTCGCTCGAGAATACCAGAGCAAGGACTTCAAGTACCCAGATACTTGGGATCAGGGTGATGTGCCGAAGTACAAGGCCATCCGAGAGAGGATGTTCGCGAAAAGAGAGAAGCTCCGATTTAAAGGTGTTGACGACACTGCCTCAACAGATGCTGACGACACATACGAGGATGAAGGCAAGCTCCTCGAAGCCGAACTACCAAGTGCGGTGGAGCAGGAGAAGTTTTGGCTGTGGGTACACGCTGGGGACAGAATAAGCCGGACAATACCTGAAGGCGGAACGGCCGAGGATTACATCGATATTCTCGCGAAGACCGACTATGTGGACGAACCATCTCTCGGAAAGCTGTACAAACGCTTGAGCTCATACTTCTACCCTTGTATCCCTATTGGAACCTATCACGGTTATCGTTATGCCGTTAGTCCATGTATGTTAATACTGGGACCTGATGAAGAGCAAGTCAACTGGGACGACCCACGTGAGTTCGCCAGCGAAGGATTTATCGCGATCAATCTGCCAGCTGGAACGAGGATCTCGTACACGAATCAAGCTCGGGAGCGCTCGGCAAGGCAGCAGGGGAATTCTTCAGAAGAATCGCGGTTCAGTTCCTCCAGTACCGACAGCATGATACAAGGCAACGGTCTTACTGGATTCGCATGCTTTCAAATTGGGAAGGTGCAAGCAGTCGACGCGAAGCACTGGTCCGACAACGGCAAGCTACCCGAAGGGAAAGACCTGCAGGAAATTTCCTGGAAAGAGACAGATTGGGTCATGGTCGTTGTCATAGATGACGATGGCAAGCCTGGTTCTGTCTGGCTGCTACAAGACTTCGAGCCCATGATTGAGAACACGAACAACACCTACATCATCAAGCAGTCAGATACCCGCCGGTGGGGCTACTTCCAGCACCAGCTCGGAATGCGTCCGCGACCGCAGCAACGTGCTGGCGTGAAGATTGCGCACAGAGTCAGTGACCTGTCCGAGCATTTGCAGTGGACTATGGACGAATACTTTACGGCGAAGTACGAAATCGTGCAGGCAGTGCTCGCGGAGCGTAAGAACGGTCGGTCGCCTGTCATCGTCAGACAGCTTCCACTGGTCAAGAACGAGGGCCAGAGTTGGATGGAAGGCAACTCAAGAGCTTTGGAAGACGACTCAACGCCGGATGTCTCGCGGCTGAGCATTTGAGACAACAACTAGAAAATGGGAGATGCGAGAGACTCTTGGAAGAGTTAGCAGGCGGGCTTTCCATCTGCGTTTTGGTCCTAGATTTGAGTCTTACATGAGGCGGTGGATTTCTTTGCTTCCTTGCGTTCTAGATCTTCCTTAGATTACGAGTTCGGTCGTTGATTTCCTGCAATGCACGTCATAGAAAAGTCAATCAGTATGTTGCCGAAACCTTGAATACTGTTGCGCTGTGAGAGGAGCTAGTTTGGAAAGACCTGGCTCCGAGTAAGCATCATTCTGACGTACATGCCGAAAACACGGACTGAAGACACAGTTACAGCGAGCAAACGTAGAACAATATGCCAACATGTGAAGTACGAGTGATAGCTCCACGACCATCGGTCCTAACTGCGCCGAACCAGACGTTCGGGGGTGCGCCACACGGCCCGCTCGGTCTAACGGTCTAGCTCCATCCAGCTGCCGTTTGGCCCTTCCACGATCCCGACATCCGTAATCATCTCGACAAGCGACACGGCCAAGCCATGGAGCTGACGACGTCTCTCCTCCTTTGCACGCCCTACTCTCCCCTCTCCAGACTAGACTCCTAGACACGAGACAAATACCAACTTCCATTCACTCCCTTGGAATTCTCTTATTGCTTTTCTCACCCTGTTGTCATCTCATACGTGGTTGCATTGAGCGCGTCTCTCTAATCGATACCTGGCCCGAGTCCCTGCATATCGCAAACGTAATACGAAATCCTACTATACAATCCGGCTACCCAATGCGCCTTTCCACATTTTCCTAATCACTCGAAGACCCCCGAGAGCTGCGCACGCGACTGCGCCCACGTTGCTGCCACGGTGCCAGGACGAGGATAGTACTAGGGGAAGATGCCGTCTGTTGCGCAATGGCAGGGCACACCCTCAGTCAAGGGCTCGACTGAGAGCATACGCATGGCGTTGCTCACAGCCTCGCTCATCGGCCTGCAGTAAATCCCCGCTTCCTACGAGTTCTCCTTGCGGCCTGTACTAAGCACCATGCAGGTTCACGTGGAATGTCGAAATGACATACTGCACACCCTACCTCCTCGAACTCGGTCTTACAAAATCCAAAATTTCCCTCGTATGGGTCGCCGGTCCGCTCTCAGGCCTCATAATGCAGCCCATCGTAGGTGTCGTCGCGGATCGGTCTACCTCCCGCTGGGGCCGTCGGAGACCGTTTATGTTCTTTGGTACGATACTGGTGGCCATGTTCCTGTTGCTGCTGGGTTGGACGAAAGAGGTGGTTCGGTACTTTATTAAAGACGAGGCTGCAGCTAAGAGCGCAACGATATACGTGGCTGTGTTTAGTATATACGGCATTGATTTCGCTATCAATGCTGTGCAGGGGAGTTGCAGAGGTCTGGTCGTCGATACGTTGCCGATTGCGAAACAGCAAATGGGCAGTAGCTGGGCGAGTAGGATGGTCGCGGTTGGGAGTCTGATTGGGTACGGGGCGGGAGCGATTGATCTGAAGAATGTGTTTGGCCCTATGTTGGGAGATACGCAGTTCAAGCAGTTGACCGGTGTTGCGGCGTTGACGCTCTGCTTGGCCATTGGGACAACAAGTTGGGCTGTTACGGAGAGAGTGCTCATTAACGACGGAGCGGAGGAGGGCAAGGAACTGGATCTCAAGCAAGTTCTCGGTACCATCGTGCATACTGCTTTGAATCTGCCTAGGAGTATCCAGGCTATCTGTACAGTACAGTTCTGGGCTTGGATTGGTATGTCATTATCGTATCGTTCGTATACTTGTGAACTAACGGTGGGTAGGCTGGTTTCCTTTCCTCTTCTACAGCACCACGTGGGTTGGTGAAGTATACCTACGATACGACGCCCCAGCAGAAGTCAAAGCAGCCGGTGATCTCACAGGCAAGGTTGGTCGCATTGGTTCCATGGCCCTCATCGCTTTTTCCATCATTACATTCGTAATGTCTGTCCTCCTGCCCTTCTTCGTACAGAGCCCAGAAGAAGATGAAAAAGGACCTGGCTTCTCCCGCCCACCCAAGCACTTAACGGGACTGGCGAAATACAAACCAAGCCTGCTTACCGCGTGGACAACTGCGCATTGTATCTTTGCAGGAAGTATGGTCATGGCACCTTTTGTAAGAAGTTTGAGGCACGCAACTATCATCATTGCTTGCTGTGGCGTGTAAGCAACCACCATCATTACATCAGTCTTAAAGTCCAAACTGACACCACACAGATCATGGTCCGTCGCTTGTTGGGCTCCTTTCGCCTTCCTCGGTGTAGAAATCAACCGCCTCAACACCTCCACCTCCCACTCCGCCCACCCAAAGCGCACCTCCATCGACCTTCCCGAAGCGCAATCCAACCTTGAAAAGGGCAGTGCGCCTTCCTCCAGCGGCGGAGCAAGCTCAGGCCAATACCTCGGCATCATGAATTTGTATACCACGCTACCTCAATTCATGGGCACAGGGATATCGTGGGTAGTATTCTCCATCTTGGAGCCCGGAAAAAGCCCGGAGTTGAGCGAGGCGCCGCCAGAGGAACATCACAAGACGGACGGCCCGAACGCGATTGCGGTTTGTCTGTTCATTGGGGCTTGTTCAGCGTGTATGGCCGTTGTGGCTACAAGGAGGTTGGGAAGGATACAGGGAAGACTGTAGAACCATCATTGCCATGTCCATGTCAAAAGGTTCAGCTCCTGCTTCACGATCAGAACTGTCGGGAATAGTGTCTTTGCACAGGCCGCTAGTCGCCAGTAGAGAACATGACTCTTGGTGACATCCACCCCCAACATGCTGCCATCCGTGGCTGCCCAGGAGCGCTTTCCGCTTTTGGGGTTAGGCAAGCGCGATGGAGCCAGAGAGATTTTGCTAAGGGTTTGCTAAGGATTTTCCAGAGACCCGCTTTGTTCTAGAAGGCAGGTGTGGCTACTAATCGAAGCTGACGCTGATCGGACGTGTGTAGAGATCGCATTCGCTCCAGGGCGGCCGTGGCGGTATACAGCACCTACATTGTAAGTACGGTGTGCGCTGCAGTCGCCCACGATCGCGATAGTTCAGTCGGGGTATTTTCCGGCCGGCTTTGGACAGGTCGGAGGAAAAGTCTCGTTAAACAATGGAATGAAAAATATGCGCTCCCCATGTCCCCATGTACCCTCTCCAAGTACCGGCGGGCAAGGTCGGCCGTGGCCATGGTGCAGGGCAGTCGACGTGGTAGACTACTGCGCGCACAAGCAGGTGAGGTATCGCCGCCAGATAAACTTGAATCGCTCGTCTACAGTGTCGGAGAGATGCAAGCCAGGGCACACGTGCCACGCCTCTGCCAAAAGACGGTCAAGGTACAAATAGACACGCCGCCCGCCTCTCCCACGCGCACTGCATCTCTCCCCGTTCACAGCAGCGTCGATAGTCTTGTCTGGTCGCAGAGGCCTTGTTTGTTGCCGTCTCGCAGTGTCCGGTTGCATTTCGCACTAGGCGCAACTAGTGCAGTAGAGGGGCGACCTTTCCTTGCCCAGCGCCTGTTCTTCTCGCTCAGCCCGCCGAACAATTCTGCGGCTCACCCACAACATCCACCTTTTACACCCCAACTCGCCACTCGCAGTCCGACATCACTCATTTGCCAAGATGTCTGAGCCGATCCGCAATAAGAAGATGGACTCCATCTCCGCCCCGTAAGTCGCTTCCCTCCCCTCCGCCACACAATTTTGGTCTCGCCCAAACACCACCACCACACACCCCCAACATGGACGTACCGCATTCTAACGTGCGCCCTGCCAGCACCCCGCAGAACACACCCGCCAATGCGGCGCCCATATCGTCGCGCGCCCAGCAGCCCGGCGTCAGCAGCATCAAGGAAGGTACGTCGCACTCTGCCACGCTCCTGCCCCTCCAACCCCGCCTTGTATCGTCGTGAAGGCCTTGACCGCTAACTCGCTTTTTTCTGCAGAGGAACTAGAGCGCACCGCCGCCGGCCTCTTCGCTGCCAACCCCGCCCTCGTCGCCATGATGCAGAACAAGCTCGGCTCGCTCGTCGGCCGCTCCAGCGGCTACATTGAGTCGCTGCCTGCCTCGGTCCGCCGCCGTGTTGCCGGTCTCAAGGGCGTCCAGAAGGAGCACTCCAAGCTCGAGGCCGAGTTCCAAGAGGAGGTCCTGCAGCTCGAGAAGAAGTACTTCGCCAAGTTCACACCGCTATACCAGACCCGTGCCAAGATCGTCAACGGCGCCGAGGAGCCCTCAGAAGACCGCGTCAAGGTTGGCGAGCAGGTAGACGAGGACGATGAGGACGAGGACCAGCCCGAGGCTGAGCTCAACAAGGACGAGGGCAAGGACGTCAAGGGTATCCCAGAGTTCTGGCTCAGCGCCATGAAGAACCAGATCTCGCTCGCCGAGATGATCACAGACCGCGACGAGGCTGCTCTGAAGCACCTGACCGATATCCGCATGGAGTACCTCGACCGCCCCGGTTTCCGCCTCATCTTCGAATTCGAGGAGAACGAGTTCTTCACCAACAAGACCATCACCAAGACCTACTTCTACCAGGAGGAGAACGGCTACGGCGGCGACTTCATCTACGACCACGCCGAGGGTGACAAGGTCGACTGGAAGGCCGGCAAGGACCTGACCGTCCGTATCGAGAGCAAGAAGCAGAGGAACAAGAGTGAGTATTTCGATGCCTGTCGGTTTTCGACCATAGACTAACTTTCCCCAGACACCAAGCAGACCCGCGTCGTTAAGAAGACCGTGCCTACAGAGTCGTTCTTCAACTTCTTCGACCCACCCAAGCCCCCACAAGACGATGACGATGCCACCTCCGATATCGAGGAGCGCCTTGAACTCGACTACCAGCTCGGTGAGGACATCAAGGAGAAGCTCATTCCCCGCGCCATTGATTGGTTCACCGGCGAGGCTCTTCAGTACGAGAACATTGAGGACTTCGACGAGGGCGAGTTTGAAGACGAGGACGATGAGGACGAGGATGAGCTCAGCGATGACCGCGACGAGGAGGAGGAGTCAGACGACGAGGTAAGCGATCAAAGTCATTTTTTTTTTGAAACATAGCCATCTAACGCAGTACCAGAATGACGGCACAAAACCAAAGCAGGAGGCTGCTGAGTGCAAGCAGAGCTAAATGCTGTACGAAAATACTCTCGCATTCCCCAGATCACAATATCCCCAGTCGTTTTGAGCGGCATATTCGGTCCAAGCTAGCCTCCTAGTCGCCTTCCATCACACTGAGATGTCTTTTGAACGACTCTCTGCGTCCGATATTTCACTTCACGATTTCTTACTCGGCGTAATACTGCATCAAAAGAGTTCAGGGGTGTTCGTTCGGCAATGGTTGGTTGGAGCTCTCTCTGGACTAGATATCTTAAGAACTACTCAGTTCTCCCCCTCCCCGCACCACTTCTTCCTGCCCCTCCAGACATCTGCTCGAATAGGTTCCTGGATTCTTGCCACCAACGATCACTAGCATCTAAGGCGTTGTCTAGGTGGGGTTTTGCAGCATGTTTCCTTGGGTTCGGGCATGTCATGTTTACGAGGTTTTTTAGACGGCGTAGATAGTCTTGAGCGCATGTCATGGGCCAATGAAAGAAAAGTTTGAAGCCTCACTTTTGGGTGGTAGTCAGCGTGACCTTACGATTTAGATGGCATGGTGCTCAACCTCGGTAGGATCATGCGATAACGTTCGCCTCACCTCGCTATCTAGCCTACTACGTCTCGCTTCCAAGAGCTGTCGTATGTGCTTTGCCTGTCTACGTATCCTTGCACCTACCGTCATACCTGAGATGTCGTGCGTGTGCTTGCCTTGGGGTTCCATGTCAAGATGCGTAGTGCGGGGTGGTGGGGGTTCTGCCGGGTGAAGTTCGGGCGTCGAAAAATAATTCTGGAATGCGACATCATCGAACGCGCCGGAGCACTTGAACACTACACCGCACTATACCTCTCACACACGTCAACCCCCTCTCCAACTACCGACCAAAGCGTATCCGATACCTGAGCATTGAATAGACTCGGATATCCTATACACCGCAGCCCGCGCAACCCACGACACCCCTACGCGATCCCTCCCACGCGCCCGACCCTGGGACGAACCTTCACAACACCATGGCGCGCCAAAATCCCAACATTGTTATTACGGGCACACCTGGAGTAGGAAAGACGACACATGCGGAGCAATTAGCGCAAGCGACGGGGTTCCAGCATATCTCGGTGAACCAAATAGTAAAAGACGAAGGATACCACGAGGGCAAAGACGAAGAGACAGGGAGTTGGATTGTAGATGAAGATAAGGTACGCATAGCCACTGGATACCTAAACCCACCTAAAAGTCTACGAACCACGTCACTAACCCACCCTGCAGCTGCTCGACCACCTAGAATCCCTCTCCCTCGCCGACAAAGGCGGCTACATCCTCGACTGGCACGCCTGCGACCTCTTCCCCGAGCGCTGGATCGACCTCGTCATCGTGCTGCGCTGCGACTCGACACTGCTATACGACCGCCTTACCGCGCGCGGCTACAAGGGGAAGAAGCTAGAGGAGAATATGGATAGTGAGATTATGCAGGTGTTGCTTGATGAGGCGAGGGAGAGCTATAAAGAGGAGATTGTGGTGGAGTTGAAGAGCGAGAGTAATGAGGATGTTGAGGGGAATCTGGAGAGGGTGGAAAAGTGGGTTGAGAATTGGAGGAGGGACAGGCAAGAGGAGTAGTGGGATGTGCGGGAAATGGGTGAGGTGCTGAGAACGGACGGATGGGTGTGATGTATGTGATGTGCTATGTGTTATGATACCAGTACGGCATTTCTGGAATGATGATGGTGGGTGTAGTGGCTTCATGCACCGCCCAATACTCTCAATTGAGAAATATGAGCACAATAATGATCGTTGAGCTCTACGCCTCAGTCTTCTGACTCGCCAGCCACTCCTTCAACTTATCCAATGCCTTCGCTCGATGACTGATCTTGTTCTTCTCGCTCTTGTCCATTTCAGCGTATGTCTGACCTTCGTACTCAAAGCACGAGTCCCAGCCTTGTATACTGTCAGCCTCGTTATATCTCGATCGCACTCATTTGATACATTAGAAGACAATTAGAAAACCCATGACTTACCAAAAACGGTAGAACCCCGACTTTCCACCAACTTTCCGTCAGTGCGGCCTTGAAAGAGGATGGCTTCGTGTCCGGGACCTTCACAGTACCCGAATGTGCATACGGCTTGGGCAGATTTGTCGTCGAAACCTGAGAGCATCTTGTGCAGGTTGGGGGCGCCGAGGGAGAGCATGAACCATTTACTAAGGGAGGGGGAGGTTAGATGGGTGGGTTTTGAAGGAGAGGAGAGTGCAGATATGGATTTGATGGCAACAGGAGGGGAAGAAGGTAAGGGAGATTGGGTCAGATGAGATGAAGATGAGAGGAAGTGTGAGCGTACATGTAAGGGCCTGGCAGGTCGTTCATGGCATTGAAGCAGAGACATGTGTCTTCTACTAGGACGGGGCCTTGTACCTATCATGGATCACATTGTCAGTTTTTTGCAAAAGTCTTTCTCTATGGTACCATGACTTACGGCTTCGGCTGCTCTCCGTGCTTTGTCTTTTGTGACTTCTTCAACCGTGCCTTGGATTTCGACTAGGTCGACATTTTGGTTGCGGAGCTCGATGACGCCAGAGAGAATGGCTTGAACCTCCGCAAGCTTGTTTTTGTTGCCCGTTATGAAGTTTAGGGTGGTGGGGATGCGTGAAGATGCCATCTTTGTGAGTTTGGAGATTGCAAGACTTGAAGCTATACTGTTAGTCGAAGACACCTTTCAGGCAGAGACCATCTTATGAAGATACCTACTGAAGTTCAATGGACGCCCGGGTTTACTATCGAGTGAAATTAGTCATCTTGCAGATAGAAAGGGCGCTGAGGTAGAAAGAGCGGTATCGCCTCGGCCGACAAAGGGCGTGCAATGCCACACTTCAGACCAGCTAGAGGGCTGAGCAACGTACATTGTCAGTGCTGATAACTAAGCACTCGTCTTACACCGCGATGTTGCAAAGTCTCTGTCTAACGGCATCATGATAGGGCTGAGGGGTCTATGTTTAGGCCCTTCAATAAGCGAGCTAAGCAGGGATCAACGGTCTAGTGCCTGCATTGGATGCTACCGTGGCCTACAGAACATCACGTTCAGCCGCATCGAATCACACCCTGCAAGGTTTTCGAGTCCCTCAAAACGGTTATCGGCGCCTTTATCGACTGTTCGCGACTTCAAAGACCTGAGCTCGCCGAGCAAGAGCCTCATGGGGTGAGGCTGGAGACATCATTCGATTCTTATTCACGACTTCACCGCGCCCGACAATCCCTCTGCAGTTGTCCGCACGACCCCAGCGGACTCTGGACATTTTCCGTTTTCGTCATTCGGGATAGAGTCATCGCCGAGCACGGCCCAGGACTGTTGGTTTCGTCACCGCCAGTATGGGTTCCCTCAGGACTCTGTTCCTGAGCGTGTATGCCTCGAACAGCGTTATAAGGACGTTGTTTCTGCCATTATGCTACACCACACTATTCAGCCCGTTCATACTCGCTCTAGCCTGGTACTTTGGATTCGGTCAAACATTGCAAAACTCCATACCCGAAGACTTTTCCTGGTTCGATCTACTACCTGCATTCGCAATTTCAGCAGTCTTTGTGTTGCTACCGACGAGGCTACTTTCAAGCCCAGGAACAGTGATCAAAAGTCAAGATGGGAAGAGACGGGTACAATCGTTGCCATACTGGATACCCGGGGTACGCCACCTCTCGAGCATCGCATTTGGAGGCGAGGAGTGGTTAGCCAGCGTTCGGTAAGTGTGCTCACAGCGTACGTAGACTTATCTGACCAAATACAGGGACTCTGCGACCGCGAGCATAGTGGCGTACAAAGCTGCTGGAATCAAACACAACGTCCTATTATCGGAACCCCTACTTGACCAGCTCTACAACAACTGGAACAATCTGGAACTAACAGACAACAACCAACCCGCTATCCTCCGAAACGCCTTCAGCCTACCAAAAGTCATGGAAAGTCATTATCTCGAGCTTCAAAATGAGATCAACCAAGTTGTCCAAACGGAACTATACGAAGAAGCAGCGAGGGACAACTTGATCAAAGCTTCGCTGCGCATCTTAACCGAATCGCTTCCGGACCTGGTCACATTCAACTCATCGATTGTCGATCAAATGCAATGGGAGCGTGTCTCAAACGTGGAACTTACGGACGGAACTTCGGAAGCCGAATGCGATCTCTTCACACTTCTCAATGAATTCTGCTGCAATGCTATCCTACCCCCGATCGTCGGAGCACAGTTTACAGAATCCTATCAACTCCTTGCCACGGATCTAGCAAGCTGCAACGAAAGATTCTGGGCTCTTGCTCTCGGGTTGCCACGACTAGCACCTATCCAGGGCTTACCGGGAGCGGCTCTAGCACAAAAGAGATTGCTTAGGAACTTCGCAAAGCAATTTGAAGACCTGTCAAATCCACCAGTAAGGCGGGTACCAGACGACGATGAGAGCGTGAGCGGAGAAGAAGATACCGACGCTGATGTAATTACACCTCTTATGAAGTTGAACGAGCTCTTCACCAAGCATGAACTGCCAGCAGAACTACGGGCTTCGATCGGACTTCATGTAGTGCACGATATTTACTCTGAGGTCATGCCAATCGTATTCTGGACGGTCGTACATATTTACTCGTCATCCAAGGCGGAAGGTGCGAAGACGTTACAAGATTCACCTCTTGAAAGGATCAAAGCAGAATCAAAGGCTTGGGCTCAAGCCATACAACCTCCATCGATACACCCATCCTTCCCAGCTCCACCAGAAATACGCTACGGCTCAGTGAAAGAAGTGCTGACCCCGACTTCGCTACCTTATCTTCGCTCATGCATCAATGAAGCTCGACGTCTATACAACTGCTCTGTAAGCACATATAGAGTCCAGAAACCACTTCATCTCAAGGAAGCAATGGAGCAATGGGAACTAGAAGCTGGCACGTACGTTGACGTGGGCCTTTCTCGATCTCTCATAAATTCATCACCAGCATCTCATACCTCACCACACACCTTTAAGGCCGACCGTTTCCTAGATACCCCAGCGTCATCATCCATTGTCTCGGCTACCGATGTCTCTCAATCATACAAAACCAACCTCATCATCGCCACCGTCTCAGGCATCACCCAGCTTTGGGAGATTTCACCTGCGCCAAAGAAGAGCTTCTTCGACCATATTCAAGAAGCAGGCAACGAAGCGTCGTTCGGTGCCGAGGCGCCTACTGCAGAGCAAAAAGCCGCTAAAGAGGAAGCGAGCAGGGAGAAAGAAGATGCCAAGAGGAAGGACGCCAAGTGGGTGCTTCCTAAAGCGGTTGATGGAGCGGGAATAAAAGTTCCCAAGGGAGACATCCGGGTCAGGATACGGAGAAGGGAGGGGTTGCCTGCTAGCAAGGTTGTGCGGAGGATTGGTTAGCGTTGATACTGGGGCTTTCACCGGAGCCAACGTGCGTGCATGACCAGCATCGGGGTGTACATACTAGCCGCGTAATACAGACATCGGTATCCAGAGAACTCTATGGTATGGAAGGCTTTGCGGAGCCGCGATAGTATATGCCCGTAACTATTGACCGTGGCACGGGCCGGTCAGACAACAACTACATGTATCGGACCGCGCTGTGCGTACAGTCAGAGCCGACAAGTAAGCAAGCAAGCATCCAGGTAGCAATCACAAACCACGATCGTCGACATCGACGATGAGAACCACTCTATCCCACGCATGCAGCGCCTATGCAATCCACCTAGTCTGACATTCTCACCCCAGCCCAACCCAACATCTCCACCCACTACTCCACATCCCCCCTCCCCAAACTCTCCCACCACCCAAGGCCTTCTCCACTCCTTCCTAACCTAGCGTTCCACGATCGATCCCGATGCCCATACCTTCGTACCTGCACGCGTTCGTTGTCGCAAAATAACGCTGGCTGACGTCTGCCCACCTCGTCAAAGTAGCGGTGAAGACACATTATTGCGATTGAACCAACGTTGAAACCTGAATCAGCAACCACAAACTGTCCTCTTACCCGCTTCCGCGCGAACTACGCGAAATACAAGACAGCGCAGGGCCACATCATCACATAACGATCAGCGCAACCTTGGAAGTCGAGACTCTTCGATTGCACATCGTATGTATGTCATTTGTATTGATTGTCGCATTGGCGTTTTGTACACCGCAGGATTGAGGTTCGGAAAGGTCCGCTTCGGCATAACACTGTGTATCAGAGTTTAGGTTGCAGATCGAAGTTTATGGAATGGAGATTGTGAGATGGTTAGGGGGTACGTCGGAGGTTGAGGGTTGTAGTCGGATGCTGTTGTGCATGGGTGCTCGGATGTAGGGGGAACGTTGGCCGGCAAATTGTCATCCGAGTCTGCTTAGTTATTGTGATGCGTGTAGACCCCTGACCCCACACGCATGCACGCTTCTTCGTGATCAATGGCCAGGACTGCTGCAGTCAGCCTTGTTCAACGACTAACGTTATCAATGCTAAAATTTTGACTTTTTCCATCAACAAGCACACCAGCTTCACAGCCTGCTTAGCTCAGTGGTAGAGCGCGTCACTAGTAAGCCTATTCGGGTTAGCGCAATGACGAGGTCGCCAGTTCAATTCTGGTAGCAGGCAGTTTTCTTTTTGACAAAAAGGAATTTTTTGTTTCACCAGAAACCATATGAAATGCGGAAAGCTACCCGCGCCGACGTGGTTGAAGTCGTGACTTGAGTGTGTGTGCGCAGCGTACGATCGTGCGAAAGCCACTTCTACATTGCTCTTTCCAGACTTGGAATTTTTTTTAAAAACCATACAATCATAATGCGCAGCCTACTGCTACGTAGTTGCACTGTTCGCAGAGTATGTTTACTTGTACTCAGTACCTTGACGCCAGCCGTGCCCTTGCAATATCCATTCTTAAGAGTGATAAGGAGAGTGCACGCACCAGCGACATGAACATTGTCATATGTTCCCCCCTCTCTTCGATGGAGGCTTTACATCATTGCACCACAACACAAACAATGCATGGTGGTTTGAATTTGGAACTCATCAATGTCATTTCCATGATACTTTTCCCGCATGACCTGTTAACACCAGATGCGGATCGTACCCCATGCACGCCATCACTGCCGCGGGATCGCATCAAGGGCATGTTTATCTTTCAATTGTAAACACAAACACCTTTGGAATGCCGATATCATGCCGCGGTAAGTTGAAAAGACCCAAGAACCCCTTGCCTATCCAACGAAGACCTTATACCTCTTCAAGAACGGTCTCCTTGAACTCGCGCTCAACCTTCTGGCCAGAGTCGTCCTGGCTTGACTCGCCGTGGAGACCGAGGAGGGCACCAAGGTCGAACTTGGGTGCCTTGAGGAGCTTGACCTTTCGGACGTGGACCTGTGTCATATTAGCCTGTGTCATCCTCCATAGTCCATGTGACCACATACGTTCTGGAGAGGGTAGATGCCCTGGGTGGCCTTCTCGATCTCGCGACCGATGACCTCGGGGATGAGCTTCTGGGTGAGCTGGGCGAGGGTGCACGAGCTGGCGTCGCGGGCCATGATCTCAACCATCTTCTTGCGGATGGCCCTGATCTGGGACGACTGGGCGTATGTGGTCTTCTTGACCTGGTTCGGTCGGCGCTTGGTGAAGGCGATGCAGAAGAGGCGGAGGAGGTAGTCGTCGGTGGTCTTGACAACGACGTTGGCCTCGATGAGGGTTTGCCACTTGCGGACGAGGGAGCGGAGCTTGTCGGAGGTGAAGTCGAGACCGTGGAAGTTGGTCAGGCAGTTCTTGCCCTGGACCTCGTCGACGCGGAGCTTGACCTTGCGGAAAGCGTGGTCCTCATCCTTCTGGAGATCGGCGAGCGAGACCTCGAATATCCGGCCCTTCAGAGCGTCGTTGGCGTTCTTGAGACCGGTGGTGCGGTTGACGAGGGTCTTTCCGACACTGCAGAGAGCGAAGAGTAAGCATTGAGTCCCCGTGTGGTGCAGCGGGAATTCTTACTCTCGGACGGCGAAAGTTCCTGGCGCCTTGATGTTGTACCAGTCCTTCTTCGCGAAGGTGTCGGTCTTCTTCTTGAGACCCTTCTTTCCCTTTGAAAGACGCTTGTTCTTGCCGACAGCCATGATTGCGAGTCTTGTTGTCGGTCGTCGAGAGGGTGGTTGTCGCTGTCGATGTCGGAGACTGAGGACTCGCAAATTGGTGGTGTTCAAAATCGCTTAAGCGAGCCCAGTAGCGCCGCGCATCACGTGTGCCAAGCCCAAAATCGAGTGCGGCGATCAACTGCAACAACACTTCAGTGCACATCATTCGGGAAGATCAGCAGTGAATGAACACAAAAGTAGAGTGTGCTGATCGCGTTCGCATGCATTGCGGGCAATATAGCAATGGTGATGCTGCACTTTGGGATCTCCCGAGTCGCCATCTGTGGCGCACGCGATACCTAGGTAGCCTTTGCTACATCATGATGGCCATGTACTAGCAGAAAAGTGCTGCAATTGCGTGATGCACATGATACACATGATGGACATGGTCGTGGCAATGGTCTGGGTAGAAGATGGTGCTGAAGCGACTCCATGACTGCACGACTCCACGTGTCTTCGCGTCTCTACGCTTGTGAAACCAACATCACTTGCATCACTTAGTTCATACACCAACAACTTGCGCTGTCAAGTAATGTACATATGTTACATTGCTGCGATTCTATCCTCTTCACAGTTCATTCAGCTGTGGCGGACAGACTAACTACCCATCGCACACGCTAGCACCCCCATCCAAATTCCAGTTACATCTTCGCGTCTTCTCCAGCCACCGTCAGCGAACGTCATCAATGCGATCATCGTCGCAGACGAGTTACTGCGTCCAGCATCACGAAAAATATGGATACACATCCTGTAACAATTTCCTTCCCCCTCTTTACATCTCGACATATCATTATCGTGACGTAGATCCGTTGGCCCGATCCCTACCCATTCCTGTTCCCCGTGACAGCAGAGACGATGAGGCGATGGCCAGATGTATGCCCTCCAAACAGCCGTGCAGTTTCCAAATTGGAGACTGTCGGCTTGCGGTGACTCGATACAGATTACTGTACAGTTGCTCATAGAAGGGAACGTGAGTCTGGTAAGTGTAGCGGTGGTATGGCTGGGTGTTGTTGATAAGAGACGTCCTTGTTGCATGGCATCAAAGACTGATGCATGTGCAATCATGTCTTGACGTCAGATCGCTCTTGCTGACCATATGGGTTCTGGTTCTGGCAGAACTTCTCAAAGTCGGGAAAGCTGATGTAGCCGTCTGGAAGAATGTTAGTCTTCTGTTACTTCAATCTGACATGCTCAGTGCTTACCCTGCTGCCTGTATTGTCGGACGTAACGGTCACTCTCGGTTCTCGACATGGAAGGTCTCTCAGAAGCGTAGGCCGGTTCTGACTGCAACCTCGATCGTGGAGTGAGCATCGGGCTTCCAGGTGGCGTCTCGCCTCGAGGTGTAGTAGGCGATGAAGCAACCTTGGCCAGGAGAATGGAGGCCTTGGTCGGGCTACCGGATGTTGATGTTCCAGAGTCCCGTCGAGAGGTTACAGGCACAAGTGTGGTGAGGCATGGCGAAGAAACAGTTGATGGTGTTAGAGGTGGCCGCCGGCTTGCTGAGCGAGATCGTTGAGGCGCCTCAGTAGGCAGCGAGAAGTAGTATCGTGGATGGCTAGACATGGCGAAGATGTGCGTCGATCGACAGAGAGCGAGTGTTAGAGTCGGAGAATTAACTGCGGTATGGAATTGAAGAATGACGGAGGGCGGGAACGGGTAGTATGTATAATGGCGTCCAAATCGCCTAGACGCTATTCACCCCATACTACCGAATGCATGTATGTATAGTGACGCCTCTGCTCGTTCCAGGCACCCTGGTCGACGCCAGGTGCATCAGCAGCCCGGAGCTCCCCACTCGACATCGCTGGCCTTTCGGGCTAGTTATGCATGCCGAAGTGGGTACCGCCAGAAAACGTGGACGTTCTGAATTAGTCTGCTTGCAAGGGAGGTGTGCTGTCACGCTTTGACTCGCCCTGACTCGCCCCTGATGCACACAAGACCACCTCACGTCCATTTCTCTAGTCTGATAGTCTGCTGCGAGCTGCTGCAGGTGTGAGTTGGCCACCGCCGACGATGCGGATGACAATCATGAAACACTTTGTCGCGATTTAGTCGACGATGGCAGCGTACCTCGAGAGCCAAATCGGAAAGGTCGATTCCGCCTTGGATGCGCTTACGGTGTGGCAGGTCATTCGCGTCGGCCGTTCCTGATTGGCATCGCGCTCCTCGATCCCAGGCCTCGCCGGAAGAGCGGGTGCACAGCCATAGCGGCGCCGTCGCATCCTCAAACCATGGCATCGGCGGATGCAAGCCGCACTCCCAATGAACATCCGTCATGGCTGCGCGGTGATGACACAGCCAGCTCTGCCCTGTTCTTCGCCCAGTTCCCGGCGAGCCTTCCTTGTTGTGTATCAGGAACGTTCGAGAGGGGCACACGTATGCTTATCCACAGCCTAATCTGTTATCGAGTCCAGACGTCTCTACAGACCACCGTGCGGTTTGTGCGACGAGACAGGTACCGGACTGCAACGAGCCTCATTCATATCGGCCACTTTGTCGGTGACGACATTGTCTCAGCTGAGGGTTTCTATTTCTGCCGTGTCATGCAATGCGGATGACATCCCTTGTCATCGAAAGTCGAGAACATCGTACTTGCAAGGGCATCCTTCCCCTACTTTCGTGCGATCCGGTTGGAGCATAAAGACACGCGAGAAGACCAACACTTTCGACACCGGTCGCTATTACATAGCCTTCCATAACTACCGATCGCGTGTCTCGATTCCGTATGTCACGTCGGTAGTGTCTTTCCGTGGCATGGCGGTTGAGGGGAAGCCACGTACTCGGCATTCTATCGCTTAAAGACTGCTACGATGCAGGTCATCAATAACCGCTTGCGATGACCAAAGCCGATTGTTCTTCCTGGAACTACAATGTATAATGAGACAGCTCAGAAACGCAAGAGCTGTTATTAGAGGCAATAACTGGGAGCATCCCGAGATCTTCTCGGGACATTGTGAGATGCCTTCAGGGTTTGGAGGGCCACATCCATGGATAGGTACACATCCGCCCCTCCATCTCGTAACTCTGCAACCAGGCGAATACTATGACCCGTATCTCTATCCGGCAATGCTTGGGTTGACTTGTTCTGGAACGATGATTACCTCGCCTCGCTCCACCTCCGCGTCAGCTGCTCTCACATGTCGCCATGCTTTCCGTGAGGAGCGGGCAACGCTCCGATTTGACAGTGCTGCTCTCAACGCTGCATTCTCAGCTGGGCGCCTGATCCTGAAGGTTCAACAAAATATTAGTAGCGGACCATGTAAACTGTCTTTGGAAACACGATTACGGCCCTTCTTGTATATACACGGTGATCCGATAGGCAGGCCAAAGTTTCGCCCGTTCATCTCGAGAGGCTGATGCAAGAGCCGAAAGCTATCTAGCATCATGCCGTGCTGCCCAGTCCGTCATTGTGTACATACAATGTGGTTAGCCATACCGACGTGCATGCTAGACCCGGGAAGCGGGTACCCCTCCACGCCGTCATAGCCGCGGCCGTTGACCAGCAAGTTTGCAATTCCGCATCTTCATCGACGATACATTCCCATGTACTCTTTTCGGACCGGGAAGATCCAGCACTACGACCCAAAGTTCGCATGCCCCAGCGGCTAGCCATGACAGCGAAGGCAACTCTGATGCGTTGGTGTTTCGTGACGGTGCTGAGGCCCTCCTCAACATACCCCTCACTCAAGACACCCTCAGCTCAGACGCCTCTGCCCCAAGTAAATTCTCCGCAAATCCAGACACGCTTCTACGGCAGATCTCGCCGCCGATCCTGTCCGAAAACTAACATACATACCCGCGCAACACCATACGGAGTACTTGCTGCGTCTCGCTCTTGAGCGAGCGAGTTGAGAAGCGCCTGTCACTGCGGCAACGCAGCAACGGTCGCCGACAGTATGACGGGCTTACCGCCACTATCGTAACTGTACTGCGCTCCACTTTATCAATGTGCCAGAAATTAGCCAACCATGAACCTCACATTGAATCTCCTACGTACGAACAAATAAAAATACGTTTTTTTTGGTCCACCCCGTACTCTCCCTCACCGAAGAACGGCGAAAGCGAAAAGAACCACCACACTAGATCACGATGTCTCAAAATCTGAAACACATCTGAGTGGAGTCCTACGCAGTTCCCAACCACCCACAACCACGCACGCACAAAGAAGCGGTAAGCAGAAAAGGCACCAAACAGCAAAGAGAAAGAAAAAAATCAACGTGTACCAACACCAGCGGTCAACCCAATAAGCGGGCCGCTCCCGGCAATCAATCGGTGTCCTTTGCTCCGTTCACACCAGCAGCCCGTCCGTCTCATCCCCCCACTTCCGCTACACACCAACACGTGCACACAACAACCACATCACCCACAAACATCCGCATTCTAGACCCTTGATTCCCACATTTCTCGCCTGCCTAACACGTGCAACACACCGGTAGATCGTTATCTCCAAATGAAACGGCGCATCTGCATACAACACGCATACTTGCAGCTGTCAGTCAAGGTCATGCGCGGTAGGTGCGGGTAAGGCGACGCGCGGGTGTACAAGGGTGAAGGGAAAACACAGTGACAGGGGCGATGAGGGGCATAGGGGACCGGGTATGCTGGCATAGGAACAGCGATCATAGTAGGTGGGAGGAGGTCAAGCGGGAGGTTTTGTGCTGTTGGGGTTTAGTGGCGGTGCAGGTGTATGCGTGAGGTGACAAGGGCTGTTTTCTTCACGTGTGATATGCGAGTATGACTGGAATCAATGAGGTGGGTTTGTGCAGTGGGGGATGTGTTAAGGTAGCCGGTGGGTGTTTTGGCAATGGGAACGCGTTATGCGGAGGGAGGCGTGTGGTCTGTGGATACGTGTGGTGAGGAGACTTGATAGTAAGCGATTGGTCGGGAGGTGGTGTTGTTGGGTCAGACGGTGGCTTGGCTCTTGCTGTTTGCACGTGAAGGTGAGGTGGTAGAAAGACCGAGTTGATCATCATGAAGAGTTGATATATCGACTATGAAAGTGCGATCAAAAGTGAAGTAGTCTGAGTGGTATGAGGTATTGTGTTTTGACAGTGCAGTTCTCTATTTCTACTATCATCACATGTCGACTCAAGCAATTCGTGCTGTACCGTTGGTGGTGGCTTACTCCTGCAGCATGTCACCTCCTTCACATCATCTAAGCCCTTCAATGCTAGGTTGGAGTCAGCGTGGATTCTTCAAGAGTCACATGGTTGCACTTACGTCGACGTCATCCCAACCACGACCCTTTACGTTTGCCAATTCGTCCATCGACATGACATGACCAGTGGTGACTGTGGTACCGTGTTAGTAGTCGTCCAAAGCGTAGTAGGGAGTAGAAACTTACAATAACCAGCTTGAATCTTAGCATCGATCTCAACACGACTATCAGCCGGGATCATGTCGTCGGGAATGGGTACACGCTCATGGATAGGAATGCCTTGATCGACAATAGCATCATGCTTCATGTTGGACATGCTGAGCATCCTGTCGATCTTGGTGATGCCCAGCCAATGTAGGATATCTGGCATCAGAGCCTGGAAGCGCATATCCTTGACACCGGCAATGTTCTCAGTGCGCTTGAAGTACTCGCTGGCACGGTCTTCGCCTCGCTTTCTGGCGTTGTAGACGAGGTATTTCGTGACCTCACCCAGAGCACGGCCTTCCTTGCGGAAGTAGATGACAACACCGCTGCCACCCTTCTGAGCCTCTTTGACTGCTTCTTCGATACCGAAAGTAAGGTAGGGACGGCATGTGCAAATGTCAGATCCAAAAACGTCACTTCCATTGCATTCGTCGTGGATACGGAGAGCAAGCTTCGCGCTGGGGTCGGACATCTTCGCTGGGTCACCGAAGATGTAGACTGTTAGACCGCCAATGGGAGGGAGGAAGAGCTTGATGTCATGGCGGGTGATGAGTTCTGGGTAGGAGCCACCAGTCTCTTCGAATAGTGTCCGGCGCAAAGTTCCCTCGTCTTTTGAATGCGTTAGTGGATGTAGTTAGAAATGCATTTCGACCCACTTACCAATGTTGAAGCGCTCGGCAACACCAGGCAGGTACCATACAGGCTCGACTGCGACCTTGGTGACGGCAACCTCACCAGTCTCGTTGACGCAAATCTTGCCATCGGGAACGAGCCTGCCTTTCCTTACACTCTCCTCAAGTTCTGGCACTTTCATGTGTGCTCTGGTGATGGCGATGGTAGGTCTGATCTCAACATCATCCTTGTCCATGGTTTCCTTGTACAGCCAGGGTGCGAGATGGCCGTATGGATCCATGGCCACGATCTTCTTTGGATCGCTCCACTGCGGGAAAGGACCAATCTTTGCAGCAGGTTCGGTGTTAGTGAAGTCTGGCTTGTGTGTGATGTCGAGGTTCTTGCTGGCAACGGCTAGAGCATTGTAGATGGAGTATGAGCCGCCATGAGCACCGATAGCTACGAGAAGTTAGGAACCAATAAGCTGTATAGCTGTTCGTATGTACGTACCGTTACGTCTTCGGATAGTGTTCGCATGCCTTGACACAACGACAGGGCCACGAACAGCAGGGTCCTTGGCACCCCATTGCATTGGCAACGGATCGACGCCGGCTTGGCCGGGATACGAAGTCAAGATGATCTTTGAGATCTTGGATACACTCGTGCGACGTGGTTGGGCATCAGCATTTGAAGGTGGCTGCTCATACTGCTCGCTAACAGCTTCTACGGACTTCTCTGGCTCAACTTCCTTCGCCTTCTCGCCGTCCAGCTTGCCATTGGCAGCTTCACTTGCTGCCTCGTCCTTGATTTGCTTGATGCCTGCCAGCATGTTGACACGGCCGTTGATCTTGTCGACTGAAGCTGCCAGTACGGAGTTCTCCGAGCGGAGCGCCTTGAGCCCATCGAGAATCTCCTTGAGGACAGCATCGCTGGTGGTGCTTTCAGTAGACATGTTTGGTAATGGAAACCCTCATACAAAGTAGTACAGGATCTCTGATCTTAAAGGCAAATAGCAATCGCGATTGCTGTGTTGGTATCGAGTCGTGAATCAAAGACCGGTGAGCTGCGGTGGTAGGACGAACACGCAAGATGATGCGAAAGTGGGTAGCGGACAGAGGCACAAACACAACTTTGAACAAGCGTCAAAGGGGACCAAAAAGATCCAGAGAAGGAGGAGAAAGAAGGAAGAGGAGGATCAACGTGGTCAGATATTAGGAGCTCGCCGGCGGTGGCAGCAGAGAACAGCTGACTACACACGTGCATGATGGTCGCGGCGAGCGCTGATAGGAGCGGGGGCGCTTATCGCCTATCGACGTATGCGGCAGCTGCAAGGGAGCGACAGGGATCTTGGCGGTCGGAACCACGCGAGACTCGAGACGCCATTCACCCAAACTCGCGATTTCGCGTCACCGCACACGACAACGGCGCGACAAGCACCAAACACGGCTCTGGATATCCCACCACAATCGCTGCTTTATAATTACGTGTAAACACACCTTCCACATCTGGCGACTCTGACCAACGCGAAAAATGGTGCGTTCCTCCCGGCTTCACGGTATCGCATGCGCAAACTAACAGCAATGACAGGGCAAGCGCAAATCCTCCAGCAAGCCTCAAGGCCCCAAGAAGGCAGGCTCTACCCTATTCCCCTGATACCCCGCCGACTAATACCCTTGTAGAAGGAGAAACTCCCAACCACGTTCCAATGCCTATTCTGCAACCATGAAAAGTCCGTCAGCGTCTCCATCGAGAAGAAGTCGGGTGTCGGCAACCTGCAATGTAAAGTCTGCGGCCAGACCTTCCAGACCAACATCAACTACCTCAGCGCGCCCGTCGACGTGTACGCCGACTGGATCGATGCATGTGACGCCGTCGCGAAGGAGGCAGCCAAGGGCAGCGTCGAGACGGCGCGGAGTACAAATCGCATGGGCAGGATGCCGACGGCGCACAACCAAGAAGACGACGACGGCGACGGCGGGTTTATCGAACACGACGAGCCTGATGCCGAGGGGGAGTACGCAGACTGAGTCCCCCGGGGGCCATCGCGCGAGGGCGACCAGACGTGAAGGCTTCAGGCCTTGTATAATACATGGGAACACGGGGAGCGGATCATGGCTTGCACGGCGTTTAGGATACCAAAAAGGATCCGCAGATTCACGGTGGCGTTTCATTATCGTCGTCAGCGTCAGGCTGAGGCGTGTTCACGGTTAGCTGAGCGCAGCTCGTAAAAGTGTACATAGTAATCAAGCCTGTACATCAATGACTTTGAGCTGCCCGTAACCTAGTGTTTTTTGGTTTCACAACATCATGCTACTACATGCTCAAGCAAACCTAAGCCGCCCTGCGCCCAACAAATGCTATCGATGAACTGGAGAAACTGCTGATTTCTTTACATGGTATAGAATCGGTCGCCAAAGTCACCCAGTCCAGGGACGATGTAGCTACACGTCATGTTAGTATGGAGTGGTCAGGTAGATCGGAGTAAACATACTTCTTCTCGTCCAGACCCGCATCAACAAAGGCAGTGACCACTCTCACTTTGGGGAACTTATCCGCAAGGTTCTGCGCGCCTTCTGGACTGGCGATGAGGTTGAGGAAGAGTATATGCTCCTCTGGCACGCCCCTTGACTTGAGCACATCGATCGCCATGAGTGCCGACCCACCTAGCTTCATCAGCAGTGATCACACAAACACGCCCTGTGTACTTACCAGTAGCCAGCATAGGATCCAACAACAGTACCCATCTGTCGGCGATGTCCTCAGGCAACTTGTCGTAGTACAATTTCGGCTTACTAGTCTCCTCGTCCCGCTGAATCAAAATCTTTCCAATGCGTACGCTCCTACAGCAGTCCCTTAAACCCTGCTCCATAGACTCTCCCGCACGCATAATCGAGACACCGCAGATCTTGCCCTCGAACTTGACACCGGAGTAAGTGCGGCCTACAGGGGTGGTGATCTCCTGAGACTCTGTTGGCAGGTGGTTAAGGCCTTCTTCAACAAGCAGACGGATTATGCGGTTGCTGTAGAAGATGAAATCTGCGCGGCCGGTGTTGCGATCACGTATCATACTTTGAGGTTGTTAGTTTGGGTATTGGTGCTTGACCATTCATTATGTTGGTCATGGTTCATGGGGCTCTTACGTGAGCAATGCTATCAGCTGAGGGGATTGGGGTAGGATGTGGACATTGGCCTGCTTAAGAGGAGTTGAGACGGTGGCTGTTGGCTTTAGGTTTGAAGGACGGTATTCGGGGCCCAGGCATTGGGAGGGTGGTTGAGAGTCGGAAGACATGGTTAGGGTACGAGGCTGAGGGGGGGTCAGTCAAGGTCATGTAATAGAAATTTGGTAGTATAGAGATGTTTCAGAGCCAAGATACGGCATCCCAGCAGAAGGGGTTGGGAACATATAATCGTAGTTGTAATCTAAACTGAGCTTACCGGCGCGTGAATGTGCGAGTAGAGCTTGTGCTGTTGGAACGCAATTTGATATTGGTGGGGTAGTAAGGATGAGATTGAGGTGAGAGCAAGACCAAACGATAGAGCAGACTTTTATCAATGGATATGATCTCCAGATAAGAGCGAAGAAAGAGGAGCTGGAGCGCAGGTGGGCTAACAGTCTAGGCTCGTGACCGTCGGCGAAGTCCTTCACTCTGTTTGGGAAGGAGCAACCCATGCCCCGCTGTTTAGCGTGCCTGTCGTTCGGGACCCTGCTTGGATCACCAGCCACCATGCAAACAGCCGCTTTGAGCATTTCACCGTGACTATGATGATGTCGCGACAATGAGAGCATAGATTTGCGGTGAGCGAACGCGTGGACCCTACCAAGGTGAATGGGAGCGGTTGCCGAGACAAGCCATCCACGGTCCTAGGTGCCACCCGCCTGCTGCGAGATGCGCGTCTGAGCCAACTTTTGGAGCGTCACCACAACACGCCTACGCAGCGACATGGCCACGACCATGTTCGCCAATTCCACATCAGGCGACCGTCGCAAGAAAGTCTACGGCAAATCCGCGCGTCGCTCCACCCTGCCGCCGCCCCTTCCCGATTCCAACGATGATGCGCCTCCATCCCCAGACCGACCGCGGAAACATCCGACATCCTTGAACGACTCGCTGAAGAAAGCCGGAGACACGTTGAAGGCCAGCACGGGTCTGGAGAATGCGCGCGCAAGGACCGACGATGTCGACGTCTTCGATGTGCCCTCCGACGACGAGTTCCCATCGCGCCCGAAACCCACGACGAAGATCATAGCGAAGCGTCGGGCACCTGAAGCAGGCTCGGCATCCTCAACTTCCTCCAGAGGAGAGGCTGTGGCAGTATCGAGGAAGCCAACAAAGGTTTCACAGCCGTTGCGCAAGCCCAACGATGCAAACTTTATCGCCGTAAAGAAGAAGCTCCGAACGCCCGCGCAAGTTCCAAAGCCCGTACAGGCACCGCCACCTCCATCCTCGGACGCGATCGCACCTCGAACCTTGCGCGGGAAGACGCCTCAACCTGTAGAAGGGCAGAAACAGACTACAAGGGATCCCAAGCCATTGCAGAGACCGGTGGCGAGGGCAAAAACGTCTTCCGAGACAACAGCTGTTGCGCCGACAGAGTCCAAGGTTCAGAAGGTTGTAAAAACAACCTCGGCACTGCCTGCGAAAAAGACGGCAGGCAAAGCTGTTGCCAAATCGACGGATGATCTGGCTGTGTTCGATATGCCAATGTCGGACGAAGAGGCTCCACCAACGGTCAAAAAGATCTCACGTCAAGCTCCACAGAAAGCACAGAAAGAGCTTCCCGGAAAGTCAAAAACAACATCTGAAGAGTCTCACAAGGACACTGCCGAGTCGGACGAGTCGAATGCATCAAACAAGCGAAAGCGCAAAGGGTCCATGTCTTCGACTGCCACAGTAGCTACGTCAGTGGTACAACAGACGAGTGAACAGTCGGCGCATCAGCGGAGCCGGAAGGTTCAGAAGAACGAGGAAAGTGCTTCACCAGGGCATGCATCGCTGATTCATCCCGTCGCAAGCGCAACACGGAAGACGCAACCGCCAGCGCTGACACTCAACAAACCGACAAGAACTAGGCAACGAACCGTACCTGTCATGGCACCGCGAACGATGACCAAGGGCCAGTCCTCCCCTGCTACTCTGAGCGGCATGATACCGAATCGCCAGGCCCCCAGGCCATCTCCTATCAAGAAAATCACAGACGTGCCTGAAATAGAAGACGAAACTATGTACGACATACCAGATCCGTTGACTACCCCTGTCCGGAAATCCAGACCTGTCGTGCCTGGCTCAGTGACACCGCGACAAAGGGATCTCTTCAGCGGCTTGCTAAGCGATTCATCGTCCTCTGCTACACCAATGCCGAGCCTTGCCAACTTACAGCTGACGGATCGCAAACCGAGATCACTCATCGGTAACCTGGCTAGATCAAAGTCGGATGTCACTCATAGTGCCAAGGCTCGTAAGACCAGACTCATTGACACTCTCAAACCAACGGACACCAGCTCGGACGATGACGAAGAAGACAGCAGCAGCGATGGCGGATATCAATCGGAAACTAGCTCAAGACATTCCCGGTCTGCAAGAGATTCTGCGCGAGAAGTCAGAAAAGATCATCCTTCGATGGTGTCTTCTGACGACATGGATGTGGACAAAGAAACGAACGTGGACTCACAAACATCGCAAACATTGTCTGGTTTCGGCATGCGTCCAAAGCTCACCTACGCAATGGCGCGGTCGTACCTAAAGGAAGACAACCCAGAGGATGACCTACTGATCTCGATGGATCTGGACGATGGCTTTGGGTCTCAGTCCCAGATGGATACCAGGTCTGTGTCTGAGGATGACCCCGAGTCTAACAGTCAAGCACAGGCTCAACAGATTCACGAGCTCAAGACCCGGGGGCGTAACATGATCATCGGATATGAAATCGAAATGATGATCGGAGACATATCCGTAACCAACAGTAAGAGTATGAGGCGCAGTGCAATGATTGATCTGTGCACCAAGATGGCCGATGAAGCGTTCTGTCATCAGCTTGTCGACTCGGCTCTGGCCCATCAGTTCTTTCAGAACATCGCCGGCGGCCGCGAGATCATCTTCGACTTTGTCGCCGCCGTCGCCACGGTTTTTATCCTCCGGACCAACCCTACCCACTCTGTTCTAGACGAGTTACAGGAAACCGGCAGTATTGCTCACTTAATTGAACTAGCCAGCAATGATGTGGATATCAAGGAGATCGCCAAAGACCGCAAGTCGAATATGTCGAAGATTGCCAAGGAATCGGTACTCACGTTTCGCACCCTAGTCCAGCAAAGCTCTATCTGGTCATCCGAAGTAGTGCAGAAAGTATCTCCCCAGCTTGTCGCGCTGAAAGCCATCGAGCTGCTCATCATTGGTCTGCGGAAGGCTGGCAATGCTGATATGCTACTTGATCAAATGATGATCTCCCAGCTCGTTGAGATTGCTTCAACATTGAATGGCCGAATGCAATTGGGCAAGGAAGCAGCAGCGGACAAACTGTCTCTGGAGACAGTACTTTCTATACTGGAGTCTATCTCGGCTACGAGACAGATCCAAGCCTCCTGGCCGACTGGTGTGCTTCAGCGGATTGCAGACTTTATTCCTCGGTTCTTCCAGCCTGACAGCGCCGCATCAACTATGCTCGCTGTCAAGCTATGCATGAACTTGACGAACAACAAGCCAAAAGCTTGCCAGCCGTTCTCGGCCATGACTTTTGTGCAGCCATTGACGCAATCTATCATTGGAAAGTTTGAGTCGATCAGTATGGGGCTAGCGACTGAAAAGCGGACAGAGACTTTGGATAGTCTAATCCTGAGCTTGGGCGCTGCCATCAATCTTGCGGAGCTGAGCGACCAGATGAGGCTCAACGTCGCCGATCAGATTGACGCTCTGGTTACCATCTTCCTGGAGGGATTAAAGCGTGCTTCACAGGTACGTACGCGTTCGACAATCATCATTTCAACAATGCTAACCCTACTCCAGGCTGCTTCTGTGGAAGAATCTCATTCTGGTGTAGCCATTGGATATCTTGCCGTGCTCCTTGGTAATTTGAGTCTCAATGACGAGATAAGGTTAAGAGTCCGCACGCTGCTACCGAACAAGCGACTTGACATGCTTGTCGACAGCATCAAGGACTTTGTCCGTGTACACCAGCACGTTGACCAGAAGGCAGGAGATCTTGAGGGAGCAGAGGGCCAAGAGGCGTTGCAGACCTATACCGCGCGCCTCATGCTTGTCGTGGAGCGGTTGCAGAATGCGAGCGCTTGATGATGCAGGAATGCGGAGGCTTGACTCTTGCATGCCGCCTGGGCATTGGTTCATTACTGATCAGACGCACTTTGTCTTTACTTGATTAACCCTCGAGTTGTTTACCATTGGGCAGCAAGTCATTTTCTTCTTCACAGGCCGCATCTTACTGGTTAGACTTTTTGCGGCTATGGCATGATACCCCGAATTACGCGTATGCGGTCATTGCTGGAAAGGGATCGCTTGTATTATGTATAAAGATTTCGATACCCCAGCATCTTGGACAGAGAGGTAGATAGTAACGGTTATGCAGCGAGGCTCTTCAGGCTAGCCAATGACCCGTAGTAGTTATATGAGAAACATGCAGGCTTGTACTGATTGAGCGAGAAGTCGTCTATTCGTCGCCGCTATCCGCTCGTATTCCCATCGTGTAGGCAGTAGAGGCTAAATGAAGGCTTGTAACCTCGCACGTACCCGTCCGAAAGGCTGCACCCGACCCAGAAGGCCGGCTCAAGTGACGCAACAGCCGGTATGTGGAGTGGCTCTGCCGTTGGGGCAATTTGCGAGATGCCTTCTATAGAACTTCCATGCAGCGGGCGTGTAATATCCGGGCGAGCAACTTTTTTTTCACTTTTGCAACAACTTGCATGTGATTGTTTCGCCTTGAGTCAAGAACGCCCGACATCATTTCGGCTAAGTTGTATGCTCGGGGATTCGGGAAGGGCAGCAATAGTTTCTGACATTTCGGAGGTTCTTGTGGCGCTGAGTGGTTGTAGGTGAATGGAGTGTCTGCAGGTAGTGTGCTGGACAGGTTTGCGCTAGGCTCGAGACGATTGGCAATACGTAAATGAATGCTTCGAGAAGCTCTGGATTCGTCGGCTACGAGGTGCACTGTTCGGCTTAGATGGCCAGAACTGCGGAACCCAAATACCAGCTGCTCGGTGCCAAACCCAAAGCGATATATCATGGTTGCCCAACTTTCATATGCGGACGCGAGTCGTTGCTGCTCCAGAGCTATATCGAGATGGGAGCCGGCAGACATGACGGCATCAGCACCCGGTCGGGGACTTTTTTTTCGTGAGCGACGCCTGCTCTTCACCTACAACTCTGGCACGACGCTCGCCGAAGTTTGCCTCGATCGCATCCTCACGACAGTAGCTACAGCGCTTGGGCCAGTGAACCAGCTTGTTCGTGCCACACGCATCCATCACCTGCAGCTAGACGGCGTCATTCCGGGCTGGAAGCTAGCTCCTACAGGCAATTGGCAGGTCCGAAGCACCAAACGCAACCTAGGCAGCTACATCGCAGCGGTGGACTGAGACAGCCAAACCTCAAACCTGGCGAGTCGCTCAGCTTCCTCACGACCTCCTCCCAAACCCAGCAGCAAGATGGCGCCCCCACCCAAGCAGAGAAAGGTGGCCATTGTCGGCAGCAGAGCCGTCGGTACGTTGTTGCCCGAAGCTCGCGCAAGCTTCACATGCAAGTACCAACAAACAGCATACTGACGCGAGGGTGCACAGGCAAGTCGAGTCTGACGGTGCAATTCGTCGACGGGCACTTTGTCGACAGCTACTATCCGACCATCGAGAATACTTTCAGCAAGATGATCAAGTATAAGAACCAGGACTATGCGACTGAGATTATCGATACGGCTGGCCAGGTACATGAGGTTTTCTTTTCCCCCGCGTCGCGAAGCTCAGCCCAGGTCCACGCCCCACCTGCGATGCTTCACGCGCGTCTCTACTGAGCATGCCATGTCGTGCACCTCACGCTGTTTTTGAGAACCCGCTGACTCGGGTACCGTCTTCCAGGATGAATACAGTATTCTCAACTCCAAGCACTTTATCGGCATCCATGGCTACATGATTGTCTACTCGGTTGCTTCCAAGCAGAGCTTTGAGATGGCGCGCATCATTCGCGATAAGATCCTGAACCACCTTGTAAGTCTGACATGTGACACGCTCCGCGCCACTGCCTAACCACCCCTCACACTAGGCCGTCGAATGGGTTCCCCTCGTCATCGTAGGCAACAAGTCGGACCTGCGTCCCGAACAACGCCAAGTCACGCCTGAAGACGGCAAAGCCCTCGCCGCAGAGTTCAAATGTGCCCACACCGAAGCCAGCGCGCGCTACAACGAAAACGTACAAAAGGCTTTTGAGCTCATCATTGCTGAGGTGGAGCGGTCCCAGAACCCTGGTGAGCCCGCTGGCGGCAGCAAATGTACAGTCATGTAATTCCAAGATTCTTGACTGACATGAGCGCGTGTACCAGTCGGCGTGGACAAATATCCGGCTCTCCAGAAGGAGCGCGAGGACAAGGAGAAGAATCGGCGGAACAGTGCGCACCTCCTCAAGCATCCGTTGGAGCATTTCACGAACGCGCTCAAGAAGAAGAAGTAAGAGGAAGTATATTTTTGTTTGGTTGTTGTAGATGGCATAGACGGTGGCTGACTTGTCGCGATGTTTCTTTTACGGGTTCTGGTTTTCACTATCCTCATGGAAGGCAATAGTGTGTAATGGCGTAATGAGCGGTGGTGTAATAGGCGTTATTATCTGGTATTCTGGGGTTCGAGCTGTTTGTCGATCACGATGTTCCACGGCTGTAGTACTACGTATCACTCTACGTTACTTTCAACAATAGACGGTATGCGTTCATTTCAACTCAAAGTTGTGTACATTAATGTTCGCGTGGAGACTATCGTTCTGAAGGTCACGCTGGGCCCTGCATTTTCGACTCGACAGGCTTGCGATGCACCGACCACCACCCACCATTTCTACCCACAGACCTTACAGTATTAGGAAGCTCGAAGCTTTGACGGAAAAGCTACTGCGTTCAACGGCACTGCTGTCCAACCTACTCGATTTGGCAGTTTGAGCCTTGATGCTCTCTCTGCAAGACGTGTGTTGTCTGCGATGCTTTCCTGTAAACCTGGGTTTGGGAGACGTAGTCAATCTGCAACATGCACAAATGTAATGACAACATCAGTGCATACGTCACTAAGTCTACCTTCCTAATAAGGCAGGTTCGCATCCCGCCCATCGAGTGCAGCACTTTCAATCCGCGTGGTATCCCAGCCAAAGAGGAAAACGCCAAGCACTCTGAACAGACTCGTCCTGATTCGCTCTAGTGCGGGTCGCTCAATCTAATCCCTGTCGCTGTTTGAGTAAGGTGCGGGACACTGATGAGTCCCGCGTTTTGAACATCTCTCGATACGAGTCTACACACGCCACACACGACGAATTCTGCTTATCTTACGCAGGCTGAGAAGCGGATAAGATGCTCGATATGTACGTTGTATTTTTCTTCCGCAAGGAGAAGGTGGTGGCTGCTCAAATGCGCACGCGCTGAAGTTGGGCTTGGAGGGGCTGGAATTGGGGGAGTATACATGGAGACGGCAAGATTGGAGGTTACGTTTGGGGTATGAAGAGATATGGGCTGACGTCAGTGTCTATACAGAAACGACTTCATCAAGGAGCGCGGCGGCGAGCCCGACGTATGTATTCCCCACTCGTCTTGCGCGACGTTGAATGTTTGTGCCATGCTGATGCTCCAACCAGAAAATCCGCGAGTCCCAGAAGAAGCGATGCGCGCCCGTAGAGATTGTCGACGAGATTATCGCAGACTTTGAAGGCAAGAGCGACTCCAAAAGTCTTGTCGGGAAGGTCACTAGAACTTACACTGGCTACAGACCACCGTCGCACACAATACGATGCCACCCAATTCGGCTCCAAGATAAACGCGGTCCAGAAGAACATTGGCGCCAAGAAGAAGGCCAAGGAAGACGCCTCCGAGCTGCTCGAGGAGAAGAAGAAGTTAGAGGCTGAGAAGAAGGAGAAGGAGGCTGAAGCTGCGGAGAAATTGGCCAAGCTGCTCACAAAGACGAAGACGGTCGGAAACTACGTGTACAAGGACGTGCCGGTTAGCGACAGTGAGGACAACAACGCGGTTCAGAAGACCTGGGCTCCTGCGGACAGAAAAGCAGAGTTCAAGCAGGATGGCATCCCACATCACGGTGTACTTGCGCGGTTGAACGGATACGACCCGGAGAGAGGTACCAAGATCGTTGGTCATAGAGGATACTGCCTGACTGGATACGGTGTCTTCCTCAACCAAGCGCTCATCAACTATGGTCTTGAGTTCCTAGTAAGTGTGCGAAGAGAGAAGTTGTAAAGATCGCTATACTGACATGATCATTCCTCAGTTCAGCAAAGGCTTCACACCCAACCAACCGCCCTTCTTCATGCTCCGCGACCAGATGGCCAAGACAGCACAACTCTCCGATTTCGACGAGGAACTATACAAGGTCACTGAGAGCAAGGACAAGCCAGAGACCGACAAGTACCTCATCGCCACCTCAGAACAACCCATATCCGCCCTTCACTCCGAGGAGTGGCTACACGACAAAGAACTTCCCATAAAGTACGCTGGATACTCCACAAACTTCCGGAAAGAAGCCGGTTCGCACGGAAAAGACGCATGGGGAATCTTCCGGATACACCAGTTCGAAAAGGTTGAGCAGTTCCTCCTTACAAACCCCGAGAAGTCATGGGAAGCTTTCGACGAGATGCTGGCCAACTCTGAGGAGTTCTACCAGAGCCTAGGTCTGCCGTACCAGGTGGTTGCCATTGTGTCTGGCGCGCTGAACAACGCGGCTTCGATGAAGCGCGATCTTGAGGCCTGGTTCCCTGTCACGGGTGGTGGAGAGTACAAGGAGCTGGTTTCCATTTCCAACTGCACCGACTACCAGACTCGCGAGCTGGAGATCAGACATGGGATCAAGAAGTTGAACGCTACTCGTAAGGAGTATGTTCACGCGCTTAACGGTACTCGTAAGTTACTCCTACATCCCATTTCTTTGTCTGGGAAGGAAATCATAGAGCTGACATGTGTGTTGCAGTCTGCGCAACCGAGCGAACTCTCTGCTGCATCCTCGAGAACTACCAGACACCTGACGGCTTCGTTGTTCCCGAGGTACTGCGGAAATACATTCCGGGTCAGCCTGACTTCTTGCCTTTTGTCAAGGAGTGGAGGGCGCCCAAGGAGCCCCTTCCTGACCGGACAAAGTAGGTGTTCGTTGCGCGGGACGGAGGTTGCGAGGACGAAGATGCGAACAGCATTATGCTGGGGAACTCAGAAGAAAGAACTACACATACGCTGAGCTGTAGTCTCGGCGGAGTATCGAGATAGTTGCTTGAAGAGATCACGAGAGTGAGCTGTTCCACGGAATTGGAAGTGTTGACTTGTGAACGTGGTCCTCGTAGCACTTTACATCTCTAGATATGCCTCCAAGGAACAGCAAACGTCTCTTTCCAAACATCATACCTCTGGTTCCCAACATCTCACACAAAGCTATCATCTGACCATTAATCCTCGCCCTCGCCCTCATCACCCAACCTATTCTCCCAACTCCCCAACCACCTCCACCCCCTACACACCTTGTCCAGCTCTCCAAGCGCTTTATCTACATCACCTATATCAGTATCCGTCTTTCTCCCTTTGAACTCAACAAAGAAAACATAATGCCAATTCCGCACTCCGCTCGGCCGCGTATTTATACTCGTCAGATTGATGCCATGGCGCGAGAAGACCGTCAGGCAATTCGCCAATGCGCCTGGATTGGAATGCTCGATGGTGAAGGTTATGAGTGATTTCCACTTGTTTGCGTCGTCTCCGTCTGAGACCGATGTTGGAGTTATGGTGGTCGAAGGGGTTGTTTTCGCATTCCCATCCTCATCATCGGCATCCTTCCGGCGTATAACGAAAAACCTAGTACTATTCCCCTTCTTATCGTTGATCTCCTTCGCAAGCACATCCAATCTGAAGAGCTCCGCAGCGATTTCACTAGATAATGCAGCAGACTCTCCAGTTTTATCTCCACTCGCGATTTCCGCCGCTTTGCTCGTAGAACTCACGTCATGCCGTTCAGCCGTCTTGAGGTACTTGGCCAGAAAGTCCTTGCATTGGCCCCAGGCTTGGGGGTGGGAGTAGAGTTTCTTGATGTGCGAGAAGTCGTTCCCGTTTTTGCCGTCCTGGTTCGTAGTCCTTGAAGTGTTTGAATACCCCAATAAACAGTGCTTAACAGCTACATACGCCTCTCCCGTGACGAGGATATCAGGATACTTGTTGTCGAGGTCGGCGAAGAGGTCGAGGGTGAAGACTACGCTGCCGTTTGAGCTGTTTTCAAAGGGCACGACGCCTCGGTATGCGGTGCCGGATTGGACGGCGTAGAAGACGTCTTCGATTGTTATGGAGGGGGTGAGGGTTACGGGGGTTGTTGGTGAGGTTGGGGGGAAGGCGTCTAGGGCGGCCTGTGGGGGTGTTGTTAGGGTGGTGAGAGATTGATTCTAATGGAAAAAGAGAGAGGAAAGTGTATGATCTATTGTTTGTGATGAAAGGAAGGATATGCGGAAAAGTGATTATGACAAAAGACTGATCGAGTGACACTGTCTGTGCAAGACGACGGCCAGATCTCAGTGGGGGAACTCAATCACGGCTATCCCGCTTCTATCATTTGACTCACCTGATGTGTATAGCTGCCCTCTGGACCTAAAAAGGCCACGATACGTTTCTTTTCTTCGGCCATGTTTGTGCGTGCTTCCTGAGCTGTTGCGAATGTACACCGATAAATCATCAAATCTCGGAATGACGTCGGAACCCGGTATCGGCGCTAGTAAAAGCAAAGACTAACTTGTCATCCCCATGGGGCGTGTTGCGCCCTAATGTTTGTCTTGAGATTGATCGAAAGGGTGGGGCCATGTACACAGCACAGAACGTCACGCGCATCATCATGAACATTCAGTCTCATTTTCAAAACAATTTTGTATTCAGCTGGAGTAGAGCGAGCGACAAGCTGACGCATATTAGGCGAGCAATCTGCCTGTCCTTCTTCCGTAAAGGACTACTTTTCAAGAGGTTCGCAATCGACAATTGACGGTAGCCATCTTTCTGGACCCTTATGCTTTCTAGTCCTTATTGTAGCTAAGTTAGAGCTTCTCAGACCGAGGTTTGAAGAGGTCGAGCCTGTATGAGGCTGCTGCCTCTCCATGCAAGCGAGAGCGGGTCGTGGTAAGAATGGTGCTGGTCGACCTTGAAAATATTAGTAAAAGGTCGCTGGGGGACGGATACTAGTCGTACATTGCAAACCCTCCATAGGCACTCCCATCTTACAATCTGGAAAGGCGAAGTGTCGTTGCTTCGACTACTCCGGCCTTGATCTTGGGCACGTCTTTTTGACTTTTCGCGCAGGTAGCGGACGTTCCGTCACTCGAAGCGAGTGGGGACGCTACCTCGCAGTCAGCGAGGGCGCACAACCGTCAATCATCGTAGAATTCATCTTCATCTTCGTCGAAGTCGGCGAGTTGCTCAAAGTTGAGCGCGTAACGGAGGATGGCGCCGATACCACCAAAGCCCTTGACGAACTGGTTGCCCTCGGAAGATCGGTCGGAAACGAACTCAAGGTTGGCACCAAAGTCGCGGTACTTCTCAGCGAGCCACTCCAGCATAGAGCCTTGATCGATGACTTCCATCTCTTGGCCGGTTTCCTTGTCCATGAATACGCTTCGGTCCTCTTCTTGCTGCTTGGTGGTGTGGAGGATGATTTCCGCACCCGAAGAGCTCTTGAGGACCCAGCGAGTTATCTCCAGGTTCTCAAAGACAATCAGAGTCTCGGCAGCACCAGCCTCCAGAGCCTTCAGAGTGTCGTCAATACCGTAGCAGACCTTGCCGGAGTCCTTGGAGATGTGGTCAAAGTACTCGTTGATGAGCTTCTTCTCCTGAATGAACTTGACGTTGCTGAGGGTCTCGCCAGCCAACTCGATGGCCTGGTTGAAACCGTTCTCGCCTCCGTAGGACACGTCGACGACCTTGATGACCTTGGACTGCAGACGGTTGTCGAAGAGATCGGACTGATTCAGGTCATTCTTGAAGTCGGCGGAACCAGCGAGAATGATACCGGCTACGTTGACCTTGTCGGCGGTGATGAAGTTCTGTACCGCCAGTTCGGCGACCTTGCGGACGTAGTTGTGGCGCTTCTCTTCACGGAGACGGGCGAAACGCAGAGCGGACTGACCACCGCGGCCGTGCTTCTTGGGGAGATCGACGGAGAACCTGCAACGATTAGTGGCTTGTATACCAAACGGTGTTGGTCGCACTCACTTGTGGACAATCTCACGGGTGTTTCCTGACAGAGTGCCAAATAGCGCACCGTTTCCGTCCATGATGATGAAGCCAAACTTCTGATCCGACTCGAGCAGCTCGCTCAGGGCCTCGGTGTGAAATTTGTTATCGCAAAGGTATAGCGACGTGTTGATGGGCTTGAAGGGCTCAAAGTCGATGTTGATCTTGCGCTCCTTGCCTTCTGCGGTGATGATTTCACCACAGTAGACAACGAGGCCATTGGGCGGGACCTTTGAGTAGAGCTTGAGACGCTGCTGGGTCGAGGTAATGGCGGACAGGACGGAGAGACGGTTGACGCGCGACTTGATGTTGGAGGCGGTACCCTGGAAAATTAGTAACCGCGCCGGCGCAGGGTGTCCTGGTACTCACGAATTCTTCAGCCAACATCTTCGCGGCACGTGAAACCTGATCCTTGGGCGCTACACATGGTCAGTCTGCGGCATTTTGCTAGGTCGTCAGGTGTCACATACGGATGATGAGCGAAATCATGGATGTGCCATTTCCGCGGGCTGCTTCGAGGCGCTTGATTAGCTTCTTGACCTTCCAGATCTCAATGTTCTTCTCAGCCTCATTGGGCTGCTCATTCTTCCCGGACGACATGGTCGCGGCGGTGGTGTCGAGGTGAGGTAGTGGTGTTGGTGGGGTCGAGAGATTTTCTTGTTCGGCGAGGGGCAAGAACAAGCGACGTAGCTGCCGACTGGCGGCGGGAGGAGGGTGGAGAGCGCGGCCTGTGACTACTGCGCGCCTTGGCTACGTGAATGCGAAAGTGTTCAGGAGAAGCAAACGGCAGCCAACTCGGCTTGTGTGAATTTATTTGTCCCTGATTGTGCCCATAAGGCAGCACAGTTACCGTAGGGCAGTGAACTGGGCGCTGACAGAGGCTCGCTTGCACGGCCACTCAGCGGACAGCGGGCACGAAGAGCAGCAGCAGCGCATGTGCAGTAACCCGTTATCAGCGCGTGCCTTGGGTAGCTCCGGCTATGGGCAGCTATGACGGAAGACCTGCGGGGCCGCATGAATCCCTCGTGATAGCCATCTTGACCTTCTGCGTCTTTCTATGGCAAAAGAGCCTCGCTCGGCGCTTCTTTATATAATCAGGACGGTCATGGATAGCGGCTATCACCCGCAATCCACCAGGCGCAATCTCATCCCGACGATAGCCAGCTATCGACTCAAGTAGCTCCCGCCTCCCTGCAGGGTTTGAATCAACAGTTTTAGACGTTATATCGCCTGTCCTGCCCCATACGTTCTTCTTCGTCGCGCCTGCTCCATCTGTCGTGACGCCCTGACGTACTCACCATGGATAACAGAGGGAAGCAGCCATCGGCCTGGAGCGCCTACGACTCCAACCGCCCATCCATTGACTCGGACACGGAGAGCCATGTGCAGTGGGACGAGCTCTCGAGGCGGCCAAGTGGAGAGAGCAATGCCGGAAGGTGGACTGGCACCGCGGGAGAGCTGCGCAGGCGGAGGTGAGCATATCGCGCCACTCGCGTGACACAGCAGCTAATAGAAAGCAGGTCTTCGGTAGGACAGCAGATTAGCGCGCTGGGCGATGCTGGAGGCGTTAACAGTATCAACAACTTTGCGCGATCGTGGCAGCGTGCAGCAGGCTTCTTCGAGATCACTCCCGTGCGCCCTTCCTTCCGCGTCGAGACAGACGAAGACGGCGACGACACAGAGGAGTCCGACTTCTCTCGCAGCGGACTGCCCACGCCAGTACCCGACCAACGATCCGCCCTGCGACAGGCGTTCCAGAACGAGGGAAGACGCGCATCCGACAATGCCATCACAGACGAGGAGAATGGCACGACCGAGCGGAGCCAGCTACTGCCCAACGGAGTCGAACAGCGCCTGAGGGGGAGAGGGTCGAGCATATTCCAGATCGAACCTTCGCTATCTTCACCCTTCGGCGCGAGCTATGGCACGGGATACGGCAGTCTGAGCTCACGCGTGAACGAGTCGTCCATGCGCCATGCCGGCCGACTCTTCACAGAGCAACAGATGAAGGGCGTTGGGGAGCCAGAACAAGAACGAGAGCCACTTCTGGTCAAGCAGGTTGAGGAGGACGGACACATCATAAACGTGGTCGTTGGCCAATCCACACTTCCCCAGACAATCTTCAACTCAGTCAACGTCTTGGTCGGTGTTGGACTGCTCACATTGCCACTTGCGCTCAAGTACTCTGGATGGTTGATAGGCATGGTTTTCCTGGCGTGGTCCGCCATAGTGACCGGCTACACTGCAAAGCTACTTGCCAAATGCCTGGATGTTGATGGCTCCCTCATCACATTTGCTGACCTTGCCTACGTCTCTTTCGGAACCAAAGCGCGAGTAGCCACCAGTATCCTATTCTCTCTTGAGTTGCTAGCAGCATGCGTAGCACTGGTCGTGCTTTTCGCTGACAGCATGGACGCTCTCATCCCCGGTTGGGACGTTTTCCAGTGGAAAATTGTCTGTGGGCTGATCTTGATACCATTGAGCTTTTTACCTCTCAGATTTTTGTCATTTACATCTATCTTGGGTGTAATGTCTTGCTTCGGAAGTGAGTTGATAACTACAAAGCATCATGTGCGTCAGCTAACATGGAATAGTCACCCTCGCTATATGGGTCGATGGCCTTGCTAAACCCGACGCTCCCGGCTCCATTCGTCAGCCCATGACTCAGTACCTGTTCCCCGACAACTGGATGACCGTGCCACTCTCGATTGGCCTACTCATGTCTCCTTGGGGTGGCCACTCTGTTTTCCCAAACATCTACCGCGACATGCGACACCCGTACAAGTACAGGAAAGCGGTCAACGTCACCTACATCTTCACCTACATGATCGATGTCGGCATGGCCTGCGCTGGTATCCTCATGTTCGGAGACGGTGTCAAAGAGGAAGTGACGAGCAACATCTTCCTTACCAAAGGCTTCCCTCAAGGCATCTCCGTTTTCATCGCCATCTGCATCGCCATCATCCCGTTGACCAAGATCCCGCTCAACGCACGCCCTATCGTCAGCACGTTGGAAGTCCTTTTCGGTCTGGACACACGCTCTCTTGCCATGTCCTCGTCCATCGACGGCATGAGCGGTCTTACCCGCGGAGCACTGAAGATTACCCTTCGTATCGTCACCATCGTCATATTCGTTATCATCGCAATCGTCTTTCCTTCATTCGACCGCATCATGACACTCCTTGGCAGTGTCGCCTGTTTCAGCATTTGCATCATTCTACCCTTGGCGTTCCACTTGAAATTGTTTGGAAAAGAGATATCCAGTGGAGAGAAGACGATGAACTGGGTGTTGATTGTTGTCAGCACTATCATGGCTATTATCAGCACTGTGTTTGCATGCCTACCCAAAGAGATGATTGGGGCTTAGGAACGAAAGTATGGAGATTATGAAGATGTTGGAATGACAATAGCAGTCTGGTAATGTGTTTGTTTATTAAAAGTTTGATATCCGGCTTGTAATAGGCATGGCGTTCCTGTGCATTTGGATGGTTGTTCTGAACATGAAATATTATTTTGCATAGCATCAACTGAACCTGGTGTCACCAATATCGCAGTATGTTTCTTGAGTGGTGACCCGAATTGAGGCTAGACTGTACTTCACTCTGCTCTTTCACCTTTTACTTGTGGTCTTTGCCGCCTAGACTGCCTTGATTATATCACCTACCTCTAACTCTCAATACCCTGTTCAGTAGCAGAGGGCATTCGTCCATCGCAAGTCCCGCTCCATGAGGTTCCCACTGTTGTCTGCGACTTCCACTCTGGCCATTGTTGTCACGTTCGCCCGCTGCGATACTACCTTCACCTCCAAAACCAACGCTACCTTTACCAATGAGAACCACTTCGATGGTCGAGCCAATGAAGACCCGTGGACACTGTCTGTCGCCCGCGGGACCAAACTCCTCCAAGGCATGAAGGCCAGCGACGCCGAAGCTGCCACTCTCTACAATCTAGGCACCACTGCCGAAAGCCCATTCGACGGCGATCTAATCGAAAAACTCCGTGAATGGGGCTACAACGATGCGACCGATGCTCTCGCCAAACAAGCAGACCCCGAATGCAATTTCGATAGCCAGAATGGACATATGCTGAAGAAAGCCTTTGGCGATCTAAGCATTGGGACACAGAGCAAGGGTCAAGGCGGCCCAAACCAATGTTTCCTCATCGAGCATTTTGACAGTTCGGCTGTGCAGAAGGGTGACGATGGCAAGATGCCCGCCAAAGCCGACCAACGGTACGAGGTCTGCGACAAAGAATACCGCGTCACGAATGCGGAGCACACCCTTGGCGTCAACGCAGAAGAAGGCGCTGTATACGCCATCCAACTCTCTTCCGCTGCAAAAGCTGCACGCCGCCTATGGAAACGCGCTCCCCTTGCCGAGGAGCTCCCTGCTATACGCAGCGTCTCCGATATCGCATGGGCGTTCTGGAATCGCGTTCATATTGATGCGGAGAGTTTGCAGAATATAAAGTACCTGTTCGTTACAATGATCATCAACAAAGAAACAAACCAGCACGTCAAGCGTGCGCTGGGCACTCTGTCACCGCCGAAAGAGGACGTGGAAGGTTGGCCGGGACATGACTTTAGCCTGGAGACGGACGCGGGGAAAGCGCTGCTGGGAAGTCCTGTTGGGCGGTGGGCTGGTTACTTCCTTATGCAGCATAAGAGACAGTTGGGTGGGAACAAGTTCATCTCAAAAGTGAGAGTGTTCAAGTCGGAGAAAGACGGTAGTTGGCCGTACTTCCTATTCTATGTTGATGGCGCCATGGCGTATGCTACGAGCGAGGGGAAGAGGATTAGGAATATAGCCGGGGTATCCAGCGAGCCGCGAATAGTACAGAGAAGTGCGGATGGAAGGCGTCTCGTTCGCGAGCATGTTGTGAGAACGAGGCTGCCAAAGTCATTAGGTTGAGCGTCGAGCGTTGCTTTCGGCCATAATCATCGAACCTGGTGCGATGCGCACCGACTTAAACAAACGTATAAACAAACGCAGAGGATTCGATGTCGCCTCCAAAAGAATCTCAGTGTAGATAGTGCAAAGGTCCATCTTCCCCAAGGCTGACTAACCCCCATCGGCCCCATCCGCGGCTGAACCTCCGATGCGCAAAGCTTCAAGTACGTCAATCCAGAACAAAATCTACGGCCCGCCCACATTTCGCGAGCACGCGCAACCAGCCACGACCATCTCCGTCCTCCACCTAGATACCCTCACGATACACACCGGCGCAGTCTCGCGATCACATATACACGCGAGAAGAAAAGATGGATTCTCTAGGTGGTGGCGGTTTCGGCAATGCCGACTTGAGCAAGCTGTCCGACCGCGACAAGCAGGAACTCCAGCAGTTCGCCATGAATGAGGGACAGAAGGCTAGGATTCAATCTTGTATGTCTTATTATCCGCCTGAAAGCTCTCTTGAGGTGCATTGGCTCTGTGCACCATCTGTCCACTTGTTCTTTGTCTCGATACAACCGCCCACAATGCCGTGCACCCAAGCACCTCCCACTTTTCACTCCTACAAGTAGCAATAGGCTAACTCGACTCCTTCAAAACAGCGATACACTCCCTCACCGACACATGTTTCCGTAAATGCATCCCCGCGGGTACCGTCAAGGCCGGCAAACTGGACAAATACGAGGAGCCGTGCATGAGGCAGTGTGTGGATCGGTTTTTGGACGCGAATATGGTTGTGCTGAGGGAGTTGGAGAGGCTGAGGGGATAGAGGGCTATAGTAAGAGAGGGGGAACGGGTGGAGTTGGATTGAGACGGGTGATGAGAGAGGATGTGTATGATAACAAGACTTGATGATCTGTACAACACTGTATGGCGGGAAGTGTCGGGTGCATAGCATTGGGAATGAAGACATGAGATGTCTGGAATACCCATAGCCAGGGATCACAATATTTTTTGAACGGCATGGCTGTCAACAATGGCCGGCAAGCCATCTTTGTGTCCAAAAGTTCGATCTGCAACCCAAATACACGCACCAAAAGTCACGACGAATATGTCACGAATTGAAGATAGTAGACTGATTGAGGACCAAGTCCAACTTGGCGTCATGTGGAAATCTGATTCATTCGAGTCACCGTGACTTCGTTTATCCCATGAACGCCCGCCATGCATATCACATCGCTTTTTCAATTGCCGGGTATAACCAGACCCTATCATGCCCATGCCTTCCCTTGTGCAGAGACCACCCGTTTAAACGATGGCGAGCTTGGTGGCCGCAATGTCGAGAGCGTCGACATCGGCGGTGAGGCGGCAGAAAGCCTTCTTTGAGCCGTCGGGGCGGATCAGGGTGTTGATCTTGACGCAGCTGACGTCGTACTGCTTCTTGAGGGCGGCGGCAATTTGGCGCTTGTTGGCCTTGACGTTGCAGATGAAGACGAGGGTGTTGTTCTCCTCAATCTTCTTCATGGCCGACTCGGTGTTGAGAGGGTGGATGAGAACCTTCTCGGCGTCCATGCGGGGGGCATGGGGGACCGACTTGCGAGGGTACTTGCCGGCGCGGGACAGCTCGAGGGTCTTGGGGCTGCGACACGTTAGCAGGCAACATTTCGCAGTCTTGGGGTCGGGCATACCGGTGGAAGCTGGTGTTCTTCCTGATCGCGCGCTTCTTGTTCGCATACGACTGTCATCTCGTTAATTGTGCCCATCACACGAGAAGTACAGCCCGTCAGAGGTATGTTTCTGACACGACTCAAGAGGATCAAGGGAGGCTTACGCCGCGGAGGGCCGCTTTGGCAGCAGCATTGGCCTGCTTGCCAGTCTTGGTAGGGGCTGTGAAGGATGTTAGCGATGAGCGCAACGGGAGGGTCACTGATCGAGGCGCATTCGCAAAGTTCCCTTTTCCACGGGCTGCTGCCGTGGTCCGGTGCCACTTTGCGACATGTATGCTCCTCCTCGATTTCGCGGTTGCGGTGTTTGCGTTGACGTACTCTTGGATACGGCCTTGGGTCCCATTTTGGCGGTTGTGTTGGTCCTGGAGTTAGTGTCGAGAGTCGCAATCGAAAAGTTGTGGTTTTTGCTCCGGCTACAAGACGAGTGTGGGAAGAAAGCACGCTAACACACTAGCGCTAAATCCTTGCATGTGAGCTCTCGGCGCCGCTCGACCATCACCTTACCTCAGCCATGTGACTGCAACACCAGAACAGCCATGGCCGTCAAAAAGCGCCAAAAGACTCTGTCGCATGGTCGGCCGCCCGTCAGTAAACCGAAAGAGCGGATGACCTCGGAGCGCTCCAGGACTATCATTCGCACCCATCACCGACTACAGAAGGAGCATGCAGCAGCTTTGAAGAAGGGGGATGCGAGCTCAGCACAAGAGATTGCGCGAGCTATCGAGAAGAATGGCGGCATCAAGATGTACCAGGCTGCAAGCAAGCAAGGCCAGGCGAAAGACCGGGGTGGTGATTCTAGCAAGTTGTTAGTCGACTGGCTCCAGCAATCCAGGGTCTTGGACCCCAAAGCACGGGATCGTCGAAGGGCTGGCGACGCCGAACTTAGATGTCTCGAAGTCGGAGCTTTGTCGACCAAGAACGAGATCTCCAAGTACGCAAGTGTTATCGACATGACGAGGATCGATCTGAACAGCCAGGGCCCGGGCATCGAAAAGCAAGATTTCATGGAGCGACCACTTCCTACATGCGACAACGAGCGCTTCGATATTGTCTCCCTATCTCTAGTACTCAACTATGTTCCGGATGCCGTTGGTCGAGGCGAGATGCTGAAGCGCATCACTAGTTTCTTGAGAAAGGGGACTGAGACAGCCGATTCTGTGTTGCCAGCTCTTTTCTTTGTCCTCCCTCTTCCGTGCATCGACAACTCGCGCTATCTCGACGAAGAGCTGTTTCTGGGGATCATGGGCGATCTCGGTTTTACGATGAGATTCAGCAAAAACACCTCAAAGCTGTGCTACTACTTGTTTACTTTGACAAATGAGCCTAAGGCTGCGACGGCCGAGAAAAGGAAGATCAGAGATGGATCAGGAATGAACAACTTCTGCATCGTTGTGGAATGAACGTCCAGATGACGGCAGCTTGTCATTAGTTGCCAAATTACGCCGTTCACGCAGACTTTACTCGGCGACGAAGCAAGGCGAGAATGCGCTCGAGCGCAATTGGTTTGCCATACAAGTCACAGACGATCAAGAGGATACTACTCCCGCATTCTTTGGGAATAGCATGATGTCACGAGATCGTAGCGGTTCTAGTCGGCATAGCCCTTTTCCAAGCGGAGACTTCGACTTGTGTGCTGTCACCGCGACTACAACAATTCTGGCTACACCCGAATGCAAGCGACTTCTCAGCAAACAATCTCTCTAGAAGGAGCCGATATTTAGATTGATGGTGGGAGTACCACCGACGCCATTGCGGGGCCGTTATTGCATGCTCTAGCCTGTTGTACTTGTATGAGGGAAAGCTCGGATCTGCATCATACACATCCCGACATCCATTTATGGATTCATACTTCCAACATGGTCAACAGTCTACAGCTCGCGTTTCATCTGGGCTCAACGTGAGAAAGCGGGATCATACAACAGCTTCATCGCTGATGTGACGGGTTCTACCGAGTCAGCAATATCCACCGGATCACCACCGGAGTAGGCTCGGTATTTCGTGTAATATATATTGATTCTAGACTCACTAGCAGTTACCATGCGACTGTACTACGCGACCGAAAAAGTCCCGAAGTGCCACAAAACGGTTTCCTTTAAACGCTTTCGTTCCCGAATTAGTAGCGCATAGCCAAACAACACACTCGCGGCATTATTTCTAAACAGCGCATGATGCTGCGACTGCGCGACTAGCAGCAATAGAACGTCGTTTGCAGTGCTCTACTTTTCAAAATCCGGTTCTCGGCAGCGAATCTCAAATCTGCTTGCGTTCCCGTCTTCTCATCTCAGCCACGTTTGATCGTCTTTTAGCGCATCCTTCTTCTTAGCGCCTCACGACTCACCAACCCCCCCAACTCATCGTACCAAGCATTGACACAAGCATTTTCTGAAACGAAGTCTGACTTGTTCAACCCCAAACGCCCGTCAATCATCGGATGCATATCACTGGGGCTGGACTGGGAAAAGGCGAGAAGCGCGCGGGCACCTGGCCGGCACTTTCCCGCTGTGTTCGGTGGGTCGAGAGAACGGAATTGGTGATCAAGAGATGAGCTTATTCGCATTCCTCCCGAGCGCAAATTTCCACATGTTAGTCTACTGCGTGGCGCTGCGTTAGGTTAGTCAAGTAAAATGAGATGTAAGCGTTGTTCGAGGCCTTTATGTAGGGCGGGGACGCCCTTTCGTACAGCTTCAAGCTTCTGGTAACTCTCTCAACACGAAGTCGAACTTCCATCTTTTTTTGCAAGCCGCTGAGCTGCTGCCATTCATTACTAGGACTCGTTGATACGATCCTACACAGTCTTTTCCAACAAGTCGTCGTTCGAACCTCATCTTCCGTCACTTCATCAAACAGTCATCAGACACCATGAAGTCCACCTTCTTCTCTCTTCTGCCCATCGCGGGTCTCGCTGTTGCTGAGTCCGTCTGCTCCCAGCAGACTGTCACCACCACCGCAACTGAAACAGTGTACGAGACTGCAAAGCCTGTGGATGTTGCCGACGTCACCACCAGCAAGTCTGGCGCTTGCTCCTCCAGGAGCACTGTCTACACCACCACCTACGAGAAAGTCTACGTCACTGTCACTCCCGATGCTGGCTCTGCTACTCCCGACGCCGTCGAGGATGTCACATCTACCAGCACTAAGGAAATCTACACCACCGTCACCGTTCACCCAACCGGTGCTCCCTATGGCAACGCCTCTACCTCTGCTCTCTTCAAGCCTGCAGGATCTTCCGGCTCGCCCTCCTACCCTACCATGAGCGTTCTCCCGACTACCAAGCTGGAGTATAGCTCGCTTGCCTACACTCCGATCCCCCAGAGTGAAGCATCAAAGTCCTACGCTGCCGCTCAGTCATCAAGCGCTGCCGCAGTGCCTGCCTCCGAGTCCAAGGCTCCAGCGCCCGCCGCATCCCAAGCCGCAGCTCCCGCTGACAAGGCTGCTGTCTCATCCGCCGGTTCCAAGCGTGGTGAAGCCACTTTCTATGGTGGAAACACTGAAGGCGGCATGTGCTCTTTCGTCGGGTACACCATCCCCGCCGGCCTCTACGGCACCGCACTCTCCGACTCCAACTGGGACAATGGTAACGCCTGCGGTGTCTGCGTCAGCGTGACCGGCCCCAACGGTAACAAAATCACCGCCATGGTCACCGACCAATGCCCTGGGTAAGTAACCCCCCCCCCAAAAGAATTCACACAAGAAACAACTACTAACTCTACCACAGCTGCGGCCCCAACCACCTCGACCTCTACCCTGACGGCTTCGCCGCGCTTGCCGAGCCCTCCAAGGGTATAATTGACGTTGACTGGACCCCCGTCCCCTGCGGCATCACCAGCCCCATTGTCCTCAAGAACAAGTCCGGCACCAGCAAATTCTGGTTCAGCATGCAAGTCATGAACTCCAACGTTGCCGTTTCCAAGCTCGAAGTCTCCACCGACTCTGGCAAGACCTGGCAGGCAACTACCCGCAAGCCGTACAACTTCTTCGAGAACCCGGCTGGCTTTGGCGCGGACAGTGTCGATGTCAAGATTACGAGTGAGGGTGGTAAGGAGATTGTTGTTAAGGGTGTCAGCATTGCGGCGAACAGCAAGAAGACTGCTGGTGGCAACTTTGCTTAGATTTGAGGTGCGGAAGCGGGGGTTTGGGTTCTAGTTGATGGGCTTGTTGTCTTTGATGACGGATGATTATTTTTTTGAGCGATACCCTTCTTGATGCCTTGTTGATTCGCTTCTAAATATCTTCGTGGTATAAACCCTTTTTCGCAGCGTGGACTGCATTTACCATTTAAATGAATAAAATGGTATCATCCATGAACTCCTGAAGTATTTGTTTGCTACATTATGCTTGAATCTTTTCCAGGTTCTTGTTTGTCTAAGCTAGGGAACGACATTATACATACGTTTCTGTTCAGTTGAAGACCGACACACATTATGACGACTTCGTGGCGATGCGACGCCAACGGGATCGCTGTTTGTGAATATCAAGAGATACGCCAGAGGTAGCATAAGCCATGGTAGTCCTTCACGCATACCTCGATTGTCCTTAGTCGGTCACGTATTGATGGTATTAATAGACTCTACAACACTCTCACATCAGCACTATGCACGTCCGTGATGGGATCGTCATGAAGAAGATTCTAGGTTCCGTATTGAGAGTAAAAAAGATCTATCATAGGAAAAGACCAACAGGACTCCACCCATGCTTGACATTCATTCGTACGTAACATCCCTTTCGCAATCCCTTCATTCCAAAGTAATTTCCACATGCTTTCGTTACCATTACCAATCATCAGGTCGTAAGAAGGGTATCGAAATTCGCTAGACATATCCCGTTCAGAGGTTCATGTTCGCTCGCTTGCCCAAAGTACTCCAATGTTTCAAGGCGTGCGAGGGTTCTTTGAGAGTTTGCTAAGGGCGCCAAGAAGACCTGGAGAATGTATTAGAGGAGTTTTGTTTGTAAGTGGGAATGTGAACTTACCAGTCGCGCCGTTGGGCAATGTTGACATTGCGATTGAGTTGCGATCACCCACGGTGACAGTCTGCACATTGGGAACCTTCCATTCCTCCTTCAGCTGCTCTGCCCATCGGAAGACACCCTCGTCACTTCGGTCGTTTCCAGCCGCGAACACAAAGTCAGGTCGACCCGTCTCAGGGTACTTGCGGAAGATGTATTGCGAAGCAGAGGCTTTGTCAAAGTCGATTGGCTCGATGACAACTGAGTCCTTGGTGGGGACCGCCTTTATGCGCTGCTGCTCGCATGCATCGTTAATGTGGTTGGCGCAGTCACCAGCATGCCGGCTTGCAGAATCGTCCTTGTCGTTGGGCGCTCTGTAGTGGAAGATCATGGAGCAGTGGCGCTCTTCAACCCAGCTGCCCTCGACACGCTCGAGATAGTACTGCAAGATGGGCTTGACGGAGTCTTTCCACTTCACAGTCTTCTCTTCGTCGGGAAATTGTATCCATTCTTTTGCGCTGGGTTCGCGCAAGAAGCAACCATTCTCCGCGATGAGACCGAGACCTCGCACGCGGTTAAAGATGAGCTCAGTCTCTCGAACAGTACGTCCAGTCATGACGTAAACGTCATTCTTATCATCAGCAACAAGGTCGTTCAGCACAACGATGACACGCTCGGTGTTCGCCAGGACGGTGTTGTTAACAGATCCGTAGGATGCGAGGGTGCCTTCGTAGTCGAGTACAAAGAGTCGTCGCTGAGATGCCTGGTAGGTACGCGCAAGATTGCTGGACGAAAGACGGGGAATGGACATGGTGTCGCGCTTGAACTGCTCCTCATGGACCTTTGCTAGGTGGCAGCTCAGGTTGTTAACCCAGAAGTCACCAGTCTGGTGCATAACCGTGTCGCGCAACTTGGTATATCTGCGTTCCTTTTCGGAATCAGTCATCTCCAAAGCGACCTTGAACGCTTGTGCGATGCTGTTGTAATCCCACGGGTTTACAGCCAAGTCGGCACCTTGGAAGACTGAAGCACTTCCGGTGAACTCACTGAGGATGACAGGGCCGTGCTTCTTTGGACTCGCGCGACCATCTTGGCAAATGACGAATTCGTGGCAAGTAAGGTTCATGCCTTCACGAAGACTGGTAATCGCGAGGGCATCGGCAATGGAAAGAAGCGCGAGATATTGCGAGAATGCGATATCCTGTCTCAGGAACACAAGAGGGTTGTGCGTCAAGGTTGAATGAACCGCGTCGATACGAGTGACGATCTCGGAGACGGTTGCAGCGAGTTCGGTGTCTTCGGTGGTAGATGTGGCGACTTGGATCATAACAACCTTGTCTTTCCACTCGGGGTTCTTGTTGAGGAACAACTCGAACGCTAAAAGTTTCTGCCTGACACCACGGATGTTGTCGAGCTTGTCACGAGCAACGATGACCTTCTTGCCCTCGTACCGCTTCTGCATGGTCTGAATCCACTCTAGCACCTCGGGTTCCTCGCGGGCCAAGGCAAGAGCGCGAGGATCAATGCCGATAGGCGATGAGTGTACATTGACGAAGCGGTTCTCAAGTTGGACTCCGTCCTCAGTGGCCTCGACAGAGAGGATTCTACTGCACGTCTGCAGGAAGTGATGGGCATACTCTGGTGTCTGGAAAGCGACTAGGTTCGCTCCGAGCATGCCGTTGAGCAGCTCCTTTCGCGCAGCCAAGCAGCGGAAGACCTCGGAGGAGGGGAACGCGGTGTGAAGGAAGAAGCCGATCTGTGCATCTGGGAGCTTCTGGCGGATCATCTGAGGGACCAGACACAGGTGGTAGTCGTGGATCCAGATGACGTCCCCGCGCTTGTAGTTCTTGACGACCTTGTCGGCAAAGGCCTGGTTGACCTTGACGTAGAATACCCATGAGTGGTCAAGGAAAGCCTTGCTCTTGGGGTGGTCGGGGATGATGTAGTGGAAGACTGGCCACAGGATGGTCTTGCAGTAGTGAGCATAGTGGCCGTCGAAGTCCTTGTCACTGACGAATACGGTGAGCGCGTCCTGCTCCTCCTCGAGCTTCTCGTAGATCTCCGTCTTCTTCTCCTCGTTCAAGCTGTCTGTGGGGAATCCGATCAGGCCGACAGTGATGGTGTCACTAATACATTTGTTGTCCACGGCACAGCGCAGAGCGTTGGTCAGGCCGCCGTTACCCTGGACAGCTGGCACGACGGAGTACTCGGTGGCCCATCGCGGGTCCGTTGTAGGCTTGCCGGCGTGAGAGCCTTTCATGCGCTCCTTCTGGGCTTGCGCCCGCTCCTGCGCCTTTGCGTATTCGAGGATGGTGTCGGGAGGTGCTGGCTCGGCCCTGGACATGGGCTGGTTGAAGAAGAGACCGGTAGTACCCCATTCGGGAACATGGGCATCGCTACGTACCAGGCCCCGGGGGTCTGCTGGCTTGGGGAAGTGCGTGGCAGCGCTGGGCTGGCCGGGGGTGAAGAAGTCTTCATGCTCCGTCATGCGCATGGGCGTCTTGGGCAGCTGGATGTGTGTCGGCGGCGCCCGCTTAAGGAGGCTCGGGATCTGCTCCTCAGCTGCATTTTTGCTGACGGGTCGCGTTTTGGCTATACTAGTAGCGGAGGACTCGCGGGCGGTCTCGCTCAGCTTCGGAGGGGCGGCGTCTGGTGGGCTTGGGGGGTTGGACTTGGACTCGTGGAAGTCGACGGTATACGGGAGGAAACTAGCGGTGTTAAACGGGCGAAAGCGGAGGTGCAGATTGGAATCATAGTGCGCTATCTACAAGGTGATTCAGGCTGGCAAGTGAAATGCGGTTACCTACAGGGAGACGACGTGGGTGGTCATGTTGGGCAGCAGTCTGGCGTGGGCGCCCGCCGGTCAAAGATTGAGGTTGTAGAAATGGTGGAGAAATGGCGATCAGATATAGGCGGGAGAAGCGGGGTCCTGCGCAATGGCTTGGGGGAGACGAGGTGAAGTTATAGAGGCGGTGGGCGCGCGCAGTGAAATTTCCGGCAGCTTCGATCGATCGTGATGAAGCAGGTCCAAGGGAAGCCACGCCTTAGGTTACGCGTGTCGGGTCGGGGCCAAAGCAAGAAAGTGCTGCCGGCTTGCTGGGTTGGGGGTTGGGCAAATAATTCAGGATATCTGGCTGTTGTTCCTGGATGAGGCGTGCGGCTTACGGCAAGGGGCGTCCTTGATAATTTGGTGTCCATGGCCGCAAATTGCAAGATTTCAGCCCCGCGGTATGACGTACGGCCACACCGGCACGCACAGCGCGCGTTTGGTGGGCCTCTCCACCGTCGCACGGCAATCTGTGCGGTGAAAGGGCCACTTGGGCGAAGGCCTTGACTCGACGACGGTCATCTTTACGCAAGTTGCACGGAAGAAAGTCGTCAGACGAATGCCGGCGCCTGCTCTGCTAGAGCCTGCCCAGGTGACAGCTGCGGGAGCTTCCCCATTTAGTCGCGCATCACTCTGCCCCGCCCACCAATTAAAGACACCACGGCTCGTGCAACCGTTGGGGCCATGAACCACAGCCTGCTTCTATCCTGCACGCTGAATATTCCGAAGTCAGTCGCCTCGGCAGCAGTCGGCACCGCCCGGGCAGCTTCCAGCCTACATGTGAAGACTCCCATCTCGATCAGGGCTGGTGGGAAAGTGTTGAGTGACTTGCAAGGCTAGTGCGCCGTCATGGCATTTCAAAGAATCCGATAGTGCGCACAGAATTCGATGTTGACCTGCAGCATGACCCTCCCGCGGCTCACTCCCCCCACATGCTGCTATATTTTATATGCATGCCACCTGCAGAGACTTGTCGAACCAGCCGCGTTGAACGCGCGCGTGGAATAGACGAGAAGATTGGAGAAGCTACTTGTATGTTGCAGGCCTGAAACTCTATCCGCGTAGAGCGTCTCACGCATACATCGAGATAGCATGCTACCTGAACCGACAGAGACTTCGCTTTACCCTGTCGCATGCTTTCTCGGCCGCGGTATATGCGCCAACATGATATTTTCTTGACAAAACGAACTTGTCGATTATACGGACACATCGAAGAACGCATCGCTAGCTCTTGGTTCATCGAGACGAACGCATGTGTACTATGTGAGAAACGTGATCAAGCAAGAATCTTGACTTCAGCATGTAGGCTACATTGGGCTAACCGTGATATACTTACTACATACAACCAGATCAAACCGCAATGTACATACATCTCAACAGTATAATCATATATCAGATCAAGCCTTCTTCTTCGCTTTCCTACTCTCAATTTCCTTCTTACTGCCCCCTCCCCAGGCACACCAAGCCCTACCAAATACGCCGCTCTCACAAGCACAGGTAGCACATTCAGCGAATTCGTAACAACATCCTTCTGACTCCAACTCCCCAAATCCAGAACCCCCCTCGTCCCCATCTCACACCAAGCCGCATAGCAATGCCCCAAATCACACAGTATCAGCCCCAGCACAATCCACCACCACGTCTTCCGGTCCTTCACAACGCGCATGAGGACGCCCTCTGTGAAGGCGAAGAAGAGGTATGCGGATGCGAGTTGGTCGTATGCGATCTGTGAGTCGGGGTGGTAGGCGGATGTGGACGGCATGAAGGTAAAGTATTCGGCGGGCGCCCAGTGGAGATGGTATGTGCCGCCGAGGGCAAAGATGGGCTCGAGGTAGAGGTGCCAGAGGAGGTAAATGAAAGGTGTGTTTGGGGGCGCCATGGCGGGCTGTGCGGCGAGGCGAGGCGAGGTTATGCAACGGATGGTCGCTCGTTCCGGCGCGCTGGGTACAGTGAGGGTCGTGGATCTGCGCAATGCGACGCGATATGAGGAAGCGCTTCTTCCGTCCTTCAAAGGATATGAAAGAACTTATGCGACACCGACGCGCACTCTGGTGAACAATATCGATGACGTAGCTCAACTAGCTGTAAAGTGAGGATCAGGTCACAGGGACAAGGGCATGCCAAGTTGGGGACGGCCTGACCCTGCTACCACGGCAAGTAGCGGGCGGATGAGCAAAACGAGTCCGGAACATGCCAACACCGCAATCTACACTTGTTTGCTAAACTGCCTTGTTGGGAAGTGTGTGCATGAAACGGACTTCGGGTGAAGACATGCTGATGGTTGTTTCCGCTTGTTTCACTTCTGGCGTGGGTACGGGTAACTCTTGGAGAACGAGGGAATAGAGGGCACTGCGTAGACATGTCACATGCACGAGTTACAGACGGCACTGACAAGTCTACATAGCAGCTTGAACAGGTGTACCAAGAAGACGTCTAAGCGGAGAAGCGCGGTATAGACGGTGGACAGTGTTGTAAGGTGATTATAAAAATTAATTGACTCGCCCTGGGGCTCTCTGGTCCCAACAATGATGCGCATGGATCATCGAAATAGATTATAATAATACATAACCGCCCAAAAACACGAAACTCTCCAAGAATGTAAAACTCCCTTCCTCCAGCTGATTTCGCCCTGTGCATGTAGTACCCCAGCATGCGCCGAAGAGAGAATGCTACCTGTCTGACTCCTGTTGCCGGACACGTCTTTTGATTGACCGGTACGTGCTGGCCCTTCTCATCTTACTACTTTGCGTTTTGTCGTATTTGCGGTTGATCAGGGACGTTGCTGGGCTATGGAATCGCCCGCGACTCGTCGATCAGTTTGTGGTGATGCGTACCGCAGATCTGGTTGCCCGACATATTTGAGGGACAAGGCATACCGACGGGTTGAAAGCACGGGTAGGGTGCAGGACGGCAACGGACCCTGCAGATGACAAAGGGTACCGTGGAACCTGGGGACCAGACCACTACTACCCCGGGTCCACGACGTCTTGTATTCCCAAATGCGTCCATCATTCCATCCTGCCCTCTTGCACGTACACGTTGTGAGGTCCAGCACCGCAGTGCAACGCGCCGCTCGCCAGCTGCGTGAACTTCGCGTCAACGACATCGACAAGACAATGTTCGACAAAGTACCGCGCTGCGAGTTCATTCGCTGCCAGCATGCTCGGGCAAGTTCCTACGACCTTTGTATCCTCGCCCAGATCGCGGTTCTTGCTGCTGACTACGACATGATACGCTGACCGGCCGTCATGTGCCCGCGGAATCAGCTTCTGCGAATACAGGGCATCGCGCAGGGCGAGCGGGTATGTGCTAATGTCGCCGGGGACGATGGCGGGTTCGGGGCGGCGATGGACGAGCTGCGGTACGGCGGCCTGGAGGGGAGGGGGCTGCGACGCCTGGGAATAGGGATGGGGCTGTGGGTATGCCTGCGGAGTTGGGGGCGCTGGACCGCTGACTACAGACGAGGTAGGAGCCAGCCGCGGTTGCTGCTGCTGATGCCGAAGCAGAAAATCGCGATGCTCGTCTAGTTGTTTCCGCAGTGCGTCGCTCGTAGTCTGGAAGATGCGCTCCTGGACGCCTGGCCCGAGGTTGCGCGAATAGTGTCGCAGGTCGGCACTGCAGTCGAGCTGCAAAAGGCTGTGTTGGCGATCGAAGCCATGCGAACGTGCTGGTGCTGTTGCTGTCATTTTCAGAGGGGCGGTTTGCGCGACTGGACACGGTTATAGTAGATGGTGATGAAAATCTGATATGATGTGCATGACGCGGATATTCGCAAATCTTGGAAAGGCCCGGAGCCATTCCCTCCCGTATTCGCGTCTCCACGTGATCTGGCGTGGAAGTATCACAACGCGAGATATGCGGGATTGCTTTTGTGCTATTGTATCGAAAATTATTTTTGTCATACGTGTTGGTGTGTAGCTGTGCTACAGTGCATCTGGGGCTTCTGCGCCAGTGCCATTCCTCGTACATGGGTTGTTACATGACGTCGTGAGATCGGTGGGCGTGAACATGAATAGAAACTGACGATGCTGCCGGGATACTCCTCCAACAAGATCGCGCCGAAACTCCACCAATGCCCACCGTGAAACGCCATGATAACAAAAAGGAACCAACCCATTATTGAATCTCGTTAGAGAAACATCATACAAACAAACCCCTGATCGTCATGTAAACATCGCCTAGGCGAAACCATCAACAGACCGTATGTGTATGTCGTTATTGTTACCAGGTGGCCAAAACTCCGAGTATAGGATGATAATCGCACTCCACGAAGTTGTAGCTGACGCATTTGACAAGCTTCAGAATCCGCCGCCGAATGCCTCGTTGGCCTCTTGCTGGAGGGCCTCGTAGTACTCGCAGAGGTCAGGGAAGGCCACTATGGTCTGCTTAATCGGGAAAGGAATGTCGCAGACAATCTTCTCCCAGTCCTTGGGACGGTTGCGCACGACGCGGATGAGTTCTTCCATGCAGTTCAAGGACATGATGCACATCTTGTGGGCCCATACCATGTCCACGGAACCATTGAGATGCTCTAGTTCTTGTGTAGCGGGGTTGATCAGGATAGACCATACGAAGTTCTCGTGAGTTAGAGACGGCTCTACGGGCGATGTAGCAGGCGTTCCTCCGTAGGCTGCACCCATTTGGAAGAATCGCTCCCAGACCTGGTCGAAGTGGTTGGCGAAAGGGCTTACCGGAATCCTGTTGCGAGAGTTACCGGAGTCGTATTGACCCTGACGGAAAGCCATCTCTTGTACAGCTAGATACTCGGGGATGTCGGTCATCGTGGGCGGAAATGCTGGTGCAGGGTTGACCATGGTGGATGGGTGACGGTTGGACTGGTTGAACGATGCGCGACCGGATGAACGCCAGTTATCGGACCTCTGGCTTGTGTGGGAGATGCCACGTCGTGAACCAGTGTCCTTGAGGTGGTTGATCTTAGTGGGCGCCATCTTCTGAGTGTAGTCACCGTACTGCTGAGTGCCCTGCGGAAAAGTGAACGATGGAGACGCAAGAGACGGCGGCATTTTTCCATTGACTGTCATAGGATGAGCTCGCTGAGAAGTTGTTAGCTTTGTGTATGTTAGTCACAGTCCCTTGAAATGCTAAGGTGAAGCGAAACCCACAAGCTGCTGCTTTGCGTGAGGCATCTGGTTGTTGACTGGTCCTCGAGAAGCATCCATAGGGCAGCTCATGGCATTGGTGTAGCTGAGCTGCGACGATGATCCTCCAGAAACAGAGTGTAAATCAGTGGACGCGCTTCCATTGGATCCGTCCTCTGCCACAGTAGGCAAAGACTGCTCGTCCCTCTCGAAGCGTGGCCGAAGTGGACTGCCATAGTCACCAGTCGTACTACCGCCTATGAATCTACCCTTGGTGGACGTATGTGCCTCGAGGACTGTCAACAACAAGATTCCACAGCAGATGCAAGAGCAGATGAAAGAGAAGACGACTTACCTGAGGTGATGAGAGAGACATGACTTCCACGATCTTAGCAACAATGATGCGTTAACAGCGCTATAGCGGGTGTGGGTATGGGTGCGACGCGACCGTGTGAGCGTGCTGCGGTGGCGGATGGAAGAGGGTGGACGCGGAGACGAAAGGCCTTGCCAAGCTGGCACCTTGAACGAACAGGATTCTAAGAGATTCCGTCGCGATAAGGTGAAAGTGAGAGCTCAAAGTGGGGCCTATGACCCTAGATTCTTGTCGTGCCTTCTGCTTTGATGGTCCGCGTGGTGAAGGTGAGCCCACGTCCGGAAGAGGAAAGAGCGAGAGCATGCCACTAGCATGTTGCGAGGCCGCATAAATATCGATCAAGAGTAGATATATTACGGCATCGGTCGAGGCATACCGAAACCATGATTCTCAATCTAGAGAGTCATGACGCGGTGAACGTGATGAGTTGCAAAGACAGGAGCGCGCGCACAAGCTTTCTATGTGATAACATGGAGAGAGTTCAGTGTATGCGATACTCAAACTGTGAAGACGAGCATGAGACAGTGAAATCCTGACTTATCAAAAGCCTAGCTGTCGATGAAACTTGCGAAGTGACTGAGATGGAACATGGAATGTAGATGAGACTATTGGAAGATTTTGACAGTACGACAGAGGGATATGTGTGACGTTGAAGTGAATGAATAGTATGTGCAATGAGGCTCAACCCCCCATGATTTGGAACATCGGCTATTCGTGAGTGAATCGGCATTTCTGGAAATCCTACCTCCTCAGAGCCGATAGGCTATATGGCATAGACCTCTAACGTCGACGTGGTATGAGTACAGGAAGCCACTACGATATTACCGACCTTTCAGTCAAGAGGAATATCAATACTAGCCATGCGCAGTTGATCACACGAGCACCAAGAAATTGCTTGTAGCCGAAATCTTCGTGTGCTGGGACCTTGCTGAGCTTTGCGATCTGTCGCATGATTACTTTTCCAAAGACTGTTGTTCTGAATAGAAGAACACTGGGCAAACGATCTTTATGTGTGAGATGTGTGTCACAAGTCTTGACGTTTTCGACGATGATGTAGTGGCGTCGAAGGGCCGAAGAAGCCGGAATCGTCCGACAAGCACGCGCGACCAATCACGGATTGGCAGTTGTCATAACCGAGGAAGCTTGAGTGGCGCCCTTGCGCTACGACTTCGATGATAGCAACACTTTGATCTTTAAGCCCCAGCCCGCACTCTCCACTCCACACCACACACAATGGCCTCCACACGCGCTTTCACCCGTCTGGCTACCCGGAGAATTGGTACGTATATCGTCCAGCCTCACCGCGACAGTTGAGCACTGCTAACGCTCCACGGCAGCCGTACGGCCGGCAGTTTTCTCCCGCGGCTTCGCCTCCGTAAACGACGTTCACGCCCGCGAGCCCATCTCCAAGACCGCCGAAAAGATTGTACCCAATGCTTCACGATCGCCCATCCCAGAGAGCAAGACATCGACAATTGAGGATCCAGAGGCCAGCAAAGATGCGAAGACCAAGACCTTCCACATCTACCGATGGAACCCAGATGAGCCGACCTCTAAGCCCAAGATGCAATCGTACACACTCGACCTGAACAAGACCGGACCCATGATGCTGGACGCGCTCATCAGGATCAAGAACGAGGTGGACCCCACTCTGACTTTCAGGCGGAGTTGTCGCGAGGGTATTTGCGGAAGTTGTGCCATGAACATTGACGGAGTCAACACCCTGGCATGTCTCTGTACGTAAAACCGTATCGCATGAAGGAAGTTGGAAGGCTAACGGGATATGACAGGCCGCATTCCCACCGACACAACCAAGGAATCTCGCATCTACCCGCTCCCCCACATGTACGTTGTCAAGGACCTCGTACCAGACATGACGCTCTTCTACAAGCAATACCGGTCGGTCAAGCCATACCTACAGCGCGACACCGCCGCACCAGACGTACGTACATACTCTGAAGTCGACCAAAGGATTCCCGCTAACAATTCCCTAGGGCCGTGAGTTCCGCCAGTCCAAGGAAGACCGCAAGAAGCTCGACGGACTCTACGAATGTATTCTCTGCGCCTGCTGCTCGACTTCGTGCCCGTCCTACTGGTGGAACCAGGAGGAGTACCTCGGCCCCGCTGTCCTTCTCCAGTCCTACCGATGGATCGCCGACTCGCGAGACGAGAAGAAGGCTGAGCGCCAGGACGCCCTCAACAACAGCATGAGCTTGTACCGATGCCACACTATTCTCAACTGCTCAAGGACGTGCCCCAAAGGACTTAACCCTGCGCTGGCCATTGCCGAGATCAAGAAGAGCATGGCCTTTACCTAGAGTGATTTTGGATCGGTGTGGTAGATGGAGAACCATTGCATCTTCTTCGCTGGATGAACCTGCGAATTTGCGCAGAAGTTGATATTCTTTGAGCCTGATTTGTTCTTTTTGAGATGTATATGCAAACAAATTCAAGCAATTATTTCAGTTTTCTGTTTGTGCGACTTTTACGAAGAGAGCTATTTCTTGGAGATTGTATTTCACGAAATTTAGACTTCTGCTGAGGTTTCCGTTGTGAACATGCTAACACATGTGCAGGTTGTTAGAGAACATGTATTCCAAATTACGTTTTGTACGGTACCATAAGGTAAACCCGATATACTTACCCTTTACATACTGGTCTGTCATACTTTTCCATCGTGCTTGACGTCCCTACCCCTGTCCAACACCTTCATGCCTTAGTTATTCAGAGTCACTTCCTTACCAGTCATATTCCCAGGGGTTCTTCTTGGGAGTAGGATCGATCTCATACATCATCCACCCACTGAGCGACTGTAGCGAATCCAGCTTCTTCTCCTCTGTCGCAGCCTCGGATTCGTTGCTGCTGGTGATCTCGATACCCAGTGATCCAGCGACCATCTTGGTCTTGTACTTCGTACCGTTGTCGTCCACCAACACTGGCACAGAAGCAAAGCCCGACGGGATATCCTCGGTATCAACCCGATGATACGAAACTCCGTCCAATTCCAAAAGCTGCTTATCGGCCTCATCGACATCCCAACTCTGCATCCCTGTATTCAGATTATACATACACTTTCCCTTGTTGTCCCAGAAGCAAAATGCAGTCAGCCACCCTCCCAGGTATGAAGGCCCACTACCCCCTCCAGAGCTATGGGCGATCTTCTGCCAGAAGTCGCGCGACGCAACAGCCTGCTCCGGATCGAAAGTCTTGATGAAATTGCGCAAAACAGGACGAAGCAGATCAGCAAATGTGCTCGCTTCAGGACCCAATTCGACGAGTTTCTCCAGCCTGGCGAGAATATCTTCGTAGTCCTCGCGTTCGCCCAGCAGAGTGACCGACGGGATACCGCAGCATATGCACATCTTGTACGAGAAGTATGCCTGCATAGTGCCCATCATGAGCACCGCAGCTGTTGTGCGATCGGTGACTGTAGTTGTGCTGAACGCCGGCATGATCCAATCGCGCAGATCGGGGTCCTTGACATTCTCCTGTATCAGTCCCGTCATGCGCCGAGCTAGCGCCCCGATATCTACCGAATGAATGCTGCCAACGCCTTCGACTTCGAGCTCTTTCTGTCCTTGGTGCGAAACGAAATGGTCGCGCAGGGCTTCGGCATTGGCGTTGATGTAGAAGTTGAGTTGCGAGAGAATTGCGAACCACACATCTTCGGGACGGATGGTGAGATGGTGGTGGTAGCTGTACGCATCGAAAGCTGCATGAACGAACCCGTTGTTTGAGCCGACGATGCAAGACTTCTGGAGTTCATCGGCGGAGACCGAACTTCGAATCAGCCATTTGCAGGCCTGGGAGTCTTGTGAACTGGTGTGTGCGAGGAGCTTTTCCGGGGTGTCGACGTTGTAGGTCCGGCTGTGTGAGCTTTTGGATGCATGGTCTGCGACTGTGAGGGTGGTGGGCATGGTTGCTGGAGTATGCGATTGATGATTTTGATTTTGAACTCTTGAGATTATTTGGGGATGAGAAAGATGTGCTGTCTTTCATGTGGCTACGTTCGACTTTAATATGCATGCTGTGTAAACTTCAGGCTGCTGCTGCCTAGGTATGCCTAGACCAGCCGATGTTTGTGGATTGGTGCCTTCCAACATCTCGATGCGCAGACGTGCAGTTGCTCGACGTTACGCGGGGTAATCGCGTCTCTGTTCTCCAACACCTCCCTTCACAGCGACCAAAACCTATCCGGTACAATGATATCCAACAACGTTGTCATATCAGATTGCGCTACAGTTACGGATTCATCATTAGGTCCGCCAGCAGCGTGATACCAGGTCGCTCAAAGAACTGACCAGACGATGCCGTCCTGCAGGTGGCTGCCAGCGGCTAATGATCTCGATTCGGAAGCGACCGTTGCGCAGCTGTACTTTCCCCGCCGCAATACGACTGACAGCAGGCGAGAACCAGAACATCAGGCTGCCGTCTGGTCAGCATAGCCAAGCATGTGGCGTCGGAGTGGGTGGATCCCAACGATACAGCTGATTCGCCTAGACACCCAATGGATTTCCCATCAGATTCCTTGTACCACAAGCTTGCTACTCGAACGTCTTTCCGCCTGATAGAGAGCATCGAAATCCTTCCGTACCTCAGTTGTAAAATGAAAACTGTTTCGCTCGCCGATCACACACCTTATCGGGCTCTCAGTTACTGTTGGGGTTCCCCAAAGCGGAGTGTTACTTTACGATGCAACGGATTCAAGCTGAGAATCTCGCCGAATCTCGCAGAAGGGCTGAAGAAGCTACGCGCGTATGCAGCAGAAGCCGATGTGGGGTCGTTCTGGGTCGATCAGATCTGTATCAATCAAGAAGACAATGTCGAGCGTACCCAGCAAGTTCGTATCATGCGATCTATCTATAAGCGAAGTACGCGTACCATCATCTGGCTTCCGCTCAAGAACGGTAAATGTTATCTGCCAGGACCGCATATTATATCAAACGATATTCAAACGCCAGGTCTCCATGACGTCATCTACATACCAAAATCATGATATCGATTACTGACGGTTTGAAGAGGTTGTCAAGGCTGCAAAAGGCATCCTAATTCATCTGAATTTCTACCTCCACACCGACAGCATTCAGCTACCGCCGATGCATGACGGAGGATGGAGTGCTTTAGCTCAACTGCTGGAATCACCATGGTTCGAGCGTTGCTGGATCCTACAAGAGATGGCAGTGTCTAGAGGATGCCCGGAGATGCTTTGCGGTAATCAACGATTGTCGTGGTCGAAATTCCAGGAAGCTATAGATTGGCTTAACAAGTCTGGCAGTAAGCATCGTACAGAATGTATGGAACTTGTCAACAGTATCCAGGAAGTTATCGGTAGACACTACTGGAACCTGGGACTGGAAGATACTGTTTCTCACCTGCACGTCCTGCTACGCTTAACAAGCTCATTCCGCTCTACCGCCTTCTCGGGCTCAGCAGCGCAAGCCGGGATCGGGAGAATTGGCCGGAAGAAGTAGCACCTGACTATACGAGGGGGTTATTGGAAGTATACGCAGGTGCCATGAAGTACTGTATCCGGCAGACCAGCAGCTTGAGTGTTCTATCGCAGTTCGTCCACAACAAGATGGCAGGATCTGCTTCAGCGTATCTACATTTCCCTTCCTGGGTACCAAGGTGGGACATTGCGGATTCCACATTCCGCATTAGTGCATTTTCTGCGCTAGAGGGTCCTGATGGGACTCGCATTCTCAATAAGAAATACAACAATGCATCCATGCATACTGGAGTTGAGATGTATCAAAATACCCCATTGGGCGTTCTTCGCTTGTTTGGTATGCAGATCGACACAGTGAACGTTTGTCTTCCTACAGTAATGCCAGATGACGCCAAGTTCCATGCAAGGGTACCAGAGCGTTACGGAGACTATCTGTCAGACCTTCTCCCACAACTATACAGGATGTGTGAGAAGCACGTCAAACACGTCTCGCATCAATTCGACTTAACGTTCTTCCTGGTAACCACAGCAGGCTTAACGCCTGAGGACTGGGACGCTCGATGGTCCTCTCGATCTGACGCGCAGAGTGCTTTGGAGTCCATTGTTAACCCTCCGCAAGAAGAATGGGCAATAGGACAAACACCCTTATCGAACCCAAAAGACCGACCCCAGCGGCAGTCGACTGAGTCATACCCTCCATCACCCAACTGCTCCAGGGACGCTATCCAAACCGCTACATCGCATCAATCCAACGACTTATGAACAGACGCCTTTTCATCACTTCGTCGGATCGTCTTGGTCTAGGGCCAGCAGGCATGATGTCCGGAGATACAGTCGCGATCTTGTTCGGCGGTAACGTACCATACATACTGAGACCTCTCCAGAACAACCAATGAAATTCCTTTGGCGAGTGCTATCTCGATGGTTACATGAATGGCGAAGCACTCACCGGCGATGGTAGGCAATTGTCGAGTTATAAGTGGTTTGAATTGGTGTAAACGACTACCAGGCTTCCACACTGGATAGGATGCATGGTCTGAGGCGAGAGCAAATGGAAAGAAGGGGGCCACGAGAAGCAGTAAGGAGATAGAGGGGCACCCAATACAAGGAAACAACCAACTGAACATGTACCTGCAGTCTACGTGAGTTCAAATGAAAGATCACTCAAATCTAGAGGCAATGTAGATTTCTAGGTCATTGCTCTCTAGCAGTTGTCCAGGGTTTCCTTTTGGACATAGTGGAAGCAAGCGATCGGGTCCGGCTTGTGCTAGCCTATTCCGCCATAGAGCATGCAGCAAACATGAACTTGGGTTCGCAGACGCATTAGCGAGGCGAGCTAGAAGAAGGATGACGGCGGTGACGAGGCAGTCGTCAACGGCCTGCATGGTCGAAGCATGATGATGGAACGAGGGTTTCTTCGCACGGCGATGATACGTTGGTTATAATTTGATTGATGCTCTGTTTTATTGGTCAACGCGTCATCCGCTATAGTAATGGATCCTCACTGTGTCTCCTTCTATGTTAGCAGATGTATCCAATTCTCGTATCCAATTCTCATATTCAACGCGACAATTGCGCAATGGGTATTTGACTTGTTCATTATTACCACGAAACCCTCTCATAGAGGCATTCGTACCACAGTGACTCCCCACTAGGGTCAGTCCATGTTATCCTATACGCGAATATTCAAACACATTATACACAAGCTCTTTGCCCGGTCCACATAACAGCTTCTATGACTTTCGTATCGGGGGTCATGTCTTGTCCGCCTTCGAATCGTACTGCTCGGCCTCGCTCCAACTTCGAATCAAGGGGGTATCTTATGCGACGCCTTTGACGGCTTGCCTCTAAGGTGGGTGTTAGGAGACTGTAAAGGGAAAGGAGTTGGGTGGCTGGGGAGGTTGAGATAGCGTACCTTCTTGTTGATGAACATGGCAATGACGAGGATGGCGACGAGGAAAACAATGACGAGGACGACAATGACACCGGGTTCACGCTGGGCCCAGTTCTTGTCGCGCTTGGCGAGCTGGTGGAGAGCGTACTCGGCGCGAGCGGCGATGGGCATGCTGATGGCGGCCATTGTGTCTGTTTGTGGGTTTCTGGGGTGAAGATGTTAGAAAGGTTGTTCGGATGAGCAGCTGTAAAGACGTGGAAGGATTCCCGGAGCTGGAGAAGCACAGGCCAGACGCATTGGGCGCGTACGATTCACTCCCAAGAGAGGTCTCGAGCGTAAAGATCTTCAGCCAAGGCTTGTCGCAAGACTGGTCCCGATGGCGGTGATGCGATGCGATGCGATGCAACGCGACGCGACAGGATGCTACAACGTGACGCGAACCCTTCCCAGGCAGGTCCAGAAGAAGGCGGCATTGAGCTTACATTTACGAATTGAATCGGTCCACTGTTTGAATGTCGAGCTGAAGGAAGCTTTGTTTTGGCTGTTGATGGCAACGGAAGCTGGTCAGCGCGATTGGATCAAACCCACGGAAACGGTCGCGAACGGGCAGAGGGACTCGGCGATGTTTAATTGAAAGGCGCAGGTCGACAGCGATGCAGCATCAAAGAGTGAGAACAAAAAAGCTCTTAATAGCAAGAGGCTGAATGTCCGCTTTTAAATGCGCCGGCTCGCCGAAAATTTCTGCACAGTTGATGAGGCATTTTGTTTGGCCCCGGGTCCTAGCGGGTTGTCCGGGAGGCTCCAAGCTTGCAAGGGTGGGTGCAGCGTCGCTTCGGCCGGGGAATGGGCGCGGGCATGGAACGAGGGAGTAGGGAGCGGTACTTACGTCTGAGGCTCGTCCGAGTGGGTAATGGATAGTGGGCGCTGGGGGATGTTGGAGATTCGGGGCGAGGAGCAGCGTGAAGAGTAGATGAAGGTTGGGTCGGGCCTAGCAACCACCCGCGAGGGTTGAGGGAGCTAGGATGGAGCTACCCAGCGCAGCCAATGGCGCGACATGCCATCATTTCGTCGCAGATGAGCCGACGATCGCCAGCCTCACGTCGGAGATGGGTCTGCACGTGTGTAGTCAACAACAGTCACTATCTGCTAGTCGCTTGTCCCAAGAAGAGCCGCGTTGCAGCTTCACCGGTCCCGACATGAGGCCATTCAGCGCAGCTACTTGGAAACTCCCCATGAACTCTCCTCGCGCCTCCACACAGTTGCCCAGGTGCGTCTGGTGCTGCAAGCCGCCGCTGACGCTACTCGTCGGCTCCACTCAGCCAGCACCCCTGCCATCCATTAACCGTTCTTGTGCCGCAGAAGCAGCAACGATGTCATGGCCCATTGCTTATCGTCCATGACTGATGAAGGCGGCGCGAACCCACCCTCCGATAGAGCGCCAGGGCCGTTTGACACCAGGCCGAACCGTGGGCAGCATCAACAGGGCAAGAGCACGCCTAGCGCACCGGAGCCAAAAACAACGCACGTCAATAATGCCTCATTTCCAGACGCTGGCTTCGCGTCGACAGGGCGACGCGCTACGCCGATAGCGCCCAGGCAGACTGGAGACGCGTGGGGTGGCCTTGGTAGCTTGCAGCCGGGATCCTCACTAAGCTTCTGCTGTGCCTGTGCCCCCGCATCTTGGCGAAGCATGGCACACGAGCGCTACACGGTCTTTGAAACGCTGCAGAGCATCACCGTGTCACAGGTACCATCAGCAGAAGCAAGTGTCGCGAGCTGCAAGCGAGCCTTGGAACGTCTGGGTTGTGTTGCCGTGTCCGCTATTGTGACGCTGCCCGTACTGCCAATATTGTTGATATCCAGGATCGTGGAATAGCGTCGCCACATGACTCGGCGCCCATGTGACCGCCGTCGCGCAGGCATAAATCCTTATTCAGCCCATCATAACCACAGCAATGTGCAGCCAGCCATCCAGATATGCCGTCGCGCGCACCAGCTCCTCCACACTCGCGCTCAGCGGCAGCACGGCTCCGTGCAACACGGCCTGCGCCAGCAGCGGACTCCGTCTGCTCGGAAATAGTGTCGGCAATATCTGGTTCAGTGCTGTCCCGATGGTCTGTGGTTGCCCTGTCTGCTGTCAGCGCCTTCCAGACCTACACCGCAACTACACGTACTAGACGACAGATTCGGCGTCACCAGCCTCTGCACTACTCTCAAACTCCCGGGTGCTGTCTCTTCTTGGACCCCTTCCGACGACGCGTGTGGGAGATAGAGCCGGACTGGCAGATGTCTCAGGTTGACTCCTTGCGGGTTCAGCAGCTTCTGGTTGATGGGGTTGTAGATCGCAAAGTCGTGCTTCTTCACTCCGCTCCAGAGCTGCGTGCTGTCTTCTTTGCTTAGAAACATGACGGTTTTCCCTGTTCCTGTCCTGAGGTAGTCGGCCTCCTTCACGCTGTGGATGAACAGATCATGCATATGCTTGTCGTCATTATCAAGCTGAACAAGCTGCTCAGAAGGGAAGTCGGAGAAGTGTACTGTAAGTCGCCATGGTAGATGTTGACGCTCTTCCTCTGTACTCTCCATCTTGTGCGCTTGCTCAACCTCTGTATCTGTGTCTGGAGGATACGCGGGCTCAGCGCCAGAGTAGAGGTCGTAGAGGAGACCTAGTGGATAATGCCATTTCAGCGGCACGTCTTCGTAGGATAACCATGCGTCCTTCGGCGTGACATGTGGGTAGATGAGGCTGCGTGCGAAGAAGGCATGTAGTTTGTGTATGAGCAGCCCGAGATACGATATCCGTGGAAATTGTATCTACCTCTAATCAGCCACAGCTCATCCGATGTATCGTCACCAGACTATGTCGACACTGTACGTACTAAGTAAGGATCCGACTCGTCGTACGTCCTACAGTCGCCCTTGTGCAGGCGTATCTCCAGCGGGATGCTCCCATTCCAAGTGCTCTGGCGCAGTCTACTCGCAATGTCTCTCTCAGCCATGGGCGCGAAGCATCCGAGATTGCAGCTTCGCCGGCCGCCGTTCTGGTAGCCTAGGCGCAGCGGATGGGTAGTGGGGTAGGTAGCTGCGTAGGCAAGGCGGAAGGCGCGATGGCGGGGTATGCAGGGGAGCTTGGGCCTGACGTGCAGGAAACCCTGGGTCTTTTCGCTCGTGCGTGCGTCTCTGCCACAACCGCCGCGCAACACTGCAGACCGACTGTCGTAGGAAGATGTGCGCTGGTCGTGACTTCTTCACCACCCACAACGCATGTAGCATGTCATAAGCCGTAGATGGGTGACTTACTTACGCACAACAGCTGGACCATGGATGTGGCACTTAGCCGCAAACGCTCCCGCCTGACTATTGACGAGGACGAGGACGAGGACGAGGTCCAGCGAAGGAGAGAGCCCTCGCCTGCTCTGCCGCCATTAGGCGATGCGCTGAAGAGGTCCAAGACACAGTGCGAACTGGAAGAGCTAGATATCATAAGCCCGGAGGAAGCATGGAGCGTGGATGTGGATGCGATACTATCCAGTAATACGCTCGCGACTCCACCAGGCAGTATGCTAGAAGCGCACAATAACTGGGAAAGGTATAGGAGAGAGGAGTCAATAGTAGTTTTATGCGTGCAAGGGAATGTTCAGGTCCATTATGACCTGCTTTGGTAAGATCATCCCAAACCAATGCGAACCACCGCTAACATCCCGTAGCTCCGCACTGCCAGAGCTTTACGCCCTATCGCCCTCCCTACAGCCCTTCGTCCTCTGCCACGACCCATCGACACATAGACTCCCCTCCTCCGCGGCCTTCTCGCTACCCCTTATACAAGCCGCGACTCCCTCGAACAACCACTTCGTCCGCTTAGGCCTTCTACACCCCCTTGGTGGAGGCAAGTTCCCGTTAGATGCACTCGTAGTTCTGGATAACAAGGGTAGAAGGAGATTGGTGCTGCCGTTTGGCTGGGGTGCTGGTAAACATGCGGATACACCTGCGGGACGGAGTATACAGTTACGGTTGATGGCGTTGCTGAAGAGTTGTGTCGCGACTCTAGAACAGGAACAATGAAAGCTGTTGTGCAGCCTACATTGAAGTTTAGACCCGAGAACGTAAGGTATATATGTGGGCATGGAGTGGCTCAGGGGTTCTGCAGGCAACATGAAGGACGATATGGCTATGCTTGTAACATCGGACACCATATGGTATTACTGTAGGAATATGATGAAGTAGCGTGATGGTGTTCGAGATGTTTCATTGCGTGTGTATACTACTTCAACACCAGACTTCTGCTATCCTTCCGGGTATCATCGCGAAACAGACCACCTACGAACGCCTAGGCCTGGAGGGCCTCCGCTAGAAGCAGAGTAATGTAAGAAAGGGGATGATATGAATTGGAGACCACATCGACGAAGCAAACATCGACGAAGCAAACATCTAACGACCAACAGCAATCGTGTTCCCATCCCTCCTCAGGGCCTCAATGTAACGTTGAACGTCGCCCCTAACGGCGTTAACGTAGTACGCCAGCCATCCTTTGGTAACAAGCAACAGACTGGCGTACACGGAGTTTCCCACATATTCGTCTTCGTGAATGGCGATGTGAGTAGCGAAACTGCACATGATCATGTGATGTTGAGGTATCGTCTTCGCCTGCTCGCAGAACTCCCAGTCGAACAGTCCATGATTGCGACACGAGTTCCTGAGCTCTTCAGGCGCCAGTCCCTCTTCTCTAAGGGCAGCCTTCATGAACTTGAAAGCGAAGTCCTGGAGACTCTGCATACCCATTTCGACCGCACAGAAGTACACTTGCAGGTGGAACTCTGTCTCTGTCTCGCCGTAAAGAACTACATCTGGGAGTTTGTACTCTGGGTCGAAGAGGGCATCAGCTAGTATTTCCACGACCTCGGGGCTGTAATTTCGGGTGGGGCACTCCGCGAGGTTTCCGGGCTTGATACAAGTCAGTGAAGCGATTGGTGAAGATGATTAGAAACTTACATTGGCCTTGAGCCAGGTAGATAGCGTCATTACTAACTCCCCCGGTACGGCAATGCTAGTCAGACTATCATGAGACGGGAGAGACAGGTCACGCTTCATATGATGGCGGTATTCTTCGCGTAGCCTACGGAATGGTAAGCACTAATCGAAACACAGGTTCAAGGCGGCGGGTTCCAGACTCACGTCTTGCGGTTCTCTTCGGCATCTGCTCGTTCCACTTCTTCAAAGGATTGATCCCCGAAGAAAAGGCGCAGCAAGCTCATATCAGCCCCCATACGACCCGAAGTGGGCTCGTCGTTGTCGATGGTCACACTAGACATTGTGGACGGTAGAGCACCTGCTTCCTGTGGTTCTAAGGACGGGTCGCTCAAAGCTGTCGGCCGCGGGCGAGGTCAGTTGGTGCAGGTAGATGTTGGAGTGACTGTGTGAGGGAGAAGCTGAATAATCACCGAAAGTGACTATTGTTTTGTTATGACTGCCTGGCTAGCGCCTCAGATGACGTACTAACCGTGGTGCTGCACATTCACTCCGACGATTCTATTCTACCAGGCCTAGTTGTGCTGTTCTTCCGGGTATTGTCATCCAATGTACTGTACATGAACGCCTACGCCTAGAATATCTCAATAAGAACCACAGTCACAAAACAAGAGGTATAATTGGCTTTAAAGTATACAATCTCGGCGTCCTTGTCTTGAAGTAAGCACGTATGGACTACAAAAGACTACATGGACTTATGAGCTGAGATCCCATCGCCTACAAACATCGTTGTCGCTGCCACCCCCCCTACTACTCCATCCAATCGCCAATCTTGACGCTTTCGTCTCCGTCCACAGGCGCATCAGTCATGCTGGTGTCTTCCTTGTTCTCCTGACCAGCAGTTTCATCTGATGTGCTACGGGTAGAGACAACGGGAGCGAGGACAGGAAGCTGAGGAACCTGGGCAATGGTGTTGCCCTCGTCGAAGCTGAACTCTACACGTGCGGTCTCGGGCTCGGTGTTGTTGTCGTCCTTGTCGTCGTCAGATGAACTGATGAGGGGAATGTAGGTACACTCATCGACATCCTCAGTGGGCTGTGTAGTCGGCTGATCACCTTGGTTACCACCAGTTCGCGGAGCAACGGAAACAGGACCTTGCGGACTATTAGAAGCGAACAGAGGAAGGAAATCGTCGTTGACGTCGAGATCCGGTCCATCAATATCTTCCGAGCCATCGACTTCACCGCGGAATGTCTGGCTCTGTCGTAGGCTCAAGCTTGGACGAGGGGTATGCAGAAGACCCGTTGGCGCGCTCATCGGGAACAAGGCTGACTTCTCACGTTGGGACGCCTGAGATCCGCGCATAGACTGCCAAGACCTGTCCAGCTCAGATGGTGTGGGTGTAGGTGGCAGTGCTTTGTTGGCATGATTGGCCGGGCTTCCACGATCGACACGATTGGGGGTAGGAGAATCGCTGTGGGCCTCATGTGCCTAGTTGATGTTGCTCAGACCGGGACGCTGGAGGGAGTGACTGCCGACATGTCCACGCTGGCCTTGTCCTGGACCGGCCGTACGCGCCTTGGGGGTGCGCGTGTCAAGCGCAGAATCAGTCGACACTCGCTTCTTGCTCGCTTGGTGTCGACCTGTGGCGTTGGAGGTGATCATGCGCTCTGGGATATCACGTTTGAGCTTGAATCCGTACAAGTCTCGTTCGGCCGTTGCCTCGTCTACCGCATATCGAGGTGTTTCGAGGAAGTTAAAATACTTCGTACCGCCTTCCTGGAGCCACACAGAACGCCGCATTGCTCCATAAATCGCCACTGCGTCTAGGATTTCTTCTTTGGTGTTTTCTGACGGGTCGTACAGCTTGTGCTTCTCCAACATATCAACGAACTCTTCGGCGGTAGGTCAGTCCTTCAAGAGAGTGGTCCGAAAGTTTCTAGCAGCCTGAGCTGGGAGCAGTGACATCTCCATCCTCTTCGCGCAAAGATGTACTTTGAGATGAAGCTCTGTCGGTTTTTTCTACCCGTACGGTGATACTGTCGTCTTTGACACCGGACTGAGCTTTCTTGAGGCGAGTCAATTTGTAGTTTGCTAGCTCTTGGGTGTCGTCTAGATGGTAGTCGCCGTCGAGGGTGTATTGTACTATCATCTCAACCACGATGTACTACTCGTAGCCATGCATATTGACAACGGAGTTGGTGTTCTGTGGATCTTCGACCTGTTGAACAGAGGCTGTTCACATAGAGCTAGTAACTTTGGAGGCCCTCCTGGGCCACAACCGCAGCTATTTTGTGCTCAGTAAGCTTTGATCATGTAATGGTCGTATATGCGCTGATGAATCGTAGTCATACTTAAATGCTCCTTGCGAAGCGACTTGGTTGCGACTTCGCACTAGTAGCAGACGGTGTGTCGTTTGATGTCCATTCGGGTTTCCTCGCTACTGGCTCGGAGGTGTTAGAGGAGTATGCTTTTCCTGTCGATGTAAGTTCAGGACTTGCTCAAATGAACAGAACGAGTACTCACGGTAGTTAGGGTACACAGAATCCCCCTAACAGGAAGTATGAGTTCGACGCACGAGTACACAGTCCCATGATGGTCGACCGCCTCCTGGAATTTATGTACACCGGAATCTATCAACTCGACAAGGGCGGACGAGCGACGCTGTTACATCATCTGACTAGTTTACCCATGGGTAAGACCAAGGCCAGCTATCCCATGGAATTGGAGGGTCCACTAGCCTTCCACCTGAAGATGTACGGAATGGGTACGACCTTACGGTATCAACCCTTGGTAGCCGTCGCGCATCTAAAGATGGCAGAGCACATGCTCTTGAAGATGAAGATTAATGTGGGATTGGCTAAGAATCTCGTGATCAGGACATATGATTTAGCCCAGAGGGTACAAGATACAGCTGAGCAGCCCAACGACACTTTCGGGGATGACAATCTGGAGGAGCTAGTCGTAGCGTGTATCCTGCACCACGTCCATCAGAGGATCTGGGCAGAGGAGGAATTGGAAGGGCTCAAACACCCATGCTCGGGCATGCCCTGCTTTGGAAGTGGACTGGGAGCTTGCCGAAGAGGAGTACAAAGACTTACTGAAGACACGACTCGAGACTAAGAGAGCGGCGAAGAGGGCGAGACGAGGACAACAACATCAGCAGGAGGTTGCGAAGATGATTCAGCTCTCAGAAGGGCCTCGCCATCTGTAGACATGATTGATACATCGGAAGCTACGATCTGCCGCATCTTGTCTTACAGTTCCGATACTTCCGATTGAAGGAGCCACGAGATGAGCATGCGTAGATAGTAGTGGCGGCAGTCAAAAGACACGATGCAGGGCTATTGGCAGGGCATCAGAGCGTGTATTCGATCTGTGCCGTAGTATAGCTGTAAAAGAGTTCCTCAATAGCGATGTTGCTGATGTGAGGCGTGTGACGCGTGGCTGCAGGAAGTGTGAAGGCACGTCTCCATGAGGTGGCTGGCGACTACATTAGCGTGTTTCCTCGCCCTGTCGCGATGACATTCATTGGCGCGCCGTTGAACGTTTGATCACCTCTTCCCCGAATATGCAGATCTCGACATCGACCTTCGGCTGAAACGGGAATTGAGAATGATAGTCTTTAACACCCAGGTGTTGAAGATTGCGCACGAGGATGCCAGCATCTCCGCTGCAACAAGCCCTAGCATCCTCAGCATGAAGCCGCGTCTCTCCTTCGAGTGTTCGCGCTTTCATCTCGTGATGATGCGGTTGCAACTGTCTTAGGCCCAACTCGGGGTCGGTTAGTTATGTGACGACATTGCTTTTGCTGGCGGCATGATCTCGGCGTCGTAAATGGTAGTGTATCCATGGCTAAGATGCCCATGTTATGCCAGCCCGTGTATCTTGTCTGCACAGGATCTCATCTCCTACCAAACCCTCTCTCCCACCGATCGTCATTACACATAGATTCATCATGCCGCCGGATCGTACAGAGAAGAAGAATAGTGTTGCGAAAGCTGCTCCTTCCCGCCGTCTCGCAGCCTTCGGCTTCATACCTGCCCCGAAAGAGGAGGTCGTAGCCGCAGCGGCCCGGGTAAAGCCTTCAGTTGTATCACAACTCGCTGTAGTCCAAGTAACGCAAATATTGCAAGAAGAGCAGAAAGCGCAGGAAACGCAAGAAGCGTCGAAGCCAGAACCTCGTCTTCCCGGGCCTCTAGTCGTATCACGACCCGCTGAAGACCAAGAAGTTCAAGAAGACCAAGAAGTACAAGAGGCGCCGAAGCCAAAACCTCGTCTTCCTAAGCCTGTCGTCAAAGGAGCAAAACGTGCCTCCTTCAAAGACTCCAGATACGACTGGGATGGCAAGTACCACAAAATCATTGGAACATCGACACGAAAGATCATCCTTGAAAGAGCCTTCAAACTGGCAGAGTAAGTCATACTCCTACTTCATTTTTAGAGGGCATACAATGGAATACTGATCTGATTGCCTCAGTAATCACATTGAAGACATCCTCTTCCTGGGTCCCAAAGTCTGCGACTCACTGACAGAAATTCATTTTGAATACTTGGATAATGACTACGACGCTCATAACGGTACGCTTCGGTGACTCTACTAGACTATTCTAGACTCATTTCTAAATTTGACAACAGCCTGCCTCCTGACGGACGAGGGTATCAAACGCCTCGCTAGAGGCTGCAGAAACTTGAAGAAAATCTTTTTACCCGAGTCTGAAGGTTCCAACATGGCTGATCAAGGCCTGATCCATCTTCTTACCTTCTGTCCAGATATCACCAATCTAGAATTCTCCGGTTCTGGCGTTACCGAGATCGCTTTCCAACAAATGGCCGCTCACTCAGATTTGGCCCCGAACTTGAAGAAACTACACCTTAGCGACCAATCTTCGAAGAAGAATTATATGCGTAGCATGCGAGATTTTGGAAGGACTCGACCAACACTACCAATTGAGCTGGTTCGCCTTTCGAGTTATAAGAAGCACGATTCATGGTACATGGAGACTAGTCACACCACGTACACGAATGGTAGAAAGGTGTCTACTAGTCTCCCAACCATCAGCTGAGCTACGTTCAGGCGGGCCAGGCCACGGTTACTTCCTTCGTCCATTTAATTTTCTTTGGGTGGACAGCCTCTTCAAGTCAGCTAGTCATCTGGCATACCGTATATTCTCAAGTCTACAGTACTTTCCAAGAACGTGTCACTCCAAAAGCTTTCTGTCTGGAAAGCGTACTCATCCCTTTTCAAATCACTATCGGATATCACGTCTGCTTTCGCCGACCTACCCGGCGTTCGCAATCCCCATCTGTCTTCTCGCACTCTGGTCAATGCGTATCAGAATATCACGAACTTTGAAGATTACAGCGTCGCGCTAGCCAGCAATAAGACCTTAGGGAATATTGGTGGCTTACCAGCATCACGAACGGGCGTCCAGCATGTGCCTGTCACATAGCTTAGACCTGTCCATATGCACCAGAGCAACCAATCGCAACTGGTGTCAAGATATCGAAGGGTTGGTCCAGCTGGGGTGAGTTTCAGCAGTTAGAAAAAGCAATACCGCAATCTGAGGTACTGCAAAGACCCATTTACAGGTAGCCGCTATAGAATATAGGTCTAGAACTCGCTTTAAAAACAATTGCGAATGCAAGACCAAATCTTATCTACAGCTTTACTTCGGGCAAAAGGGTAGTTTGGGCCAGGGTCCCACCTTGGATCAGTTTGGATTGGTATCAAACACATCGGAGGCCGTTGAACAATACAGAATTCGATCTGAGAGATATTGTGGAGGCTACCCCTTTCGTTTCGAACTGGGCATGAGCTATGGAGGCGGCACGAGCTTGTCTTTCCACAAAAGATTTGGTATATCGACCTAATTCATTATTACCGCACATTGATTCTGTATCGCACGGAGCAAGAGCATCAACCAGATCACTTGTCTCAATATCATCCGCTCTTCTCCATTTTCTACACCTACGCATTCTCTCGATGAACCTTCTGCTCCTTCTCCCCCAGCGGTCCCTCTACACCTGGATGGACACTCTTCCGCCTCTTCTCATCTCTCTGTTGCCGACTCTGATCGAGGCTCTGCGCAAACTTTGAATTGGCTCTAATCTGTGGACCTTTCCAGTATACGATGTAGATAGGCAGAGTGACCAGGAAAGCAAGGCAGGCTAGGATAGTGGAAGCGTATTGCAGAGGCCGACCAGGAATGTTCGAGTAGAGCGGTGTTGAGTATAGAGAAGCGATGCCGGCTAGAGCGTCACGAGCGAGATCGTTGCCACCGGTTGCGGAAGAAGCGTATGGGCCGTATGCGGCGGTTTGGTAGTCGATTGAGGACTGGTAGATTGCATACTGGGTAGCATTAGCCGATGAACGTTGCGTGACAAGCTCGAAGACTTACATTTGCCATTCCGACCATTGCCGAGAAGATCATCGGCGCAATCCAAGGAATACCATAGTCTGGGCCAAGTGACGTCCAGGCAAATCCAAACAAGCCTATAGTCTCCAGCGGAGCAAGGAATAGCAACCACCAAAGTCGAGCCTCTGGTTCGACTGATCCTGGATTCTGCCGTCGTTTCTTCCGGAAACTGATGATTGACGGTAGGTATGAAGCGTAAGCCAGGAAGTAACTGATCAAGATGGGTAGGAAGGCCAGGCCAGCCCCAACGACGCCAAAGCCCCACTGTTCGTAGACGGGACCAAAAGACTCTAAAAATGTGAAGATCAACGCGTCGCTGAAGCCACTGAGGAGTGATAGCCAGAGAACAATTGGTTCGGTAAAGAACATGTAGAATGGTCTATATTATGGTTAGCATCGAAATAGACACGTGCTCAAGTCGTTGCATACCTCCAAAAGATAGTGCCGACTTCCTTCAGGCTCATCTTATGGCCACCCCGGATCTCATTTGGGCCATAGACGTTCGGATCTTCACCTGTCTTACGACGTCTCTTCGCCTCACGATCCAATAAAATCGTCGAGCGAGTTTCGGGGTTGCAGATAAAGTGAACTAGCTGGACGAAGCCTCCGATGATGAGCTGGACCCAGAATATCCACTCGACCGACTTGTACCTATAAAGCTAAGTCAATGCTTATCAGTACGAACCACCATTGGTGTACTCACCTTTCTACGAACGCTCCGATGATCGCACCAACAACAGACCCGCCCACAGACGACAGGACTAAGAATGCGACAGCAAACTCTTGTTCATCCGGCTCCCACATGTCTGCGAGTACACCAAGTGTGACCGAGCCGCCAGCTGTTGATAGCCCTCCGAGCGTTCGGACCACCACGTATGTCGCATAGTTCTTCGACAAAGCCGCCGGAATTTGCCAGAGGTTGACAAGAAACAGACTGAGTTGCTGGATGGGCCATCGTCCGTACTCTTCTGACCAGGGAGCCCAAAGTTCGCAGCCGATACCGTAGGCGATCAAGAAAGCTGCCTGGGGAACGCGAGCTGCTTGTTCGCTAACACCATGGTGTTCGGATACGGCGCTGACGGCATGCGAGTACATGGACGCATTCGTGTTGATGCTGATCTGAATGAAGAAGACGACGATGAGGATCTGCCTATCGTGGGATCATTGTCAGCGCTATACTCTGAACGTCGCAATCTGGAGAGAGCGATCGAGAGGAGATTGTAAAACCATGGTAGGCTTTCGAGATGCGCCGCCACAATGCTCGGGTCGCACGGCAAAGCGGCATCCAGACAAGAGACACAAGCTCAACTCACCATTTGCGCCAAGTTGGGAATGAGTAACCAAGCTTGTCCCAAGCATCACTGTCTTGTAGCTCGACCTTGTCGCCTGTGATGATTCGGTCCGTCTTTTCTTGCTCAAGTTCTGTGCCTTCGCCATAGTTGGGGTCGCGCTCTGTGTCAGGCACAGCTGTTGGCTTTCCATCTTCTACGGTGGCCATATCGAAGTCCGCACGCACGTAGGATTGGGAATGAGAGGAATAGGTGTGAAGGGCGGAAAACGAAGAGATGTACGAGATATACTTCACACCATCTCGCCTGCAAAGCCTACGCCCCTTCGCTTTTCGCTCACCCTCCACGCGATATCAGGCTGCCCGTTACTCCCTGCCTCTGATGTCAAGAGGCGGCTGGCTACATCTTCGGTAAGCTTACTCCGCCAATGTTAGGCTTGTCGTTTTGAGCCAAGGCATACACAGCCGTGGCAGCCAAGAACAATCAACTGATCGCGGGGTAAATAAGGGTGCATCGACCGATGATGGGGAATGCGATGTGCGTGATGTTTCCTATGTTTGGTCGATACGGGTGTTGGGCCAAGAGAAGGAATGAGGCATGGCGTCATAGGCGTTCTATACGCTGCGGTTACGCGGCGTCGACCAGGAAGTCGGATCCTACCTATGTAGTCGATATATGCAGAGTACCTGGCGCGGAGTTTGACTCCGGTTTCTGTGATGTCATGCACACCATGCAGTCGTTCAGAGGATGGGTTTAAAAGGACGTCGACACGTGTTGGACGGTTGGACGGGTAGACGGCAGGCGCGCTAACCGGAGGCGCACGCGACCTGGCAACGCGGACCAGAGAGTGGTAACCCGCGGCGTAGATTGGGTAGAACCCGAAATGTACCTGATGGGGATCGAATTACTATTAGAAGCGCTTTTGCAACCGAGTGTTGTCCACAAGCTGGGCCGTCTTTATCATTACCATGTCTTACTACCTCCCCTGCGGGCTCAACAGCAGCGCCGTTATCGCATCAACACATGCATAGAACCTTTGTCCAACCTCTGGCCGAGCGAGGTATGCTGAAGTCTTCTCCTTGATCAGATCCTCGTGACTCCACTCCTCCAGTGGCACATCTTCCAACCCCGTCACATCAAACCGAAAGTACTTCATCCAGTTGCGCTCCATCAACGCAGCATGTTCGGCCTCGAATTTATCACCCCACGATCCTGCTTCAGCCTTCCTATCCTCAACACTATTCGCCATCTCGGGAATCTCGTTCTTGCGATTCAGGCCGACTCCGGTACCGACTGAGACAATAATCATCATGTCATTCGCATATCGAAACAGCTTCCTACATTCATACAGAATGTCGCGAACTGGGTTGTTTTTTGTAGTCCCATGATCTACGAGGCCCTTCTCAATTACGAAGCGTTGCGGGAGGCCTGGCTCAGATTGAACATATCGTGGGGCTGCTGATGTCGCCTTCATCGCTTGCCATATGGGCATGTTGGGTTCCAAGTCCGGCCCAGTAATGCGCCGTGTTTGATATGATCGGATCAAAGCAGCTTTGTTCGTGCCTTTAATTCATTAGTGAATTTGACCACGCTTCTCACTTCAGTACGTACCGATATCCATTTGTGTCGTAATTGCGAAACTTTAGCAAGTCAGCATGTATGCCGCGATTAAAAAACGCTTCACTCACACGTCGCCCGAGTCGGGCCGTCCATCTAGGAGTACTTCGTCCGGGCTGCCTAGCTCCTCCTGAACCACACTCTTGATCTCGTTCTCTAACGCGCTGTCGTCAGGCTTCTGTAGCTGTGCATGAGGGTCGAGATATCTGAAGTGGGCCCTTTTGTTGTCAAACACTTGTTTTGCGATCTGCTTGTATGCTTCTCTTGCTCTGTGGGCTTGCATGCGCAGTCGACATAGCATGATGGCTATTATACCGCCAAGAGAACTGCCACCCGTCAAGTCGAAGATCTGGTGGCTGTCTAAGCGCTGCCCGACTTTAACACAGATCGCATTGACCAGGGATTCAACTAAGAGGAGAGCAGATAATCCCCGGATACCGTCACCGTCAATTGAAAGCAGAATCTTCGTCTCTCTGGTCCTCGAAAGGATGGCTGGTAGAGGTGCTGCTGGGTTTGGTGGCGGATCACGTAACGCAGGATCGATGTACTGCGAAGATGGGCGTGCGTTGTATTCAGGAGCTGCTTGGGCAGTGGGAGTCGGTTCTGGCGGTATTTGGGTAGCGCCGGTTGGCGCAGCAGCTTGGAATGCGTACGGAGAAGCATATACGGTTGCTGTTGTCGCCGATGAAGGCGTATTATGATCGCGTGGCGAGCCCGGAAGAGCATTCTCAACTACCGTTGACGGTGAAGGTGTCATGAGACCCGCTGTCGTAGTATGGGTGATAGTCGGTTGTGATGGAGTCTGCCCGTATATAGGAGCTAATGGTGGAGGGCCTGTAGCGGAGGGAGGTGGAGACGGCCATGGAATGTACCCAGAGTAGGGATCCCGGACAAGTCGCAACTCCGCTTCTTCCGCAACGCGTCGGACATCTGGATCTTGAGCCTTGCTTCGATACGTTAGTCTAACTACGGGAGATATCTGGAGAAGACGCGCGACGTACTACTTCACGTAGCTGACGTCCCAAGGCTCCCAGCGACCGGACAACAAGAACTGTATCGAGGAAGGGAAAGCGGAGTCATGGAAGTAGTGTGTGCCCTCTACTGCCGAGTAGCGGACACAAGAGAAGTCTACCGGAGTCCACGACATGCTGCTGTATAAGTAGTTATAGCGCGTACCAGTGGACAAACCGATATACGGAGAACTGGAATTGAGGCAGCACTCAGCCTTGTACTGGCAATCTAGTGAGAGCAGCGGTGGATCAGACGGCAGTCCTAGGAAACATGCGGTAAGCCACTAGCTGCCGCTGGGAGCTAGACCGTTAATCAGGATGAAGTCGCTTCTGAGAAGGGCTATTGTATAGCCAATCGCTACGCGTCAAACGGCCCGCCTGCAAGGTATACTCTGCGCCAGCTCGTCAAAATATGCTGCCATGCGTAGCGCTTCAGCGAGAATGCGGCCGCGTTTGACCGGCCAGGCGAGGCCCTCTACGGGCAACGTGTATGGACGAGGCCGCTCGGCAATTGGGCAATTTGATGGATCTGTGAGACAAGGGCTTTGTGATACCCGGCCCATCCCTGCGTGTGCGTTCGTCACGAAAAACTTCCATCGCAGAGGCGATCGGATCGATCGCCAGGCTCAAAGTATACTGATAAGGGAAGATCTCGGGTCCAGGGTGTATGCAATCGCTAAATATCGCGACTGCCTAGATGAAGACGGGCGATTCGCTAGCGGCTAGTGCATGACCATCGCTGGATTGGTCTACGCCCGCGGCCCGCAGCGTTCCGTTTGCTCGGCTCTCCCCCTCAACAGCTTTTCACCCTTCAACCACACATGCGCTTTTGCGACACGAATAGGTTTGGACAATATCTTGCGGCGTTGAGCTTAAACTTGAACTTTCCGGAAAGAGTTGGTGTGAACTACTGCACGGTGACGGCGTATTCGAATAAAGAACCTGATGCCACCTGAGCAACGTTGAGGAAACCTAGCCCTTCCGACCTCCACCTCACTGGCTGCAAACACCATTCGTCCACAATAGACATGGAGTCAGGGCAGAATCCACTCGGTACACTTTCGATTCTAGCAGTGGAACTGCGCGAGGCCATCTGGTCATATGCACTCACCGACACCACGATCGTTTACCATGCAGTTACAGAAACGGTGCCAATCCCATTACTCGGTTGTTCCAAAGCGATTCGTGAGGAAGCCATATCCACAATACTTCGCGAGAGAAGCGTCACGTTCCAGACGCATGCTGTATTATCGGGCTTGCTCACAAACCACAAGAGCCAGCAAACAACAGACACGATCAAGGATGCGATAGCCCCACACAGTCAAGCTAGATTGCCGAAGAAGATCAGGTTGAAACTGTTTTCTGAAAATCAGAAACTGTTCAAACGAAACCAAACCAATTTCCTGGAGTATACAGAAGAGGAGCCGAAACTTGCAAGGGAACTTGATGGTTGGCGGGAAGCGCTTCAGCAATATCCCGTTACACATCTCACGACAATAATCATGGACTGTAATTCCAGTCCCTCATACCACGGCGGACCGGGTTATGCACTTCCGTGTATGAGCACATTTGTAAAACGTGTGGCTACGCGAATTCGCATGGTGTCAAAGGGAAAATGCCAAATTTTACTAGTCGCACCGCCAGGCACCGTGAAGCAGCTTATCTGGCACGCTGGTACAGCCTCGGTTTTAAGGAGCTGGACGCCAAACGACGACGGGTGGTCTGACAAAAAGATCCAAGAAGCTCTCGACAAGGATCCGCCAACACCCCCACGGGGGAGCAGAAAGCGACGACGGACGACGACGACGACGACGACGACGACGACTAGACATCCATGAAGATCAAGTAGTCTTTTGTAAATACTGTAAGAATTATTACGTTTCCTCTACATAATTTTGTATATCGCATCAACCTGCGATGAGGAATAACGTGACAGCGGCCAGGAAGCAGAGTAGAGCTTACTAAGCGCAAAAAATATCGTCTCGAGTTTCCCCCCGGATTGACCTTGACGGCCACCCAACATGGAGAAGCTCACTCTAGCAAAAAAAAAAGAACGCAACAGATGCTCTCCAGCGGGGAATTGAACCCCGGTCTCCCGCGAGTTGTCTGTGAAGATGACAAGCGGAAATACTGACCACTATACTACTGAAGATTAGCAACCAAGATGGCTGAGTAGGTGATTCGATGGGAACTTCCGAAATCCTAAAATTTATAACCTGTGGCGCGCTCTCAGCGCAGCTAGAGCTGTCGCGTCCACTGAATGCGTCAACAGGCAAAAGTTCTGCGTGCTTGCATGCCCAGGTGTGGGCGGCTAGCCAGGGTCTATCTTAGCTACGGCACATTGCATGCGAATAGATCAAGACTGCTTACATAAGCTGCTGCGATCATCTAGAACCTGTTCACACTCTGTTTGAATTGGTATATTTAAAAACAATACTTTTGGCCCAAGACCATGGTATGTACCAGCTCGCAATATGCTAGTACGTAAAGACCCGCTCGGATCAGAACTTGGTTGTTTTGTGTATACCGACTGATAAAAAGCGGATTCTGTTCAGTCACATCCAGCTGTCGCCTTCCTCTTTGATGGAGTCCTTCCGCCAATGCTTATCCTGGAAAGGCCTTGTAATCGCACACCCTGCGTTCCATATACTGCCTCACTGGAGATATGTCGTGTTAACGTGTCTATGCAGCAAGTCACAATTAGTCTCTAGAGACATAGAACTGCGACTGTGTGTTGTGTTGAAAGTACATCCAGAAGGCTTTGTGCGTATAAGCGATCTGCCGTCACGAACACGCAATATGTGGATGACACTTGAAAAACATCCTTAACACCACACCCATCACGAGGATATTGTGCACACCGGCATTGAGACGGCACCAGGATTTGGTTTTCGAAGCATATTCATTTCTCGCCGAGTCGATTCGTCGTGAAGACTCTAGCTTTATTCGTTCATGCAACCCATGCTCATTTCCTTTCATGAGCTCCGAATCCCACAGAAGATGATGAACCGAATGAAGTAAAACTCCGAACCAATTCACATGCACCACGCTCTTCAGTATCTCATGATCTATGCCTCGGTGGCAGCGGCCTGAGCCTTGGCACCCCTGGCCTTAGCGGGCTTGGACTCCTTGACAGGCTTCTGGCTCTTGCGGATGGCGGAGGCCTTAGCGACGGCGTCCTGGCGGAGGTCGGGGCGGTAGTTGCGCTTGGTGGTGGAGTTGACGATGGCGGAGTATGTCCTACATTGGTCAGCGGGTAGTCCTTTGATATGCGGTATCGGCGCAGTCGAGCGAGGAAAGCCGTGGCTTGGAGAGGACGTACTTGCGGGTGGACCTGCTGGGGCCGAAGGTGGTAGTCTGGACGGCAGATGCGGGCTGGTGGTGCTTGTCGGCCTTCTTGATGAGAAGAGTGACACCGCCCTCGGGGCCGGGGATAACACCGATAGCCTATTCCAACGTTGTCAATACCGCATTCTGTTTTGGTTCGCATGTGCGCGCGGCGCATTCGTGGTTCGTGGCATTCGTACCTTGTTGGCAATGGAGCCCTCGTTCTGAGCAGAATTAGTCTACTGTCCCCAGTAATCCAACATCCATACATACCTTGCGGCTGTACACGTTCCTCAGGTTAAGAGGATCGCGCGAGAACTGGACACCGTTCGCCCTCTTGACGAGCGTGGAGCTGCGTCCCTCTGCCATTTGTCAACCCTAGTCCATCCCAATTCGTGTCCCAGTCTTTCACTCACTGGTAACCTCCCAGGCAAGATCGTGCGAGATAGTGGTGGCCATTGTGTCTGTATGGAATGTGGATACGGACGATGTCGATTGCTTGACGTTGGGAAAGTTCGCCAATATTGAATCGAGGGCCCTCGTCTGCATTACCGCATGCGCTTAGTGCGTGTTTCGGGGATGGATCAACGTGCGTGCCGACGCCAAGAGCGGAGCGGAAGTGACGATGCATGAACGCGACGTGAGGCGGTGCAGCCGAGCGTTCTTGTCCGCGACTCCGTGGTTACAAACCATCGTTGTCCTACATCAACCTCCCCTAATGCCTCTTCTTCAAAGGCATCCATCTACACACTACCGTTGAACTCACTATACATCCATTTCTTTGTTATTCATCGCCAACTCCTTTGTCGCGCCTAGCAGCCACTTCAGCACTCCCGCAGACCTCCGCTCTGTCGCATACGCTATAAACCCCTCGTGAAGCCTCGGAAACAACCGTCATCATGGCCTACATCCTCTACTCCGTCTCGCTCTTCGTCTTGGTGATTGCGACAGGTATGTTACCTTAGTGAATACCTCCTGCGCCACAGACTAACACCGCGCAGCTGCCTACTTCACCCGACACCGCTGGATACACCTTCTGCCTATCCCCGGACCCATCTACACGCGCCTCCCATCCTCGTTCCGCGACGACATTGAAGCCGGCCTTTCGTCCTCAGCGTTTGACCTGAGTGGAAACGTGGAAGCCGGCGACTCGCGCCAAGGCCTAGACGACGCGGGGAAGAAGGAGGTTATGCGTATTATGAAGAGACGCGGCTGCGACTTCGACGAGGCACGCAGAATATACATGCAAGAGAGGTTCAAGAAGAACAACATCGGAGCAGATGGGATACCCCGCGACCCCAAGTTTGTCAGCTTCTCATAATTGCAAAGGCTGGGTACAATGGGGGATTTCATTCATAAGGCTCTTTCGTAATTCTTTCTTTTGTATGGGGTTTGGACACATTACTACATTTCCTTTGTTGCCTTCAGTGGCCTATCTCTGTCTGACATGCTCTTGGTGGGTATCTTTCTGCGAGTACGGATTTCGACGCCAGATATCCTGTGTATTCTGTTCTTCCGAGTCTTGCGATTTTCCTTCGCTGAACTTTCAGCGCCTTTCCAAAACCACTTTTGATGTTTTCCCTTACTCAACTCAGAGCCTGGTGAACATCATGCCTTCCAATCGTGACCCTATCGTCTCATGCTGCTTCATGTCGGTCAAAGGCCATGACTTCCGCGGTTCCTGCGGATGCCTATTATACCGACGGGCCTGGTTCCCTGGCTCGCAGAAGTACAGGTTCTAGCATCTTGGAGACTGCTCAAGCTACGACGCCCAGATACAACGTGATTGTCATTGATCCCTTCGCCTCTCTTCTCTCTACCTCGGTGCCTGAGCGTAGCCGGGAGGCCCTCCGAAACCTGGCGGACCGCCAAACGCTGGCGGTGGGCCGTTGAACCCGGGCGGAGGAGGGAAGAAGTTCGTCGGAGCGCCGCTTGGTGGGCGAGCAGGCAAGCCAGATGGGGGTGGCGGAAGACCTGGATGGCCGACCGGGGCTGCGGAAGGAGGTCGGCCGTAGCCTCCGGGGCCGTTGGGAGCATAACCAGGAGGTCCACCAGGAGGTCCATATCCTGCTCCAGGTCCGCTTGGTGCGCCAGGCATGCCACGTCCATCTACGCCCATAGCTGGACCACTCGGTGCAGCACCTGGAGGAAGTTGGAAAAGATGTGCTGGCAGAGGTTGCACAGCAGGCGCAACTCCGTGGGCTTTGGCCTGTTTCGCGAGCATACGCTCCGCTTCGTCTCCGTGCCGCTCGCCCTTTCCATCTTTCTTGTATGCGTATTGAACTGTGATCTGCTTGCTCATGATGTACTGGTTGTGCATGCTCGCGATTGCCGCATCCGAGGATTCGAAGTCGCCGTAGGAGATGAAACCGTATCCCTTGGATGCTTGCGTAATGTCATCGCGCGCAACCTTTGGCGCATTCACCAGCGGTCCAAAGCGGCCGAATGTGTCGTACAACGTCTTCTCGTCTACACCAGGATCAAGGTTACCAATGAACAGCTCTGCACCGATCTCGACATTCTTCTGCTTATCTGCGGACGCCTTGTTAACACGTATCCGGCTTCCGTATAGCGCGACGTTGTTCATGATCTTGGGCGCGTAATCTGCTTCTGCTTCCGTGTGGAACTCTACGAAACCGAACCCTTGGTGTTGGCCGTTGACGCGATCGACGGGCATGTTGACATTTCGTACTCGGCCGGCGTTGAGCATCAGCTCGTGAAGAATGCGGGGTGTGATGCGCTCATGGAGGTTTCCGACGTAGACTGTGGCTTCTTTGTTTTGTTCCCTGCGCATTCGTGAGTCCATGTTCGCTACTTGTTCGCTACTTGGAATGTTGCAACTTACCAGTGACGCGCACTCGGGGCTGACATGTTGAAAGGTCGGTGTCTATAGTCTCGAAACTCTGGATCCTGGGTCGCAATAGATGTTCGAGCAATTCAGTTGGGATCGTGAGGCGTCGTGAATGGGGATTGGTGTTCCGGAATGAAGTGAAGGTATCTCGAAGATATTGGAGCTCTAGTCCGAGCTTGCGCTAACACTCATGCGGCTAATCCCAAAACTTTGAGCTTTATGCATCATCGCAACTTCGTTCGCTGGGCCCGCCTTCACCCAATACTGCACACAACTCGACCACCTCAACCCCAGGCCGACTACATATTCAACATGTACCAATTGTCAGAAGAGTCCAAGGTACGTTAATATGTTTGAGTGCCCCTAGGTCGGGCTTCCGTTGACTCCATACAGGAGCGCATCGCGCGCATCATCGATGTCTCCCGAGTCGCTATCCACTACGGCTACCTGCCTCTGATCCTGTACCTCGGATACTCCCGAAGCGAGCCTAAGCCGTCTCTCATCCGGTGAGTACACCACCTATTCCGGTCGTTCCTAAACAAGCACGAGGTGGCTCTTTACAACGGGAAAGAACGTTACAGCTTGTGTATGCCAGTCTGGCGAATTCTGAGGGGCCAGAGGAAGACCATGACAAGCAGGTTGTGATGTCGTTCTTTCATCTTCATACATAAGTCATAACGGGCCACCCTAGCAGCATCCTTGGAAGAATGAGGCATATATTGGAAATGCAGTCCCTTCTGCTCTTCCAGTCGCTTGTTTCTGTTTCGGGTCTCTTTCTCAACATACCGCTCTGTTTTGGCCGATGTACATTCGGGACCTTAGCTGACGCTGCTAGTCTTTTCTCCCCTCTCGCATAAGCAACAAACAACGATATGACAACAACGATTTGCGATTCATTGTACAATACTACACACTCTAGGCGCATGGGTTCTTCTCGGGTATGATTTGGGCCGTGATGGTTGGGAAGATGGGCTATCTAAGTACCATGGGTTCGAAAATTCCTCTACTCTATCAATTCGCACGGAAGTCGGCAATATATATCCCACAGGAGGCGGGATTTGTACATGTATACCAAAGTCTTAATACAGATTGACGGTGCCCTGCAGGACGGCTGGCGCCATGGCGTGGCTGATCCGAGTGGTAGCCGCTTTTTGCACCAAACACGTTGGTCCTGCGCATGCGTGTCTCAATTGCTGGAACTCGCAGAGTCCAAGCTTGCGCCCATGTTGGTCCTCATCGAGCCCAGCGCCGGTTGTCAGGTATTGACAGCTACGCGGGGCAAATGCCGGTTTTGCGGTTGACGCCAATGGCGAGACGCTACCTGACCCACGTGGTATCCCGGTCGAGCATCACGACCCATGCTCCTCCATCCTCAACCTCTGCGAACTGGAATACCCGGCCACCGGTCCCCACAGTAGATTCGTTATGGAGTCTTATATCCAGCCGCACGGCGCTGGGCCTGCTCTAGTTTGTGTTGCGAATCCTCATCGCATAGGCCCCACGCCTCCCGTGTCCACAGTATATCGAGAGCTCCCCCGGATGTTCTGTGCCTGTTCTCTAGATCTTATGGACACTTCGAATTGCTATCAACATCTCCATCCGTGCGCTGTCTTACTACCTGGCTGATTGCTCCACTTCGTGCATGACCCGTCATCGTCCGCCACCATGACCGTCCCCAGCATTGGGGACATCTTGGTGCTGTCGCAGAAGGCTTGGAAGATTGGACGAACCTTTTCTGCCTGCCAAAGGAATGCACCAGTGGAGCTTCAATATGTTGAGACGGAAATCGGCAGCCTCGCAAAATCATTGGCATCGTTGGCAGAGACGCTACACACAGAGTCTGTGGGACAGCTGTTACGGGACGCTGATCAGGAAGTAAAAGATGGCGTCGGTACCATCCTGAGATCTTGTCAACGGACAGTAGACGATCTTGACTCGCTGGTCGACCAATACCAAGTCATCAAGAAGCATCGCACGGTCGGCGGTTTTGCGATCGAGCGCTCGTGGAGCGATCTAGTATTAGCTTCGTACAGAACCATGATCTGGACCCCTGAGGGTGGAAAACTTGGAGATCTAAGAGAGATGTTACAGATACATACGAGCTCTATCGACTTGTTGAAGGAGGCATTACAAAGGCTAGTGTTGCCAATCCTGTGTCCTACATCTACTGACATGGTGCAGCAAGTCCATGGCTCGTCTAGACAGCGTGGTCACACCAATGGCAGAGCGAATCGATAATATGCACCATGCGGCTGGGAGTATCGATCAGCAGTTAGACGAAGTACATCGCATGGTAGAAGACCTAATGATTGCACCACACACTTCGCAGGTGCCGCCCGTACCAGCAAAGAACCCCGCGCGTTCACCAACTACCGAAAACCCCGAACCATTGAGCCACACGTATCACGCTCTCTCTTCTCCAACATCTCCGCACAGAGTGCAAAATATCAAAGTCTCTCTACCGCAAATCCCTCATCACTCGAAATCACCCGAACAGTCCCCGCTGGTCAGATTCGACCATGATGTTCTTATTCCGTCATCTCCAACGGAAACTATGTCTGCCTCCGGAGCATCATCGCCTACTCAGAAACGGGTGTCGGAATTCAGCTTTGGTGGCTCATCGTTGCGGTACTCCAGCAGCAGCTATGCATCATCTGATGCTGGTACAAGCTCAATTGGTTGGCAAAGTCCATCTCCGTTGCTGCACGACTCACATCTGAGCAGACAGCATTCAGCATCGACTAAGAAAACCTCGCCTCTTCCACGGACACCGGAAATATGCGAGCCGGGTCAGAAAGCTGACAATCGACATCACACGCTACTTCCACCACCCGCTATGAAGCTGGACTCACTCTATGAGCTCGAGAGGACACCGACCCAAATCTCACATGCCAAACTCAGTCCTTATCCTTCGTCGCAGCCAGAGATCATGAAACTTCACAGAAGCTCAACTACTACTAGTCAAAAAGCTGCTTTTGAGAAGGAAGCTTTTCGCAACTCTGCTATTCTATGTGATGTGTAAGGCGACTTCGCTCTTAGCATTTTTTTTCAGTATGTGTGTATAGCATCGCTGACCATAGATAGCCGCGGTTCGCTCGTCGAGTATTCACACAGGATCAATCAGGACGACCCCAGAGACGTTGAGATGATTCAGGCTTCCGAAGAGTGTAGGATCGCCGTGGTACGGAAACGCATTACTGACCCTGAGTCCAAAGTAGTACGCGTTGTAACTTCCGTATGGGCATTTAGCGACGACAACACCACCCGCGTGGAACTGCGCATGGAAGACGACCAGATGTACATCCCCTACTCTAGCTACTTCAACGTAACTAAAGTCTCCATCACTGTACCCTGCGAGCTTAAATTCCACGACGTCAAGCACGGCAATCGGCCAGTACGTGTAGAGAAGACAAGCTGGGTCAACTACGTCTTCGACTCACCACAAGGTAAGCTGCCGAAACAGCATCTAAAAAGAAGATGATGACTAACAGCATACTCAGCGGCCGCACTCTTCCAAAACGAACTAATGGGCCGTACCCTCCTCGCGACATTCCGAACAGAGAAAACAATGCGCATCCACGAAGGCCTCTCCAAATCCTTCTCCTACGCCGAGCAAATGTGCGGCCTGGAAAACCTCCGCGTCTGGGAAGACAACGATACAGGCGCCATCATCGCTCTGATTCATTTCTCCGCCGATTTCAGAAACGGTTATCTAGCCTTCTACCTCAACTCCTCCGTCAACCCCATCAAAGTGAAAGATGGCGGGGACCGGGAGGTGAAGATAAAGGGTCTGAGGGTGCCGATTGATCGGGGGGATAGCGCGATGAGGAAGGATAGTTTTGCGGAAGCTGCGACTGTCAAAGGGAAAGGGAAGGAGAAGGCGGGGAGTGGGAAAAGTGTGGAGAAGGAGAAGGTCATTAGTGGAGCGAAGATTGAGTTTGCGACGGAGATGGAGAAGAGGGAGTTTTTGGATATGTGTAGGGAGATGCAGAGGGAGTTGATAGAGTTGCCGGATTTATTGGGCGTTAATTGAGGAGAACGGTGTCACGATTAGATCGTTGGGGTGTAGACTCATCGATTGGTTGTACTACAATTTTATGGATCGCCAGAGCGTTTTCTTGGTATGGTATGGTGTTTCGTAGAGCTTCCACTCGCCTTCGCTCCAGAAGTTGTGATAGGCTTCTCTATGGTATCTATCCAACTGAGCCGGCCCCCCCAGTGAGAACGGGCCTACGCTTAAAATCAGCCAAGACTTGCTCGAAAAGAACCTTCCACTTAATGTCGTCTCGGCCTTTACGGACCGATAAGATAGTTCATTCTGATGCTGAGTTAAGGATACAAAGCCTGACGCGAGTATCGAATGCGGGCATGCATAAGCCTATAGTTCTAAGAAACTCTTCGGTGGCTTGGATCCTAGTCACGGTATCCCTGGCCCTATGGGTAACGGAGACGTAAAATTCGCGGGATGGGCCACTTAACGATGGGTTGGTACAACGGATGTGAAGCACGCACCCAGACTTGCGCATAAAGCTAAGTAGACGGCGGACTCCCTCTTCAAAGGTACCACACTCCATCATATATTCATACTCTCTAAAGAGAAAGGACACATCGTATTCTCGAGAAGTCAGGGAGGTCTCAAAGTCGGCGTTTGGGCTGCTGCTTCGTTGTTGACGGTCTTGTAGGTGGCCAGAATAGCGGTAGGCGCGGTGTACGTGATGAGGGTGAAGCTGCTCTCAGGTGTTCCGTCGCTGCTGCGCTTCACATATCTAGTACGGATGGTACGGTTTGGCAGGAATTTGCACACCCTCAGTCGCAACTCGGCAGGCAAGTCGAGGAACCTGAAGGGCAGAGTTTGCGCGTTCGTCACGGTTGCTCGTGAGTCTTTTGATCCTCAGGTCAGCTGCGAAGTTTAGTGAGGTTTCTGCTGACTTTACCTTTGGGTTTGTTCCTGCACAACACAGCGGGTCTCTTTGGAGTGCGGGGTGTGGCTTTCCGCTGCAGGTGGTAGTAGTTTGGCTGCCAAGCTGGTGCTTGACAATCTGGGTGCGACTGCGATTCCGGTAAGCCAGAAGGCGAGAGTAGGATGGAGAGTAGTTGGTAATAAAAGGGCGACTACTTGTAACCAACTTAGAAAGCACAGGCTAACGCTAATTCCCCTCGCGGAAGGCCAGGCAGTGACCTGTAAGGAATTCGAGATGAAAGTAAGTGTAGATTTCAGACCACAACGTGTGCGCGACAGTAAGGCAAGACTACTATATGCGAGAAAGATAACAAGAGATCTAGCGTTAATTTAATGGAGCGATAAAGATGCTGCTATCATCAGGCATGAGCTTCTTCTATGGAAAAATCGAAGCCAGACATTCTTACCTTTTTTATCATCGCCTTCACCCTCACTCTTCCTCTAACTCCGCCTAAACCCTACACAGCCCTAGCAAAAAGAATCCAAAACACGGCCTTTTAACGCTCCAGTCCAGCGTCGAAATAATATCTCTACCTAATTAACTTCCAAAAGAACAAAAAAATACATACAACAGTAGACTTTCAAGTGACTCCGAAGGCTGTGTTCATCCAAGGTATACCATGGTGTGGGCTTCCCCTGTCCACATGTCACTTTACTAATCCACATACCAAAGGGGGTGATCAGTCCCCAGTAGTAAGCGCCAAACCTCCCACTGAGCTATTCAATGCTTTTGACATTGACAGAGAAAACAGTAGTATGACGTATAGTCGTATGTAGGAGAACTGGGAATTCTGCGGGTTATATAGTGAGGGGAGGTGTAGTTGAAGGGTGGTGAAGAAATTTTCAAGTCAGAGGCTGGGTGGCAAGCTGGGTGGACGGAGGTGAGGTGAAGGCGGTGTAAGCGAGAGAGATGGTGAGAGTATCGGCGTTGGTCTGGTGGGCATTGGTCGTTTTGGTCGTTGGCGTGACTAGCTGCCGATGACTGCCTGATGAAGTGTGCGTTAAACTAGATTTCATGCATGTCGTCCTGAAGCCAATCTAATTGCATGAGAGATGGACCAAGTTTCATGAAAAGAGTAATAGAAAGCAAGAGCGAAGGCAAGTTAATTGTGACGTTAAAGGCAGCAATGCGAAATCACGAAAACACGCAGTAAGAGAAAAGAGAGAACTAGAAAACGGCGAGACTCTAGATGCAAGCATGAGGTAAATGGAGTGTGAGAAGACTAGGTGATGTTCATCACCTGGAAGTCGACTAGCGATGACGATGTTGCTAACCCAACGCGAATGGCAGTAGCGCCCCAGCATACAACAACCCCACCCTTCATCTCAACACATCAAACATCATCAGCAGCCAACCTTATAGTTACAACTAACTTCAATAATTCTTCAGCTATCTGCGTGGTATCCAACGTCAAACATGCAACAAGTCGCGCGCCTTACTCCAAAGAGCCTAACCGATCCATTCCAATCCATCCATATCCTCCATCCTTGCCATGTATACCACCTCAATATCCAACTCAACAACGGACTCATGACTCCAAAACCAGCCACTGAATATGCAAAAGAACCATGAGAAAAGAATCTACCAAACGATGAACCGCTGAGCGATCTCAATATCCAATCCATGCTATTATCTTATCGAAACTCTTGTGTTGGTTCTCAGACGGCTGGCTATACGAACGCCGGGGTAAGAAGAACCCTATGCTCGAGATCGGTCGTGTTCTACTCGCCGTTGACCTCCGGCTCGGCAATGGTGCCGTTGGCGCGGTCGGCGCCCATGTATCGCTGCATGTAGGTGATGTAGTCGAATTTGGGTATGTCGCGGTCTTCTGCCATGTCGGGGCCTTTGTGCTCGGGCATTGTGGAAAGGAGGTCGTCGATGACTTCGTCTGGGACGAGGGAGTGGCGGAGGTCGAGTTCGGTGACGTATGGCTGGTGGGGTGTTAGTAGCTGGTGATACATGGAGAAATGAGGGAAAGAGGTGGGTATAGACTGACCTTGCCGTCGGCGACCTCTTTGAAAGACTCAAAGACTTGCTCCGCGGTATTTTGATCCTCGGTTTCGTCCACCATGAATCGGATAAACTGCTCAAATGTAACATAGTCTTTGCCACCACTAGTTTCGCGGAATCTCTCGTGCATTTCTTCTTCGTCGTATACCAAGCCCAAACTAGCCAATGCAGCAGAGAACTCCAATTCTGCTAACGAGTTCGATACATCGCGATCAAAATGCCTGAATACTGACTCAAACTCTTCAAGCTGTATTGGGGTGAGGTTGGTCATGTTACGTGCCACCATCTGGTTTTCCAAGAAGGCAAGCTTCTTCGATACCGAACTGCGGACTAAGCCCAGCTCGTATTCTAGCTCGTCGTATGTGTATGTTGTAAAGTCGTTCTCCTCGATGTTCGCTTCGGCGCATTGCTCGTCGATGGATGCTATGAGGTTGAGGTATTCGTCCAGGGGTGCAAGCGACTTGCTGATTTCCTTTGTGTGCTCCAGCTGGTCCTCGACATCACCTTCCAGCGCTGATATCGATGTAGAGAGTGTGTTAAGGGCCAGGGCAAAGTCGTTTGCTTTGTCGGCGAATGATTTCCGCAAGGCGTTCTTGATGTCTCTAATTGTTTCATTGATGACCTGGGAACGTTGTCGCTCGGCCTTCATCAATCCCGTCCAGGCGGTGTCTAGTGCTTCGAGGCTGAGATCTGCGGGCGGATCGTACGGTCGCAACCGGTATGTGGCCAATTTCGTCCTTATATTCCCTAGCAGTCCCACCAGGTCTGACTTCTCGGCTACCCATGTTCGCTTGCTCTTGCGCTTCCAGGCGGTGAACTCCGTCGACTGGTTCCTAGCGTCTGCGTATGTTCCGTCGAACTTGGCCTCCTCCCATTGTGTGCGCTGCTTGGCGATCTGGTCCAGCAGCTCGCGCATGCGTCGCTCGAAGTCGTTCTGCATCTGCCAGGCTCCCTGCATATTTGCGACGAACTTCTCGACTCTTCGCCCAGCATTCTCCACACGCTCCATTTGCGAGAAGGCGTGGAACCAGTAGGCAATGTATGTCATGAGCGAACGCTCGTCGGGCTTCGCGACGTCGCACACGTCCTCCACATCAAGCAGGTCGGGAATACCAATCTCTTTGGAGGCGATGTCGAATGCAAGCTGCATGTTGCCGCGGTGGTCGCTCTTGTCTAGGCTGTCGTAATCGATGAGATCGGGACGGTGGATGTCGAGCAGGGCGCAGCTGTCTGTTGTTAGCCCAGTCTCTCACCGAAGAGTCCTCCACCTACAATGCCAGTCCGTCGTTCCAGCTCGTGGAAAAGTCACGGACTTCGACCTCATCGTAGCAGGCCGTCTTCCGCTGACACCACAGCAGCAGACCCTCCTTCGCACTGAGACCCTCTTCGTTGATGTCACTGATGGTGAAGCGCAGAATGAGGGTCCATATCAGACCCAGGATGATCTTGCTGTTGCCGTCGACGACATCTTCGGCACCGGTATTGGTAAGCTGGATCCTCCGACTCCGGATGAAGTCGAGCGACTTGTTGACGTTCTCAAACTTCTGCACGCGCAGCTTCGGTCGGGAGGCATAGCGGCCGAGGGACTCGTTGCTGAGGATCTCGAGGAGGTGTATGAGTATGATCTAGGGGGCGTTAGGACGTGATGCGGGGAGAGGCCATGTTGGAGGCCAAGCGGGGCACGTACACCGTCCGAGAGGTCGATGATGAGGTCCTTGATCTCAACTTCGCGGATCTTGAGCTTGCTGTTCAGCCTGCAGCGGTGTGATTAGTAGTGTTGGGGCCGGGGCAGCGGCGGGGGTTGCAGCGTACCACTTGGTGAATGTCTTCTGCTGGACCTTGACCCATTGCTGTTCAAGCGGCGCCATGATAAGTGTGCATCAGGGCTCTCACTCGGACTGGGCGCATGCAGGTAGGAATATATTTGGGTGGATACGGGATGCTAGCTGGCGACTACTCGGGCGTGTTTTCCAGAGTCCTGGCCCAAAACAATGAATGGCTGACTGCGGGCGCGGCTTCGGCTGTCGCTGCACCCCTGTCCCAGTAGCGGGGCCCCTGGATCCACACAGCCTTGGGCGCCCGGGTCACCTCTGGTTGGCTGGCCGCGACGACACGCGATATCTGGTTCACAATCTCTTCGTCCAATCTTTGCTGAGACAGAGAGACAATTCCCAAGATACCCTTGGAGTAGCGCGTGTATTCAACCTAGCTATCCACTCGCATCCACTTGCCTCGTGGCTGCGCCACGCCGGGCACAGCAGGCGCCACACGCCATATTGGTTCTTCATCGCTCTTGCCTGCATCATGGCTGTAGACGCGTCTCAAGATGCCGCATCGCTGCCATATCATGAGCCGGGCATCGTTGTCATTCTCGTGCTCACGTCTTTTCTCATTCTCCTCAACGTCGTCAATGCTGCCCTCGACAGGGTGCTCTACTGCGGTCTGCTGGGCCAGGTTTTGGTTGGCATTGCATGGGGCACGCCAGGTGCGAAATGGCTATCTGAGAGCTTAGAAGAGATGGTCGTGCAATTAGGCTATCTGGGATTGATACTGCTTGTCTATGAAGGTCCGCATGCGCTGCATCAGCCAACCCATCCCATATCTGTGGCATTGACTAACGCTCACCAGGCGGGCTTTCTACTTCATTCCAATCTCTCAAGGCGAATCTGCTTCTATCTTCTGGCGTCGCACTTACCGGAATTCTGGTTCCTATCGGGCTCTCGTACACTCTGCAAGGCTTACTGGATGCTAGCCCAGTACAAGCTTTCGCCGCTGGCGCTGCTCTATGCTCCACCAGCCTGGGCACAACCTTCACGGTTCTCGGGTCGAGTGGCTTGGCTACCACCCGCCTAGGCGTTGTTCTCACAAGCGCCGCTATGATGGACGACGTCGTGGGGCTAGTCATGGTGCAAGTCATCTCCAACTTAGGTGGCGACAACTTCAGCTGGGTAACGGTCGTTCGCCCAGTCCTCGTTTCGGTTGCTTTTGCGGTTATCGCACCTCTTTTTTGTCTCTTCGTAGCGAAGCCTTTGACCGCATGGCTCAATGCGTCCCGCGAAGCTCACCCGGGCGCACATCTGAGTGCCTTGCTACAACGAACACAAACGGCCTTCGTGATCCACACGCTGATTCTCATTGCTCTTGTCGCGGGAGCTACATACGCGGGCACATCGAATCTGTTCGCTGCGTATATCGCGGGAGCTAGCATCAGCTGGTGGGACTCTGACGTGCCCCATCCTACAAGTGCTTCAGCTATGAATGCAGCAGATGAGAAAAGACAGGCAACCGTCGGTCCAATGCTTGAGAGTTCAGCAAGCCCATCTACGGAGCCGCCAAAGACCGAAGCAGACCAAGATCATCCTGCGATTCCGTCCCAGCCTTCCAATATGGACAAGCATGAGCATGTGAACATGACAAGCGGTGCAGCCATCTACGAGCACTACTACCATCCTGCAGTATCCAAGATCTTGCAGCCGTTCTTCTTCGCATCAATCGGCTTCTCGATACCCATCACGCGTATGTTCAGAGGCGCAATAGTCTGGCGAGGTATCGTCTACGCTGTTCTCATGACCTTCGCAAAGCTTGTGTGTGGTCTCTGGCTCGTTCGATTTTCTATATCCCCAGGCAAAAAAACGCCTAGCAGGATTTTGTCCAAGGTGCGCATGCCTTTGGTGCCTCACCTGTGGGGAAAGAGCGGCGGCGCACCTCCCGCGCAAGAAGGAGTCACTTCAACGCAGGCAGGAGCTACCCCATCGCGAACCCGCCCGACAACTTCACCAAGTAGTACCGAAAACGAGGCCCGATCTTCGCC